TCCCTTCTCCCCCAGATGCTCCTGCTGAAGCAACGGCAGGAGCACGAGCAGCAGCAGTAGCGGCGGCGGTGGCGGTAGCAGCAGCGATGGCAGAAGCTTTCGCCTCGAGCAGCCGTAATAGGCTGTCCTTGCCGTGTATCCTCACATCCTCTTTAGTCACCCTCACTCTCACACTCCCCTTCCCCTCAACATTCTCACTTCCCTCTTGCTCCTTCTCACTAACTTCACCTGCTTCCCCACTTTCCTCCTCCTCGCCCTCTTCCTCATCCTCCTCCCCGTCCGCCTCCTCCCACTCACCCTCACTCTCATCCTCCTCCTCCTCCTCCTCCTCTCCTCTCCTCCCCTCCTCCTCCTCCTGTCCCTCCTCCTCCCCATCCACCCCTTCAGCAGCAGCCTTAGCAGACCAGAAGGCGAACTCAACGCCCTGTCCTTTCAGCCACTCAGCCCACAGCCGCCGCACACCAGAAGGCAGAAGATCCGCCTTGTTCAGCAGCAGCAGAGTCCGGCTCGGCGAACCCTCCCCTCCCTCCCTGCTGCTGCTGCTGCTCCCGTCTGCCAAATCCTTATTGCTCTCGTCTTTCGAGTTGCTGGTGCGCAGGTTGTTGCTGCTGCTCTCGTTGCTGTGATAAGGCCCTGCTCCCAGCTCGTGCACGTACGCTTCGAGGTCAGAGCAGCGGTAGAAGAGCGGATCTCGGCTGTCCACCACGGTTACCACCTGGATACGAGGTTACAAAGAATGTCATGGTCGTGAATGGAAAATTAGTTTTCTTGCAGCAGGTGAAGGCAGTAGCATGCATGACAACCACCAAAACTGGCGTAATGACCACGTAACCACATGCCACTGGTAACCAAGTAACCACCTTATTCAATGGTAACCAACTGGTTACCAGATAACTATGCACTCGCAATCACCCAGCAACTGGTAACCGGGTAACCACTCACCAGGTGGCTTCTCTCCAGCACTCGCCACAGCTGTCGCCAGATGTCAAGGTTCTTCTCGAATGGGGTTACCACCAGGTGGTTGTTCTCCTCCACCCTGCCACATTGTCACACCACACCACATTCGTTACAATCACATCGTGACACGCAGGACGCAACGCACATGAGCATGCACCATCAGCACGCGCCACTGGGAATCATACATTCCCCCTTCCCCCTCACCCTCCCCATCATGCAACATCATCAGCAACTACACCTTCGATCCCTAACTCACTCTTGCCATCCCTCCCCTCCCCACTCGGCCCCCACCCCTCCCCCACTCTTCCAATTCCTTCCTTGCGCCACTCACGCGGAGAGCGATCGCCTCCATTCCAGGAAAGCCGCCTTCTCACTAGCGTCCAATTCTGCTGACGTCATGCTTGCGCTCCACTTGGGCCTGGGGCCGAAGAAGTGAGAGCGGCGGATGGGAGGGAGACGAGGAGAAACGGGAGCAGAGGGAGGGTGGAAGAGGAAGGAGGGGAAGGGGAAGGGAAGAAGGGTGAGAAGGGGAAGTATGCATTCTTTTCACCTCATCATGTCTTTCAATTCCACAGCATAATTTTGAAATTTCAACCACAGATGATCATTCAACTCAGCTCGTGCCAACTTCTCTTCACGAATCACTCAACAGACGTGCAAGTAAGTTTCCCTCCCTTCATCTCATCCCCTTCTCTGTTCTTCTCCCTCCCCACTTCCCTTACCCTCTCTCATTCCCTCTCCTCTCCGCTCACCGTCTTGGGATGGTAAGAAGCTTCCTGTGAAGTTCCTCCTGCTCCCTGCGCTCGCTGCTGCTTCCGCCTTTCCCACCTGCAGCTCCCACGTCATGACTGCCGTGATTCGGAGAAAGAAGGGGGGGGGAGGAAAGGGAAGGGGGCGGGGAGGGGAGGGGAAGGGGAAATGGGAGGGGTGAAAAGGGAAGGGAGAAAAACGATTTTTTGTGAAAGTTCCAGGGAGAAGGCGGGCTTTTTAGCCCTGAGCTTATACATCCCCATTCAAAGAATCAATCAAGGGAGGGTAGAAGGAGAACTATTTATTTCCGTGACGATTTGGGTGTGAGTATGTAAGGCGAAAGTCCTCCAGCGAGAATTGGGTTGCGTTTTTCAGAATTCTGAATAGCTTTTAAGAGCTTTGAATAGCTTTTTAGAATTCCGAATGGCGATTAAGGCTACCAGCGAGAGCTGTGTGGAGCGAGTTGCGGGGGAAGAGACTCGTTGTGAGGGTTGGGAGGTGGATGGGGGTGTCTTAAACGCCTAGAAACAGACTCTCCCACCTTGCGCCCCCTCGTCCCGTGAAGAGTCGGTGTGGGGGGAGGGGATGAGGGTGGTTTGGGGGGTAGACGGGCGCGCCAATCAGCCTTCCGCCGCCCAGCCTAAAGACACTCTCGCAGGCGAGAGTTGCGAGCAGAGAGAAGTGGGTGGAGAAATGTGGACGGCGGACGGCGGACGGCGGAGAGCGGAGGGCGGAGGGCGGAATGCGGAGGGAGGAGGGCGAGAGGCGGCTCAGGGTTAAAGCGCGCCAGGAATACAAATTGCGGGGTTTACGACGACGATACTTAAACCTTCGCATGTGCCTGTAATATGACCCCTCAGTCATAGATTCGGGTTCAGGGTTCGAGGTTTACATGGAAAACCCTGAATGGACGCATCTACACGTAGCAGCTTTGCCGCCATCTGTGCTGGCGCCCGAGAGATTACTGGCAAGAGCAGCAGCGCACAACCCGCGGAAGAAACAACACACGACCAGAAAGTACAGCTAGAGATCCCACAATCTAGGGGGCGAAACCAAACCCTACACCCATATATTCTTTCTGATCTTTCCGCTTCTCACCCATCTAGGTAGATTATCTCAGCGTTGCCTCTTTGGGCGGCGAACTCCCGCCCTGCCAGCTCAGCAGTCGTCAGCAGCTCCTCCAGGTCACTCTGATCCACCACCGACACCAGCGCCGGCTTCGCCGCCGCTTCCGCCGCGGCGATGACGTGGCGTCGGCCCTCGTCGGCGTGCTGAAACTCCGAACCGCGGTTGAATCTATGGCGGATTAAAGACGAGCCCAGGCTCCCGGAGCCTCCCTTTTTCTTCGGCATAGCGGCTACGAATCAAGTATGCAGTCTCGCCGACGCGGGATGCGGTGATACAGGCTTTGCCCTGAGTTACGAATCACGATGCGGATGTACAAGCGCAGGAGCGGAACTAAGACGCTTAGCTACGAAGAATCGGAGTTAACACTAGCCTTTGCAAACAAGCGGGATTACGGAGGTGACAGAGGGTCTGCAACGAATTCGGTCTTCAGGGTTTTGAAGGATGAATAGTGTCTACAGATGATGGATCATCGAAGTCTGACTCGCGTTAGGTGCTTCGCTTCCACATAATGTGGGTTTCAACTACGAGTATTGCGAAACGCTTACTAGTAAAAAATTGGCCAACGACAATGCATAACTAAGAGGCCAACTTAGGCATACTCTTTTCAAGAGACTAATCGAGTAGCGCCCGATATCAAACAAAAAAATTGATTGGTATATTATCGTTCTCGCATGTTTCTCTCCAGTAGTGTAAAACTGAAAAAAATGACTAGCATCTTGACCAGTAGAGCATACTCTAAAGGAACATCTATCAATGAGTTTTCTTACCCATAACGAAGCACGGAACCTTGCTCCCAGGATTGGACACGCATTCTGGGATAGGTTCTGCTTGTACGCGTCAGTAGTAGGCAAGGTTCATCCGCCCCTCGCTTGGCATCCCACAACCACAAACATCCACAATTCCACGTGCAAGCGGACATCGAGTCACGGTGCTTTCGAAGCCAATTTTCGCTCGTTCACTTCACATCTGAACTCAACCTGGAAATTGGCGCCGCGTTGCAATCACGTCATGCTGGGGTGGAATGGATGGGCGGCGCGGGAATATCATCGTGAGAGCCACTCATTACGCACGATAACCAGGATGGACCTGGGCTAACATCTCGAGCAATTCACATTTCTGGGGAAAATTCAGCCTTCACCGGGACAGCCTGCTGATTACGTCCCAGACGAGTCGCCTGTGTGCCCGAAGAGGAATTTAACGTTTGGCGACAGTGATGGGACTTCGCTAGGGGAGAGTCCAGATGTGGCTGAATTTCGCCGTTCGTTCGCTCGCCTCAGCATTCCTCTTCGTGAAGCTTTCGCGAAACCCCTCACAAGCAGCCCAACCCAACCCACAAAGCACGAGGATGTGCTGCGATGGGGACGCGACGCGATTCGTGATACACCACAACTTTCTTGCCATACAAAAACTCGATCCTCAGCTATTATTTTCATCATCGACTACAATTGCTTCTTCAATCCCAGTGCATCCGTTTTCTTGACAATTAGAAGCTAACAGCAGCAAGCCATGGCTCGCTCAATCGCGGTCGCCCTTGTGCTGCTCGCAGCTTTCGCCGCTGTCGCCAATGCCGCAACTGGGGCTTTCACCTATGAGAAGAGCGGCATTGACTGGACGGTAAGGACCAATATCCACACTGTCCGTAACCCCCCCCCCCCCCCCCCCTCCCCCCCACCCTCACCCCCCCCAGTCTCAATTCTCCTCAATTCTCCAATTGTCGAACACTCAGCAATCGTAGCACCGAGATTAACCGCTATCCTTTCGCTCTCTGTATCATCGCAACGATCTCACTGTGTACGCATTTCCGCCATGTCGCTCGCTAACCTCCACACTCATTCGCCCTTTCGATGTTCGTTTGGATGCGATGATGCCGCAGGGCGCGTGCGCGACGGGCGAGCGCCAATCGCCGGTGAACATCGTGATGGACAAGACAGTGCAGAGCAAGAAGCCGGAGCTCTTCTCGCTCGAGTACGGCAGCACCAGCAAGCAGGCGTCCGTCGTCAACAAGGGCTCCACCATCCGTGAGTCCCAAACTCAGATTGCTGCGGATAGCTTAGCGTAGCGCGAAAAGCACGACTTCGTCAAATTAATCGAAATTCCGAATTTGCTTCATTCGACCACACATTCGAGAGGTTGAATATGAAAGTCGACTTTGCTTTTATGATTCTTTCCCGCTTCCCGATCACCCGAAGTGCCTTCCGACACTCACTTACCATGTCTCAATCCCCCACCATCTTTTCATTCTGTTTTCCTCCGCGCTGCTTTCTTCCAGAGGTGATTCCCGCACCGGAGGAGACCCACCTGCTGCACCTCGCATCGGGCGACTACAAGTTGCTGCAGATGCACGTGCACACGTACTCGGAGCACGCGATCAACGGGCTCTTCGCGCCCATGGAGGCGCACTTCGTGCACGTGAACACGGTCGATCCCAAGAAGCTCGCCGTCGTTGGCGTCATGCTGCGCGTGCACCGCCACGACGACGACTCCGCGTGGGTCAACCAGTGGCTGCCGCAGGCGCCCCTCGAGAACAACGCGAATGCCACCATCTCCATCACGCCCAACTTCTGGAGCGAGATGATCGACGCGTCGTCCGGCTTCTGGGCGTATCCCGGCTCGCTCACCACGCCCGAGTGCGACGAGATTGTTTCGTGGCACGTGCTGCGCAAGGCGCAGCCGCTCTCCGTGGCGCAGACGATTCAGTTCATGAACATTATGGCGGTTTCCAACCAGGATCGCACCGACAACCGCATGCCCCAGCCGCTTAACGGCCGCACCATCTACTTCCACTACCCTGCTGCTGCCGCCAAGTAAATAAATGGCTTGACTTTTTCGTGCCATGGTAGGATGCGGTAGCCAGAGTGTAGCTCCTACCTTGCATTGCAGTCTTGCGTGGGCTTAAAATGAAACGTCAATCTGGCTCCCACCTTGTTACGTATCCAATGAGCTAGTTCATGATTGATAATGATCCAATCTCTTGCTCACAAAACCGGATTCCCTAACAACAATTATATCAAGTGCGCACCAAGTGGGTGAAGGTTCCACCTCCAGCTTTCCTTGTGCTGTTTGCCTTTCTCCTTGTGTAGTTTGGAAGTCAATCTATCTAGAACTGGTACTTAGCAGCTGTGTGTCTGCCACGAGTTCAGGCTTCTATCCCAATCTTCACTTCCAGTTCATCTATATACTTGATGAAAGAGAATACCTCTGCATGTTTGAATCTACTGCTTGCACAAGAAATGCCATTTGTCTTAATGCTAAGCTATCATCTTCCAGCTCTGGCTCGTGGGTCATATGTGAACATAGAACGAGAATTAGACTAACCTCTAGATCTGCCCTCTGATCTTCTGGGAGGCGCATCGTGGCAGAAGATGTTTTCTGAGTCTGATTTACAGACAATGCTGTCAGTTTTATCAGTGTAGACGTAGGTGCACATTGAGCTAAATGAGGGGTTTGTGATTTTGAAGATTTAACTGAATGTGAAATATGATACACATACCACGTTGTAGTCAGGGAATAATTTTCCAAATATCGAGCTTTTTCCCTCCGAACCAATCTCTGACGCAGGAGCTTGCCGGAAATGCGTCTTGGCAGATGACGATTTTTCCACCCATTTGCCAACATGCGCCTCGATTAGGCGAATTTCGCGACTTGGCAGGACCACGCGCGATTCGATACTCGTCAAATTTTCGCTCAAAATGTTGCCACCGCACAGCGGGACGGGAATTGGAAGCCCCTCTTCGTGCAATTCGCGCCCCTTTCTGCTCTGTGGGTTGGATCCCATGAGCCAGGTTTGCACTGGGGAGTGAGATGGGATGGGATGGGAGACCTGTAATTTCGAGCTGAGTTGCTGCAGTGGATGGAGCTGCCCTTGCCGTTTTGACTTGCTCCAACCGCATGGAAGTTGGTCAAACAACCATATCACCACCTCGCGAGCGAGACACAAACACACAGCTGCTTACCTTAAAAAGGTCACGACGAGCAGTTGTCAACGCAACTATTTAGAGCGTTCCACAGTCCAGGGTGGCAGGTAGGCAGTCCAAGCACACAATCATTCGTACCACCTCCTGTATCTCTTTCGTTTAGGATTTTCGGACCACCACATTGAGTCTTAGCTGCAAGAAGGCAATAGTTTTCTCCGTAATAACAGCAATCTGCTATCGCCTGATAGTGGCGACCATGGGGGATACCACGAAACGCTTGAAACGTTGCTCTTGCTAATTTTCGTCGCCACCGCGACGCAAGGTGGCGCGGCGTTGGGCGGGCTTCCGAACACGCCATGCGAGGGCGACGCCAGCCAATCCGCCGCATTTCTGGTGGCCACGTGCCGTCAGAACCGTCCGCAGCAGAAGCGCTCTCGAGACAGCAGATGCAGGGAGCGACGGTTTTGCGGCGATGGGGACAGCTGCCGTGCCTCGGAAGCTCGGCGCGCAGTTGGCGGCGCCATCCGCCGGTCCCACTTTCGCGGAAGTTCTCGCTGCGTCTGTCGTTACCCCTGGCAGCAGCCGATCCCGCTGGGGCAGTTACCGCCACGCCTCTCCCCTGCTGCTTCTGCCGCTGCTGCCGCGCCTGCAGCTTCCCGGCCCGTCGTTTCCACTAACGCAGCTCCTACGCTCACGGTGAAGACTCTCACTGGGAAACCCACGCCTGCTGCACATCGCCAAGGGAAACCAGCCAGCAATGGCGCCGCCGCAGGCCGCAGCCGCCGCTCCTGCGCCGAAGCAGGGTGGCCCCACGCCGAAGCAGGGTGGCCCCACGCCGAAGCAGGGTGGCCCCACGCCGAAGCAGGGTGGCCCCACGGCCGAAGCAGAGTGGCCCCACGCCGAAGCAAGAGTGGCCCCACGCCGAAGCAGAGTGGCCCCACGCCGAAGCAGAGTGGCCCCACGCCGAAGCAGAGTGGCCCCACGCCGAAGCAGAGTGGCCCACGCCGAAGCAGAGTGGCCCCCACGCCCGAAGCAGAGTGGCCCCACGCCGAAGCAGAGTGGCCCCACGCCGAAGCAGAGTGGCCTCACGCCGAGCAGAGTGACCCCCAACGCCGAAGCAGAGTGACCCCACGCCGAAGCAGAGTGCCCCACGCCGAAGCAGATGTGATTCGGTGCCGAAGCTGCCCCCTGTTCCCAAACCGGACGCACCTAAGCTCGACGCGTCTAATTCTAAGCCCGGTGCTCTTCCCTCCAATCCCGCACCTTCAGCAAACCACTCGCGACCGTTCTATCAGCTGGTAGCTCACCGCTGGTAACGACCAAGGCCGTCAACTCGACTGGTGCAGCTGGCAACTCGACTGGTGCAGTCGGCAATTCTACCGCGCCGGCAGGAAATAGCACCAGGTCGGCGGGGAACTCTACCGAGACAGCGACTACTCCGGCATATGCCGTGGGATCGCGCGACTGCCAGTACGGGCAAGTCAAGCAGCTTCACGCATGCGCCGTTGGGTACGCGCAGTCCGCAAAGATCCGCGGCGGCCAATGGCCGACATCGTCGCTGTACGAAGTTGAAACGGAAGATGACACGGTGGTGAACGGGAGGCCCGTGGAGAAATCGTTACGGTTCGCGCTGATGAATTTCCCCGACGGAGTGATCATCACGTTTTCGCGAAGCATGGAGATCGTGCTACAGAGTAACCTGTTTTTACGTTCGCGAGTGACGATCGACGGGCGCGGCGTGCACGTGCGCATCACCAACGGCAGCATCGTCCTCCAGAACGTGAATGACGTCATCATTCACAACATCGAAGGTACGGAGTCGCTCTAGCTCTCTGGATACATCGTCGTACCTTTTCTTCTTCTCTTCCTCCGACCTCTTTTCTCCGATCATCCCTCACCTCTCCACCTCTTGCCCCTGTATTATCACACACTCAATCTTAGTCGAATTTCCCGTGTCCCCTTTCTGCCTCTTTGTGTGCTGCCGATATTCTAACAGTGTCGGGTAACCCGCGCGGCGATCTGATTCCCATCTACAACAGCAGCCGCGTGTGGATCGACCACTGCCGCCTGCAGGACGCCCTCACGGGCACAGTCGACGTGGCACGGGGCTCCACTGACGTCACCATCTCGAATAACTACATCAGCAGCCGCGGCCAGACGATGCAGGTAATGGCGTCACTGCGCCCCGGTATATGCGCACTTACCCCCTGGGGCTGACGATACACTCACAAATGAATACCAGTCGAAAACACGGAACTGCGCTTCTCGCTCCTGTTCGCCACTTAATTTAGATTTCTCCCCCTCTCCGCCCTCTACCCGGCTATCCCTCCCAATTCGCTCTTCATCTCTGCACAGCTTGGCTTGTCGGACACGGAGGAAGCGGACAAGAATATGCGAGTCACGATTTACCGCAACTGGTTCAACACATCCGGATCCATGCAACCGCTCTGCCGCAAGGGGCCGCTGCCACGTGGCAAACAACCTCTACACCCACTGGTCCTACTACTGCCTCGCCGCGCGCCGCGGCGCGCAAATCCGGTCAGAGAAAAACTTTTTCCGGCCGGCGCCGGGGTCGGCGCGACTGGAGGTGACGCCGTGGTATAGAGGCATGCCGGCCACAGATGTTTGGTTCGACGCTACAGTTACCATCGCGTCGTTCCAAGACTACTTGGCTGGAGGCGCGACGTTCAATAAGACGGCGTATGCCGGCCCACTCCGATCTTCACGCCGCCCTACGCGCTGTCGCTGCCGCGGAATCCACGTCAGATGGCGTCTATTTTGAGAATCAAACTGCGGTCCCAAGTACGATGTCGATTCCGCACTACCCCCTGCTTCGGGACAGTTCCTTCCGCCTGCCCCACCGACCCCATCCCCACGACTCCTCCTGCGACTGCGAACACAACTTCTACTGGTAACAGCACTTCCACTGGTAACAGCACTACCGCTGGTAGCAGCACCAATGCTGGTAACAGCACCGTTACAGCAGCGTCGCCTCCGAGCTCGAACGATTGCCAGTATTCCACTGCGGGTGCCGGAATCGCCCTTGGGAGTTGCGCGATGGGTTTCGCCGCCCCGGGTTTAGTCGGCGGTGCTGGGAAATCCACATACGTCGTCACTTTAGAGGAGGATTCGACATCCGCTACAAGACAGGGTTCGCTTCGGTGGGGCATCTCGAATTTCTACAAAACTGGCGCAGTTATTACATTCGCACGAGACATGACAATTCAACTAATGGCGCCGCTATATGTGAAATCGTTCATGACTCTGGATGGGCGAGGCGTCAACGTGAAAATCGTGGGAGACAGCCTGCTGGTGCAGCACTCAAGTCAAGTCATCATCCATAACATTGAATGTAAGTCATGATCCATGCTTCATAAAGTGCTTTCTAATTTACCTCCTTTTCCCCCCCTCTAGCACCAACATCTCCTCAAACCGGTGCCACCTTTACCAATCATTACCATTCCAATCTACACCACCTCAATATGCTCCCTTCTGTGCTTCTTCAAATTCCTCATCCTCCGTGCTTGCAGTTTCCAGTAGCAGGACATCCCCTGCAACCATATCTCTATACAACACCAGCAGCACTTGGATCGACCATTGCCGCTTCTCCAACCTTTCCGCCACCCTCCCAGCCATCGAGCTCGCCCGAAACAGTACCGCGGTTACCATCTCCAACAACCTCTTCTACGGCACGCTCGGCACGCAAACCGTCACTGCCTCGCCAAGCCCAGCCTCGGGGACAGGCTCGGCACTCCACCTGGGCCAATCAGACGGCGACGGAATTAACCGTGACATGAACGTCACTGTCTACAGGAACTGGTTCCAGTCTCTATCTGCAATGCAGCCGATGTGCAGGCTAGGCAAGTGCCACGTGGCAAACAATCTCTACATCAACTGGACTGGGAGCACGGTGGAAGCCAGGGCGGCTGCTCAGGTGCTGCTGCAGAGCAACCTCTTTATAAGCGGACCCGATTCAGTACAAGTGGTGGCGAACACCACGTCCGTCCCTCCAGGTGTAGTCGCAGAAGCAGGTAGCAACACCACCAACACCACCAACATCATCAAGGCTTCACCCGGGGCAAGTGCAGCTGTCGCAGGGGCAGGTGCTGGTGCGGCTGCGGCTGGGGCAGGTGCTAATGTAACTGCAACTGCAGCTGGTACAGCAACCATGGGCCCCACTGTGAACGCCACTCAGGTGTTCACATCCGCCATACGACCTTCCTCTGGGGGACCCCAATGCCCTGCTCTTCGTTGTCTTCATGAAGCTGAACGCTGGTCCCCATGCCAACTGACATGGTAGCAGCCGTGGCATGGCAGTGCCTGTAACAGCTGACCTGTAGGGGCCTATGCAAACTGATTTGCCACCAGCCATCCCAACTGACCTGATGGTCCCCCCTTATGCACACCTCAGACTGCCCCAACTGACTTCTCCCCCCTCTCCTCCTGGAATGTTTGAAGTGCTTTCAGATTTAGCAAGAGTGGATGGTGAGATTGCTGCAGCTGAGGCTGCATGCAGCTAGGCTATATAGAGATGTTCTGTCAGCGCTTCGATGACAGTAGAGATTATTAGAAGAGTGTCTGTAAGATCAAGTGGATAAACGTGGTTCATTTTCTCCATTTATGTGTTATCTGCACTGATACAACACCCCTGATGAGATTGTGCAACCCTGGCACTTGCAGAATGTGACCTGGTCAAATGCTGCCTGGCTTAAACATTCCTCACACTTCTTGTAGAGTTTCATCTTGTTTTCCAAATAATTAATTATTGAAAGGCATCAGCATGCCTCTTGGCGCTAACTATTTCTTCGGTTTGCTACAAAACACGGACTCTTTCTGTAATAGACCTACCTTCTGCATATACGGTACCAATGTCATCATCGCGATTAATGAGGTGATAAAACAACTGGTCGGTGCTTGCTGTTGCGTGAGGCAACTTGGTATCACCTATTCACCATTTTACACACAAGCCAACTCGTGTGAGCAACTCTTGAGCCAGCAGCTTCTGGCCCAGGCGATAGACCACACAGAGAGTCTTGTGCCACCCGCTGCATGCACAGAGGCACACGCATGGAGACGGGCAGGCGCACGTAGGTACTGTATACGTCAAGCCAACGGAGTAGGAATTGAAGTTAGAAACTCGAACCCTACGATACACAGTGAGTCGTGTGCTGCGCGTGGCATACACATCAGGGTTCCCTGTGCCCTGTCCACCACACCACACCCACCACACCACGCCCACCACACCCTGCTCACCTCTTATCCTGCTCATCTACGCCCGCATGAGCATTGAGCCATGCAGCGTCCTCTTCCGCAGTCCCCGTGCCCTGCACCATGCGGTCAAGCCTGAGAGCAGGGAGTGAAAAGGATGTGAGGTGACTTCGGCTCATCAATGTGTGCATGTGCGTTGAGCCATGCAGTGTTCTCTTCAGCAGTCCCCGTGCCCTGCACCATGCTGTCATTCCTGAATCAGGAGCAGGGGCAGGGGCAGGGGCAGGGGCAGGGGCAGGGCCAGGGGCAGGGGCAGGGGCAGGGGCAGGGACAGGGGCAGGGGCAGGGGCAGGGGCAGGGGAGATAATGGGGAAAGGCAGAGGAGAGAGTGAGAAAGGGCGACATAGAGAGAGAAAGGGTGACAGAGAGTGAGAAAGGGGTAGGAGAGATCAGATCAGCACGTCATCATGTGAACTGATGCACTGAAAACACTGCAGAAAACAATTACCATATTGCAGTAAACTAGCAAACCTGAACCTCAACTCACCATCCCTATCCCATGACTCACCACCCCTGTCCCGTGACTCACCACCCCTGTCCCATGACTCACCACCCCTGTCCCATGACTCACCAACCCTGTCCCATGAGCCCTCACCTATGCTGCAGAAGTTGTTGCAAGCAGCAGCAGCGCCTGTGCATCCCCCCCCGCTGCCTCTCTCACTGCCTCGCTTGCGTCCTCAGGGCTTAGAGCCCCCTCCCCTGCTGCTGCCTTGCGCTGCCATGCAGGGTGGAAGGGAAGGGATGCGATGGGTAAGTTTTGCCGCTTGGCTAGTGAGATCAACGAACGGGGATGAGGGTCGTTTCGTGGCAACAGCAAGAAACCATTCGAGATTCTAACAGGGCAGGCAGCAGATGAAGCAGATGCCACGTGTCATATCCACGTCAGCCTTGCGTACCTCCAGGAGTGCTGACGTGGCAGCATCCAACTGGGCTTCTGTGAGTGAGAGCACTCGCAGTGCTGCCATCAAGCTAGAGGGAAACACATCCCCATGCTCACTCCCCTCTTGCTCCCCCCCACCCTCCTCCTCCTTATGCTGTCCCTGCTGCACCTGCACCTCATCCTGCCCCTGCTTGTCCTCCTGCCCCTGCTTGTCCTCCTGCCCCTGCTTGTCCTCCTGCCCCTGCTTCTCCCCTCGCTCCTGCTCCTTCCGACTCCTGGCAGATGAAGCACCGGCATACTGGCAATCGTTGTTGGGATACTTGGAGGAACGCGGAATGATCCATTGTAGTGAGAGGTCCTATAAGGGGGACAGAGCATGATTGCAGACATAGACGAGAGGAAGTGACTGGCAGCATGGGTATCACAGTCCAGTTTGAAGATGCTATGGGACTTTTGTTTAAGAGGCACTGTGAATGGATCAATGCAGAATGTAAAAGGAAAAGCCTGGGACCTGTATTGTCAGTGGCTGACGTGTCAGTACCTGACTCGTTAGCAGCTGATTCGTTTATACCTGCACGGCCAAGAGCTGTAGCTTGGTCTCGGCGCATGGGTCTTCCTGAAGCTGTGCCGGGGGGGTAGTTGAGCTGGTGGGCATGGGAGGGCAATGGAAGTGGAAGAAAAAAAGAGGAGAGGAGAGACGTGGGGGCAGGGGCATGTGTGAGAAGGCAGAGGTATGTGCATTGAAGGCAGAGGAGAGGTATGCATCATGCATGAATTTGCGGGGGATTGGGATGAGTGGTTGGGCAGCATACCATGAGGCGCTCGTGGGGGTTGTTGGGAATGGCGAAGCCATAAAGAAACAGAAGCTCCTGGTGTGAGAGAGTGGTGGGGAGTGGAGGTGGCGAGAGGAAGGGAGAGAGGAAGGGAGAGAGGTAGGGAGTGAGGAAGAGAGTTTCAGGAAGTGTCCTCAAGCAACTGCACATTGTCTTACCAATACTGAACAGTTTGAACGTGTCCCATTCAGTTTGCAAAAGATAGCGCTACCTAAAATCACCCGATTACCCATACATAAGAGTACCAAATCGCTCTCACCTCGTTGCCCTTCTCCCCATAGCTGATGGTAACCTCGTTGCCTTGCACAGGAGGCACTACTGCAGGGCGGTGTGGGTTGGGGAGGGTGGAAAAGGGTGCAGAGGCGTGCTAGGAAGGATTGAAAGATGGGTGGCTTTGCGGCGCCACAAGAAAGAACCGAAAGTAAACTCGAGATAGGAAAACAGGCGGGTGGTTTTCGAGGCGGCCGCAACAAGACAAGATCCACACAGCACCAACTTCCAGCAGCATCACCTTGCAGCAGGCACACAGCGTCAGATTTGGCCATATGTTGAACTGGATGTGAGCCCGATGCTGAACCTGCTACTGCTCCATCTCCTCTTCCTTCCTCTTTTCCCTTCCCATGGTCGTCTCCCCAACTGCCATTGTTTCCAGAAGAGTGGGTAAGCTGGTTGGCTGTGAGAACCTCCCACCGAGCACAGGGCAGAAGGGCTGACGGACAGGGCAGAAAATGAAGGGAGAGAAGACCGAAGGAGAAAAGGAGTGGTCGAACAGGACATGGGAAATATGATATAACTTTTTTCTGGTCACATGGTCACTAATGAACTGAGGCGAGACACTGAGGAAGCAGGGAAGGTGGAGTGAACCACAGTGATTGCAGAAGTCAACTCCTGGGACAATCGCCTCTAGACTGTGTGGTGGGGAGTGGAGACGGGTCGGTTCTTGTGTATTCTAAAACAATCAAGTCGTCTAAGACGAGGTGACCCACAGTGATTGCAGAAGTCAACTCCTGGGACAATCGCCTCTAGACTGTGTGGTGGGGAGGACGCTGAAGGGGCGTCTACAGCATCGGCACCATCCGCACCATCAGCAGCAGGATCAGCATCAGAAACAGCAGCACCAGCAGCGGCATCACCAGCACCAGCATGTCCACCATCAGCATCCGGCACAGCGATGTTGACATAGGCAGAGAGGCTGGGAGCGAGCTGGAGGGTTAGAGCTCGCGACCAGAAAATGGAATTGGCCCTGAAAGAGTGGTGCACAGGGACGTATATCCAGAGGATGTACAGGACAGAGCAAGGTGGAAGGAAGGCAGGAGAAAATGGAAGAGAGAAGGTATAGATGGGTAGTTGGGGAGCGAGAGGATGGTGGGGGGAGGGGGCAGTTGAGCCGATTCAGAAGTAACGAATCAAAGCAAGGGGCAAGTTGAGTAAGAAGAAGCGAGGCATTGGCCAGTGAGAGGAGAGGCACGTGAGGGCAGAGAGAAAACGGGCGCTGCATAAGTGGCAGAACGTGAGGGGAAGAGGGCGAAGAAGAACACAACAGTGGAGTTTTTGTTTTCGTACCAGAGAAAATCGTCCAAGGAGATGCAGCTGGAGGCATCGCCACTGTTCTGCTCCCCCTCTGCTTCGACCACCACAGCAGCAAAGATTGGCTCCACCTGCTCCTCGTACACACGCCTCAAGTTGGCCCTCTGAACGAACAGGGGATTGAATATGGAGACATGAAGAGTAGAGGAAAATCAATCAGCCCACCACAGCAGCAAGGATCGGCTCCAGTTGGCCCTCAATTCCACCTGCTCCTCGTACACTCGCCTCCAGTTGGCCCTCTGAACGAACAGGGAGATTCCAAAACACGCACACTGTCTACTTAGATAGCCCAATCAAATGTGATGCAGCAGCTGTCAGCCCACTGCAGCAGCGAAGATTGGCCCCACCTGCTCCTCTTACACACGCCTCAAGTTGGCCCTATGAAGGTGCAAGAGGATTCAATATGGAGCCGTACGTAGCAGAGAAAACACCATGAGATGTGATGTGGCAGTTAGCGTAGCAAAGCAGTAAAGATCAAGTCCACCTGCTCCTGGTACATGGGATTCGACTTTCAAGCACGCCTGACATTGCAAAAACTCCTCACGTTGCAAAAACGCCTCACGTTGCAAACGCCTACCTGCGCACATGCAGCGTTGTACAGAGGAGTGCCTCGCAGCTCCTCCAACGTGGCCTGGTCGAACCACAGAGGCGAGTCAAAGCACTGTGGCAGGCAGGAGAGGTAGCTGCAGGCAGGTGTGTGGGACGGGCCGTGGGGCAGAGGAAAGGGCAAGTGCGGGTTGATGGGTGACTCAAACAGGTCAAATATCCTGAAGGGAGCTATTTCCCCTCCCTGGTGCCATCGGTGCCGGCTGCAGAAAGAGTTTTGAGAACTCTGACAAGTCCATCCAGCAGGCCCCGGTTGTGTTTTGATTCGACTCAAAACAAGGAAACAGGAACTGGAGAGCTGTACCGAAGGACTTACGGAGCCCAGAAGGAGCGTTCTTTCTGGTGGCAGCGGTGCAGTGCAGCAGCTGCAGGAGGAGCACGAGCATGTGGTGGTCCAGCAGGCCCTGGGAGAGCAGGCTGGAGAGAGAGGATATTTCCGAATACTCGAACTGAAGAACTTACGGAGCCCAGAAGGAGTGTTCTTTCTGGTGGCATCGATGTAGCAGCAGCAGGAGCAGCACAAGCATGCGGTGGTCCAGCAGGCCCTGGGAGTGCAGGCGGCGCAAAGAGGCGCCATAGATGGGGTCTTGCAGGGCAGTGGGCGCGGAGAGGAGGAGAGAGAGCGGCACGGAGATGAGCACTGTGTCTGAGCGAGGGGGAAGAGTAGGGGGTGGTGACGTAGGGGGGTTGGGAAAAATGGGGAAATATAGGGGATGGGAGTGAGGGTGAGCATGCGGTGGTCCAGCAGGCCCTGGGAGTGCAGGCGGCGCAGAGAGGTGCCGTAGAGGGGGTCTTGCAGGGCCGTGGGTGCGGAGAGGAGGAGAGAGAGCGGCACGGAGATGAGAACTGCATCTGCAGGTGTGGGGATGATGTAGGGGAGAATGCGTAAGGGGATCGGGGAAGGGAAGATGGGAGAAATGGGGGAATGGGAGTAAGGGTGAGTTTGCGGTGGTCCAGCAGGCCCTGGGAGTGCAGGCGGTGCAGAAAGGCGCCATAGAGGGGGTCTTTCAGGGCGGTGGGCGCGGAGAGAAGGAGAGACAGCGGCACGGAGATGAGAACTGCATCTCCAGGTGCGGGGATGATGTAGGGGAGAATGCGTAAGGGGATCGGGGAAGGGAAGATGGGAGAAATGGGGGAATGGGAGTAAGGGTGAGCATGCGGTGGTCCAGCAGGCCCTGGGAGTGCAGGCGGCGCAGAAAGGCGCCATAGAGGGGGTCTTTCAGGGCGGTGGGCGCGGAGAGAAGGAGAGACAGCGGCACGGAGATGAGCACTCTGTCTGCAGGCGTGATGAGGGGATAGGGTGGCGACGTATGCCATAAGGGGTTGTGGGGAATGGGAAAACGGGGGAAATGGGATTCAGGGTTATTTCAATTTAGCTCAACAATCGTTTTGAGGTTGGCACAGAGATGAGCACTGTGTCTGTGGGTGTGGGAGGGAGTGACGAGCGGGGATGGCTTAAGAGGATGGGAGGAAGATCGAATTAGGGTGACCTGGTGAGTCGCCTCGACCGTCAATTGATGGCATTGGAGATGATTACTCCGTCGTCTTCACGACCATGCGGTTTGCTCGAGGCCACCGCATGTGCAGGTGTGCTGAGGTGTGGAGGATCACGCAAGTTTGGGAGTCACTTTTGAGAATTCCCAAAAGTAACGCAAGAGGATTGTGAGGATTGTGAAGGAATGACAAGGAGTGGGAGGAATGGGAGTTGGCGAAAGCCTGGATATGGGGAGGGGTGAAACGGAGGGAGAACGGTATGGCAGAAGCAGGAAAATCGTTGGCGGATTAGCACCAGGATTGTGAAGGTCACCGAAGTGCAGATTCACAAAGCAGTGAGGAAATAATTCAAATTTGCTCGAAAGGAAGTCACAAAGACGGACCTCCATCGGCAGTATACATTCTCTCATCCGTATCCGATCTGGACAGAAAAAACGCCGAATCCCGCACTGGCTGAAGCATGATCACCCGTAAGAAGCTCTGCTTCTGCAGCCTCAGCATCATCCTCCCTGGTTGCTACGTTCCCAGCCGCTGCGTCGCTTTCACGAGCATGCGATCCGTTCGCGGACGCTGTTCGAGCACTGCTCGTGTCATCGTCTGATACGCGTGGATTTGACGTAGCAAGTTTGGATTCAGACGACACGGAGGCGAATGACGCGACGGATGGCAAGGCTTTCGAAAAGCATTCACGAATTTTGCAGCCGGAAATGCGAGCGCCGTGTTCCTGAAGAGGAAATGAACGGGATTAGCACCAGGGGAAGCAATTGAATACGCGTCTGTCGCGTCGGATAACGTTCGGACTCAATGCCGAAGCGATTGGTCACCAACGCAATGTGGATGATTCACCTCAAGCCATGTCGTGAGAGCTGTACTCATGGCGGGAACGTGATGTCTGAAAATGAGACCTGGGTACATTCAGCGAAGGTAACTAGTCGTGTATTCTGAAGCCATTACTACGAGAGCTGGACTGTGTCCGACCTTGGGATTGCCTTAGTCTGCAATCAAGTCAATCCGTTGTCCTCGACATTGGCACCCAGATACTCGCCCTTAAGTATTTTACAAATCACGGCTTCCACAAAATGAAAATGTTACGCAGACAAAAGTAGAAATCACTTTCACCCAAGATAATTGTTGTTGCTCAATCAGTGATGACCAAGTCAGCTTCCACGTCCTTCGGATTCCGCAGAAAAATATCGAATCACAGCTCTCGAACGTCCCAGCTTGCCGCCGCACCCGTGCATTCAAAAAGCGGCATGTGTCCACTTCCAGCAAAAGGGGCATCGGACCACGAAAAGCGGTAGTACACGTGCGCAAAATGTAACTCGATCACCTGCACCAATAGTGCTCATTTTACGCGCAATTCCCTATGTGATCGGGTCGCCTGATTGCACTGAACAATACTTCCTTCTTGTAGTTACAAGAGGGTAACACTGCATCTGAGCCGTACGATGCCCTGATGCACCTCTAATCAATTGTTGGAATTCTCGCTCGGATGCAAGCAACTGGGAGTATTTCAGAATCGCTTGGCGGAGTCCCATGACATTCTAGAGAGCAGGTATATCTCACAGACCTGCAGTTCTTATTTTCAGTTTACGCAATCGAGACTTCTGTTGACCTCCACCTTTCTCCACCTTTTTCGCGAACAGAGAACCAGTCGATCGTAACAATGGCCACCGCGATCTCGCTCTCTGCACGCGTGCCTACCGTGCTTAAGGCCGAGAAGAGGACTGTTTCCGAAGCCAGCAATGCTACTGAGCTGGTAAGTTCGATTGAGAAATAGCTCATTCATGCGTTACACCTCTGTATGCCGCTAAACCCACGTTTTATCGCGCCCGTTCTTCGCCTCTGTTGCCGTTTTCACCTGGGATTCTAATGTGTCTTGTTCCCGCCTTACCAGGGCTTCGCTCGGTCGTTCCGCGTGAACAACAGTCTCGTGGGCCCATGCAAGCCCCTGAAGGCAACGAAGGCATCGAGATGCGTCGCAACTAAGGCTGCTATAGCGACAGAGAAGCCTCCCACTGATTCAGGTTAGTCATTCTAATAGACCCTAGGTCGAGCAAAATTGTATGATTATCCAAGTGACCGTTCGCTGACAAATTCATGTGTTTCTTTGTGACAGCGTCCAAGAGCAAGAGCAAGATTCGCATTGGAATCAATGGTGCGTCCTAGTGTTGGACTGCAGTCAGTTATCCCGTGTGTCGGCGATTGTTATTTGTGAACGCAGCATGATTGCTAACATCCACTGCCGCTTTTCCAGGTTTCGGTCGCATCGGTCGTCTTGTTCTTCGCGTTGCTCTGGACAGGCCTGATGTGCAGGTCGTTGGTATCAACGATCCGTTTATCGACACTGATTACATGGTATTTCCACATGATTAGTCTATTACCTGTCATCGTCTTTCGTCACGTATATCTCTCCGTTTTCCACATTGTCATTCAGCGTTGGATCGTACTGATTCTTTCGTGTAACCATCGCCGCTGTTCAGGCTTACATGTTCCGCTACGATAGCTCCCACGGCACATACCCCGGCGAAGTTCACGCTGAGAGTGCGAACGCCATCAACATTGACGGACAAAGCATCGCGGTCTTTGGAAAGAGGTCAGTATCTAGTCTCCGGTAGTTTTTCATCCCGGATTCCATGTGACAATCAGCAAAATGATTTACGCTCACCGGTCGTTTTCATGTGCAGGGACCCAGCTGAAATTCCCTGGGGTGAATCCGGTGTCGACTTTGTGGTTGAGTCAACAGGTACAGGATAAAGAAAGTGCTTTCTCGTAGTAACGTTGCACAAGACGGCTTGTTGAGCAATGCACCTTTGTCATTGTGCATGCAGGTGTGTTTACTACTATCGGCAAGGCCGAGGCCCATATTAAGGCTGGCGCGAAGAAGGTAGTGATTTCGGCTCCTTCAGCAGACGCTCCCATGTTCGTGATGGGAGTCAACGACGAGAAGTACCTTCCTTCCATGAACGTTGTCTCCAACGCCAGCTGCACCACCAACTGCCTAGCTCCGCTCGCCAAGGTAAGGAGACAATATGAAACAAAAGATCCAAAATTACCTTAAACATTGATGCTGTACCAGGAATGCACTGTCGCTTAATGCGGTGTTTGTTTAACATCCCTGCGTAACAGGTGGTTCACGAAGAGTTTGGCATTCTCGAGGGCCTTATGACCACTGTTCACGCTGTCACAGGTCAGTCTGCCAGAAAGCGATGCCTTGGTTTCGTGCTTAGACAGTTCCTGTGTCTTACGCTTGTCATTATGTCCTTTTGTGTTGCAGCCACGCAGAAGCCTGTTGATGCGCCATCGGCCAAGGACTGGCGTGGCGGCCGTGGAGCGGCGCAAAACATCATTCCCAGCTCCACTGGTGCAGCCAAGGTAACTGGGTCTATTTTTTTTTTTTCCACCTACTGAAAGAATTATGTTTGTACACAGATGTTACTGAGGATGTGAATGCGTGGTCAGGAATAGCACCTCAACATTTCTTTGGTGATACCGTGTGAATGCAGGCTGTAGGCAAGGTCCTTCCCGCCCTGAACGGCAAGCTGACTGGCATGGCCTTCCGTGTGCCCACTCCTGACGTGTCGGTGGTTGACCTGACTGTTCGCCTGGAAAAGGGAGCCAGCTACGATGACATCAAGGCAGCCATCAAGTACGCTGAGCCTAGCTCCTGATTCTTCGGTTCCTTTCAATGAGTTCTAACATGTGAATCTGCCTGCTCTATATGCAGGGCTGCATCTGAGGGTCCTCTGAAGGGCTACCTTGGATACACAGAGGATGATGTGGTCTCCACTGACTTTTTGGGTGATCCCAGGTAAGCATACAGTCTTCCGCAAAGTTTTATGTGCTGGGTCTCTTCATAAAGCTTAGCATCTGATGAATGTCTCTGAGCATTGCAGGTCGAGCATTTTCGATGCCAAGGCAGGAATTGCCCTCACCCCTAACTTTGTCAAGCTGGTGTCTTGGTATGACAACGAGTGGGGCTACAGGTAATTGATGTTACGTTTTCTTTGCTGCCGCCTTGGACGCTGTGTTTAAGGACCACCTAACGATACCCATCTGTTTGCTGTCTCCACTTGCAGCAATCGCGTGATTGACCTGATTGAGCATATGGTGGCAGTTGCTGTTGCCGATGCGGGCAATTAAAACACATCAGATGCATTTAGTATAAGATGATGGCTTGTCATTTTCCTCGCTATTAGTGGAAAATGTGTGCAGGAAGATTCAAGACTTGTCTATTCCCATTTACCTCGCCAATAGAGTGCACATTTCCTAATATCATTCAGCACTTTGCAAGCGAGCGTGCTAACATCGGAGCATTTTAAGACCCGCGAAATATCACGTAAACGAAGTGAACGAAGAACAGATTTCAAAGAAGGGGCGAAGCGGACAGCTCGAACTGATGTGGCGTCCATGAATTTTGACGACCAGCAAACACCTCTTCCACGATAACGTGGAACCAGTTCGATCTGTCAATAGAATATCGCCACATGGCTTGTTCGTAGGTGATTGGCTGGTAGACTGCCACATAGGATCTGAGAAAGTAAGCACCTTTTTTAAAGGTCAGTGTTTCTCCTACATTTCGGTTTCCGGTCAGCTTACATAACCTGCTGATTTTGTATTACAGGCCCCGACACTAACATCAAATCCTCGTTACCTGCAAGAAAAGTCTACTGTACAAAGTGGGTATTCTTGTCCATTGCCTTACGCAAAAAAGGAGATGGAGCAAAAGAAATTTGGAGCAAAGCCGCTGTCTTGGTGCAGGCAAACAGTCCTTGGAAGTTCCAACCTCCAAATTCTGAAGCACCCCAAATTGACGGCTGGGGCTCTTCCCCCCAGTGTCTTCGCATCCATTCCCTTCCCCAGCAGCACAGCCCCTTTCCTGACCACATTTCGCCTAGGATTGCAGGCCATTCGAGCCAGTTGTGCAGCCCACTCACCACATTTACCAACAGCGCATTCTCAACTTGGCCCACCATCGAAGTTTGCCCACCAGCCCGTTTTTCCGAAGATGATGGTGCCTTTGGTGGGAACGCTCCCACTCTACCCACCGAACCTCATTTAGGCGGGCGACAGATGTCGCCAGCGTCGCATGTCCGATATCCAATGAAATTGACGCGCCAGCTCGCATACCAAGTGTTGGAGGAACTTCGTCAGGCAAAACCTAAACAGCCGTGCCTGACGATTGCGCCTACGTAAATTTTGGGCACAATGGTCATATCAAGTGAACGTGGGTTTACTTGGCAAAATCAAGTAAGCAACGCAGAAATGGGTTGCGTGGGCAGGAAAGAAATATATGTGACGGCTGTGTGCATGAAACTGGCATGTCTAACACTAGTCCCAACACCCAGCAAACGTGGCACGATCTCCATTGTCGTACACTGACGAACAGGCCAGGAATTGCGACCATGGCCGGTTGGACTCATGGTGGCCAAACTTCGAATCGCGTGGGGAAACTTTCCAATGTAAAATAATGCCACGTCAACAATTCGAGTCGCGTGGGCAAACTTCTGATGGTGGGAAAATTTGAGAATGCGCCCTAAGCTGCCTACCAGGATTGAGTTCAGACCCCGCACGAAGTCGACGCTGTATGTACCGACTGAAACACATCACGTGTCACAAGTTCGTCAGCGTGTCCGGCTTTCCCCGAACTCCTCTTAATAGTCGCCGTCCAGACGGTCTAAAGCTCCTTTTTTTGAACGTCGCTGCGGGGAATCTTCGCATTCTTCGTCGCCAACCGTACACTTCGTCAAACTGATGTCGCCTGTACATGCCCGCTCCTCGTTGTACGCGCCAACAGCAACCCCGCTATCCCCACTTATGCACTCCCCCAACAGCACCTTGCCCCGTCAACGGTGCTGTAGACCCTCCGCCGTCTCAACACCCCCTCGGATCCCTTCAATCCTTCCTTCCCGCGCTTCCCTAATCTCACGGAGCACCGTAAGCCCAGCCTTCCCGACTTCCTATGAGAAGGCCCGATTTTCCCGCGGCACCGTAGGAGCTGAAACCAGCGCCTGTTGCGGTAACAGCAGCCGCTATCGCCGCTCCTCCATTTTTTGCGTGTCGTCTTCCGCGCATTCCTCACCCGCTCGTGGGGGATTTATATCCGCGGGGAAGAATGTCGATACGAGGTGGAACTCCGCATATGCGCGGAGCAACCAGGGAACGCAGAATGGGATCTGTTCGCGGGGAGGCGCTGGGGTTCCAAACAGGCCATTTCTTAAAGGCATGGGGGTGGGACCGGGGCTTCGGAGAATAGGAGGGGACGAATTCGGGGGAAGTAGAGGGGCGGAGGAAGTTGGTGTGCGAAGAAGAGTGGTGGTGCGAGCTGTGGGCCCCGAAATAGGTTCAAATGCGGCGTACGATGTGATTGGGTCGCTGGGGCTCGATACACTCACGTTCCTGGTGGCCACCGTTATTGTTATCCCGGCTTTCAAAAGCCTCAAAATAAGCCCGGTAAGGCGGGACAGCGTATCTTACCCACTGCATACCTTCACTAGACAGGAAAGCGAACGACGGGCCGTTATGAAGCTTGCGATTCCGTTCGCGTTCCTTTCCCTCACAACGTTGGCCTCGTAATTTCTTACCTCCGCTGTTTTGGGCTCTAATGCTTTGCAGATTCTCGGATTTCTTCTATCGGGTGTTGCTCTTAACGAGTTGGGGCTCATTCGGAACATCACCGACGTGAAGGCACTTAGCGAGCTTGGGATTTTGTTCCTGGTGAGTGAGTATAGTGCTGCCATTGTTCTGCTTTTTGTAACAAAACGGCGGTAATTCGAAGGTACAAGAAAAGGCCAGATGCAATTGAAGAAAGGTTAAGAAAAGTAGGGTACCACATTTTCCTTGCGCAGTCAAGAGCTCTATTGACGCACTAGCCAGGTGCACGCGCACGAACTTGTGAATGACCATCGCTCCGCCCCGTCCCCATCACTTCGCTCCACATCACTCCCCATCTCCGCACATCTGTCTACGTGTGCAACCCCCCGTCTCCCTCTACCGCCCCCATGACAGCTCTTCGAAATGGGCCTCGAGCTCTCCCTCGAGCGACTCAGAGCACTCGCCAAGTTCGCATTCGGCATGGGCCTTCCGCAGGTACCACCTGTTCCTGACGCCCCACTCCCCAGGTACCACCTGCTCCCGACGCTCCCCTCCCCAGGTACCACCTGCTCCCGACGCTCCCTTCCCCAGATTCCTCCCTTCTCCGTAGCCCTTCCCCCATCCGCCTCCTGTCATTACCTTTTTTTTGTCTCATCTCCCCACATCTCAAGGCGGCCAGATCCCCGAATCTGGTTCAACACATTTCCTAGAACCCTCTGTTGGCTGATTTTTGAGTCGACTCAAAAATCAAGAACCCTCTGTTGACTCTGCATCTGTCTCCTCCGTCCATCTCTCATCACTATCCTCCACTCTGCCACCCAATCCCTACCTCATCCGCCTTTCCCAGTGTCTTTGAGCCAGCACCACACCTTACTGGTTGTCCTCTTTCCAGTGCTAAGCTCACTAATACAGTTCCCACCCACGGTACTATTACTTGCTTACTCTCTCCCCCGCCCGCCCTTCCTCTTTCTTCCTCCCTCCCTCCCTCCCTCCCTCCCTCCCTCCCTCCCTCCCTCCCTCCCTCCCTCCCTCCCTCCCTCCCTCCCTCCCTCCCTCCCTCCCTCCCTCCCTCCCTCCCTCCCTCCCTCCCTCCCGCCCTCCCTGCCTCCCTCCGTCCGTCCCCCTGTCATCCCTACAGGTTCTCCTCACCACGCTTGATGGAAGTAAGGCCTCCGCAGCCCACCTGTCCTCTCTTGACAGTTCCCTCCCTCCCGCCCTCCCCCTGTCATCCCTACAGGTTCTCCTAACGACGCTTGCCTTCACAGCGTTCGAGCTGCCAATCGACAATGCCATCGGCACCCGTGCGCTCGAATTTCTCTTTGGGGCCAAAGCTGATCTGGTACGTTCTCACCTACTCTACTCTAGTCGTCCCTCAAAACACACAAGCAAAAGCCAGCTGTTCTGTAGCATACAAGCTCGAGAGATAGCTTTCGTGCTGAAAAATCAGAGGTTCTTGCATTCTGGCAAGCGGCTCTAAATGCCACTACCTATCCATGCTTGCCCGGCCTGGGTATCTTGTGCTTGCATGCTCCTTTGCAGGTGAACATCCGGTCGCTAGATGAGGCCATTGTCATTGGAGCTGCTCTTGCGCTCTCCTCATCCGCCTTCGTGCTTCAGGTGGGCTCATGCTCATGCTCTGCACAGGTCTCACGGTCTCTTCAGGGCTCAGTCAGCATTATTCCACCGGCATTCAATTTGTGTCCAAGCGCTATTCAGTCAGTATCTTTTCGAGTGCCAGTCCCACAAGGTACACATCCATTATAAGGTCCATTACCAGCAATCAGCAAACATTCCCACTCATGAATCCCCTTCTCTCTCCACTCGCCTTCCTCCCCCGTTCTCCCCACCGTTTCCGCTTCCTCCTCTCCGCGCCCCCTTCAATTGCCTCATGCAGCTTTTGTCTGAAAAGGGTGAGCTCGCCACTCGCTACGGATCGGCAACTCTCGGCATCTTGCTGCTGCAGGACATTGCAGTCGTCCCTCTGCTCGTCATTCTCCCCATCCTTGAGAACGGGGTAAGAACCAACCACCAATCAACAGAGACATGAGAAGTTATGATACCTCCCATTCCAGAACAAACAGCACGGCACCTATTGACTGGACACAATGTTGCATCATGGGACGGCATGGGGCAATATGCTGACAAAGGTCACATCTTATTCCATTTAGGCCTTGGGCAATATGCTGACAATGGAAAAGGGAACAACTCACTTGTTGTCATTGTGAAAAACTATTGTAACGTACTCACAAGCGCACCTTACACGCCTTTGAGGCCTTCACTGGGAGAGCGCACAGCTCACGGGACACAGCACGTGCGTGATCATCACCACACCAACACTAAACGTGGTTCTATTCTGCACCTGTTCACAACCTGATTCCTCACAACACAAAGGTATTGGCTACTCACCCGTCCATGCGATTTTACATCCCATCCCCTCATCTCCGTGCACATCTCCTCCTCTTCTCATGTCCCCCCCAACATCCCCGTCATCTGCCCCCACCCCATTCCATGCCCCACCCCTTCCCCACGCCCAGGACTTCACTTCACAGACAATTCCATCTCCCCTCTGCTCGCTCCGGAGGCAGCCGAGGCGACTGATGATTCGACTCAAGAAAAGCCATTCACCCTTCTTTCTTATCCCCTCCCTTTTTCTGCTTCCCGCCCCTTCCCTACGCCCAGGACTTCACAGACGATTCCGTCTTCCCACTGCTCGCTCTGGAAGGAGCCCAGGTGAGGTGATCTGAAGTCAAACCAATCACCCTTATTCCCTCCCGGTTGCCACTCCCTGTTTCCCCCCCCAACACGCAGGACTTCACAGACGATTCCGTCTTCCCTCTGCTCGCCCTGGAAGGAGCCAAGTCGCTGCTGGGGCTCGGAGCTCTGCTTTACACGGGGCGTATTGCCCTGCGCCGGCTCTTTGAGGTGAGGCTGCATGGCAGCATGATGGCATAATGACATAATGGCATGATGGCGTGATGGGGCGTAATAATATGATGGCATGATGACATGATGGCATGTTTCCATGATGGCGTGATGGCAGGATGGCAGCATGCGTGACTCTTGCTGTTTAGAAGCCATGCACCCTGTGCCTATCCTTCATCTCTCTCCCACCCCGCGCTTCCTCTCCCTCTGCCCGCCTCTCTGTCTCGTCCTCTCTGCAGTTCGTGGTAGAGTCGCGCAGTTCAGAGGCGTTCATTGCTCTCTGCCTCTCCTTCATCTCTCTCCCACCCCATCCCTCCTCCCATTTTGCCCTGCCTCTCCCTATCCCATTCTGCAGTTCGTGGCAGAGTCGCGCAGTTCAGAGGCGTTCATTGCTCTCTGCCTACTCACAGTCACGGGAACAGCTCTCATTACCAGCAAGCTTGGATTCAGTGACTCGGTAAGACTATTCTTGGACCACCCGACATCACGTCATCAGACCATCATTTCAAACTCATCCACTCGCATGCTTATAAGTAAGAGCCTGAATACAGGTGCACTTGTTTTCTCCCTCCTTAACGTTGAGCACGACTGACGCTGAAGTAATTTCCCTTGTCTCTCTCTCTCCCCTGTGCATGTGTGTGTAGTTGGGAGCGTTCCTAGCAGGAGCACTGCTGGCGGAGACCAACTACCGCACACAGGTGGAGGCGGACATCCGCCCCTTCCGAGGGCTGCTGCTGGGTCTCTTCTTCGTCACCACTGGCAGCTCCATCGACCTCAACGTGAGTGCACTCGTACAACTGTGTAGACTCTCAGAGACTTATTCAGGCACTTGCCCTATTGACTGGCGGCATTGCTACAACATCTCTCATCACAGCGCTTACCATCCCTCCCATCAACCTCCTGCGCCCCACCTCCCTTACCCTCACCTTTTCTTGCAACTGACAGCGTTATTGCTGCCAAAGGTCCTGGCTCCTTGGACTGGACAATCGCACAATTGCTGCACCACTCGTCTTTCCTCATCACTCCCTTAGCGCTTTCCTCCCTCCCTCCACAGCTGCTAGCATCGGAGAGGCCAAACATCCTGGCGCTACTAGCAGGCCTCATAGGCATCAAGGCAGCCATCGTCACACCTTTCAACTCACTTTCTCCAACTCTTGGTGTTCATCTCCCCCTCTCTCTTTCTTTTCCAGCTGCTAGCATCGGAGAGGCCAAACATCCTGGCGCTACTAGCAGGCCTCATAGGCATCAAGGCAGCCATCGTCACACCTTTCAACTCACTTTCTCCAACTCTTGGTGTTCATCTCCCCCTCTCTCTTTCTTTTCCAGCTGCTAGCATCGGAGAGGCCAAACATCCTGGCGCTACTAGCAGGCCTCATAGTGGGAATATACGCTTAACACCTTAAGCGTATAGCGTATGTACGCTAGCGTACATACGCTATCCGCTATACGCTAGCTAATACGCTATACGCTATCAGAAATTTTTTAGGGCTGCCCGAAAAAAAATCGCAAAAAAGAATTCCTAGGTGAGCATTTCGCCATAGTCGAAATTCAAATCCGCGGTCTAGGCAAACGGGGATCTGACTTCGAAGTCGTCTGGCAAATCTTGAATTTGAGATCCATATAGGGATTGAAATCCATCCCTTCTACCGCATTGAACCCCACTTTATCTACAAACACCAACCTGTCCAATTTAACCCCCCAACAAATCTCACGGTACTTACCAGCCAACCCTTTTGGCTAACCCTAACTCGTCATTTCGTTCCCGCTTTCACCAGAGTTCACGCTACTTCGCTTTCAAGCTATTAGGTCTACTCCACCTCCCATTGTACGAGTCATTCGGATTCAGGATTATGCTAGGGCAAGCCTTAATAAGAAGAGGGAGTACTTTTTTCACCTGCCCGGAAAGTTTTTCCTCTGCCCGAAAAAGCGTATCTGCAAACCGGACCCCTAAGCGGATAGCGTACATACGCTAGCGTATATGCGACACGCGTATATACGCTATACGCGTATATTCCCACTTCATAGGCATCAAGGCAGCCATCGTCACACCTTTCAACTCACTTTCTCCAACTCTTGGTGTTCATCTCCCCCTCTCTCTTTCTTTTCCAGCTGCTAGCATCGGAGTGGCCAAACATCCTGGCGCTCCTGACGGGTCTCATAGGCATCAAGGCAGCCATCATCACAGCCCTCGGCCCACGTGTGGGCCTCACTCTCTCGGAGTCCGTGCGCACGGGGCTGCTGCTGTCCCAGGGGGGCGAGTTCGCCTTCGTCGTCTTTGCCCTGGCCAACCAGTGAGTTATATTTTCATATCTAAACCCCACTCCCGGTGTGCCTGACCGCCTCATAGGCACAAAGGCAACCATCATTATGGCGCTAGGGCTGCGTGTGGGGGTCAATCTCTCGGAGTCTGTGCGCACGGGGCTGCTGCTGTGGCAAGGGGGCGAGTTCGCCTTTGTTAACTTCGCCCTTGCCAGCCAGTGAGTCATATTTCCATAGCATAACCCACGCTCTCCCTCACCAAAAGTTGTCCTCGCCCTCGCCAACCAGTGAGTCATAAGTGTTCAACATAACACACGTTTCTGCCTCGCTCGTCTTGTGTTTTTCGAGGCGCCTCATTAGTTGTCTTCTCCATTGCCAAAAGTTCTCCTCGCCCTCGCCATCCAGTGAGTCAACAGAACCCCCCCTCTTGCCTCACTTGGCTTGTCAATCCCAATCCACATGTTTCACGGAGCTCTACATAACATCTTTGACTCTCTCCCTCCCTCCCTCCCTCCCTCCCTCCCTCCCTATCCCTCTCCCACCATTCAGGCTGGGCGTGCTCCCACTGGAGCTGAACCGGCTGCTCATCATCGTTGTGGTGCTATCCATGGCGCTCACGCCCTTCCTTGACGCCCTGGGGCGCAGAGCAGCAGAGTACATTGAAGACAATATCGAATCCAGGGACGCTGCCACCGTTGCTGCTGCGGGCGTGCGTGGTGGGGCAGCTGTGGGTAGACTGGGACCGGGTGGGAATGGAGCGATGAGCGAAGGTGAAGGCAGCATGGAAGGCCAGCAGGTGAGTCCATGTCTCTCTGCTGTTGCTGCCAGGGCCGTGAGTGGTGTGGGTGGCGTGGCGGAGTCTGTTGGTAGACTGGGTGCGGGTGGGAATGAGACGATGAGTGAAGCTGATGGCGGCATGGAAGGCCAACAGGTGAGTCCATGCCTCTCTGCTGTTGCTGCCGGGGGCGCAGGGCCGATAGTCACTCTGGGATTCAACCGGATGGGGCAGGTGCTCACCAGTGTACCTTCTCCTCCATATTCCCGGATTAACCCCCTGTTGCTCATGTCACCATCACAGGCAGGCGCATCCCACTCTACTCACTTCGCTGGCGCAGAGCCGATAGTCATTTCGGTGTTCAACCAGATGGGCCAGGTTCTCACCAGTGTACCCTCCCCTCCCTATCCATCCATCCCCGTCTCTCCTACCACCATCACAGGCAGGCGCATCCCACTCTACGCACTTCGCCGGTGCGGAGCCGATTGTCATTCTAGGGTTCAACCAGATGGGGCAGGTGCTGGCCAATTTCCTCTCCACGCCACTTGCAGCGGGGTCAGGGGGCGACGCTGCTGGTTGGAACTTCATTTCCTTCGATCTCAACCCCAAGCGCGTGCGGGTAAGGCCGCCTACTACACTCCCTTTCAACATTTCCTCCAGTTCCAACTTGTAACGGGTTTCAAGCTTCCTTAGTACCCAACACTCTTCAAACCTCACCCTTGCCCCTCTCAATCCACTGACAGCTTGGCGCATCGCTCGGTTTCCCTGTCCTGTATGGCGACGGCAGCCGCCCGGCAGTGTTGGAATCAGCCGGCATTAGCCGCCCGAAGGCCTTCATGGTCGTCTATTCCAGCCGCACCCGATCCGTGGCTTCAATCGAGCGGCTCAAAGAGGCGTTCCCTGGGGTGAGTGTCTGTGATATATTGTGTGAGTTTTTGTGATGTCAGTTGTGCGTGTTTGTGATGTCAGTTCTGAATGTCTGAAATCACTCGTGAGCTGACTCACAAGTCACCACCTCTTTCTCCTCCCTCCTCCCCTCGCTCCTCCCCAGGTGCCTCTGTACGCACGGGCAGTGGACGCAGTGCATCTCTCGGAACTGAGGCGCGCAGGAGCCACTGACGTGGTGCTGGAGAGTGCTGAGGTGAGTTCAAGACACACTAGGTTTTTCTCCTTTGTCGGATTGTCTTATTCGTCGAAGACTTGTAAGTACAGCAATCAAGGTGCCTCTGATTCTTTTCTCCACCTCTCATCCCTCTTGCCCTTCAGACCACTACCTCGCAGCTGTTCCCCAAACGCTACTAGCTACTCTTTTTCTCTCGTTCTCAACCCTGCTCCTCGCCCTACACACTATCTAGCACATATTGCACTCGTCTCCCGTGCACCCATGCAGACTAGGCTTTATGCTGCTGCAGGAGATGGGGGTGATGCAGGACGACCTGGTGTTTGTGCCATTTCTCCCTCTCGCCCGCCCCTGATCCAACCCCTGCTCCTCTTCTCCCCCGTCCCTTCACTGCAGACTGGTCTCCGCCTGGGCTCCATGCTTCTGCAGGACATGGGAGTGATGCGAGACGATGTGGTGTTTGTGCGGCGCCTCATGCGGGACGCCATGGACCAAAGGGCTCTCTCTGCTTCCTCCTCCCAATCCTCCGACCTCATCTCCTCCCGCCCTCTTCTCGAAACTCTCAAGGTAAGGCTTCTCCTTCATCCCTGGTTGCTGTGCGTGGAATCTTCAAGCAGTTCTTTATCATTCTAAAAAACCGTATCGACTCTCCAGTCAAGCTTGTTGTGCGCACTCTTCGACTTCAATCCACCTGAACTGTAATGTATCGCCTTTACCGTCTGTTCATCCATCAGGAGACGCTTGGTCGGAGAGCCATTCGGCCCATAGAGCCCACAGCCTTCCTCATGAATCAACAAGATGACCGCACCGCCGCTCCTTCATCTGCAGCCTCCGCTGCAGCTTCTGCTGTCGATGGGGACACGATTCAGCAGGAGAATCCTGCTAAAGTTGCCGCGTTTACCGCTACCCGTGCATCCACAGTGGCTGCTACAGCTGCAGCTGCCGCTACAGCGGGCGTGCTTGTCGCGAGCAAAGAAGACAATACTTCAGCAGCTCCAAAAGAAGAGGGAGAGGGCTCAAAAGCAGGGATCAAAGAAGCGCCTGTAGCAAGGGGTTTAGGTGCAGCAGAGCTCCCGTCCCTCGAGTCACCAATGGGAATCAACCCCGTGTTCGTACTGGCAGACGCGCAGGCTTCGCCTGACGGCATGCTGCAGTACTTCTCCGATGGAGAGGACTTTGTGGACCGGAATCTCAGTCTTGATGCCAGTCAGCTACCCGCAGGCGCTACCATGCCGCCTTCGTTGGACTCGCCAGCAGTGCTGGGAGAGGGGTTCGGCTCGGAAGGATTGCAAGCCGCGGCGGGTGAGAGGCTGGTCTACTTTTCAGATGGGGATGATTTCGTTGATGTCAAGCTGGAGCTTCCTCAGTCTGGTGACTTCCCTCGGGAAAAGTAACTAGATATTTATACGGTGATGCTCGTGTATCACGATGGATACACTGACTCTATCCTTGCTAATGCAGGTTCATTTTTCCTATGTAAGCACCATGTATTTCTGGAAAAAATTCAGTGCTGGCCAAGCAATAACATCCAATCAAACTCTCCTCAGCTTCCATCATTGACAACAAAGAAAGTGAATGCATTTCACTTGCACCAACAAGATTACAGCATGCTACTGCGATAAGCACCACAAATACACCACCACCAACACCTTTGGGCACAATCCTCTAGGGCGCTTCGCTTTCTCTTCACGTAAGACAGCACAAAAGACCATCCCTAAACGCCTCATCTGACGCCTGGCAGAGCTGTAGATTGTCCAGAAAAGGGCCAGCTTCTATTGAAAACCAATTCTCCTTAGAAGCCCCGGCCAACGGACCAGACGCGGATGTAACCGTCAGTGTAACCACCATAGAGGGTGGCTCCATCTGCGCTCCAGTTGAGGCTCACACAGTACGGTGTCTGGTAAGGGGTCAAGAGGGCAAAGAGAGAGGAAGTGAGCAAGGAAATGGGGGGGGAAAGGTTAGTGTGCGAGGAAGTGGGAAGGCGAGGAATGGGATGGTCAAGGGTGGGTGGAGAGTAAGAAAGGTGAGAAATGGGACACTCTTAGCAGCTCTCTGAAAGTCCTCCATGCAACTGCAAACCCTATCATCTGCAGCAATTTGAGGTCGTAATCACCCTGTCTCATCACCCCTCAACTTGTTCCCCCAGCCTCCCCCAGCCTCCCCCAGCCTCCTAACCCCCGACGAAGCCCAAAACGTGCACCGGTGGAGCAAAACTAGCGTACCAGGCTTGCCTGTTCTCATGCCCGTTAAACTCCGTGCTCCTCTCCTCTCACCTCGCCTGAACCCCGCGTGCACCTCGCCTCTTATGCTTAAACGACCGTTTCTGGAAAGGAAACAACAGCATTGTTTCGGATTCGGCACCACGACTTCACACGGCTCACGTAACTCCCCCCCCTCGTTTCCTTCCCTCCCAGTATGCCCCAGATCTCTGTGTTGCTTGTCACTGTTAGCACACCACAGGGGGGCACCGCCCTGCTCCTCGCCTGCCACTTTCCCTCACGCACTCCATAAAGCCCTCCCTTCCCCTCACCCGTCTATTTCATTCACCCGTCCCTTGACTCTCCTCCTCCCCTCCGCTCACCCCCCCTCGACCCTCCCCCTTCCACACGCACCTGGCATTTTGTCTTTCCCCGCCTGTCATCGGTCTGAGCTGACCCCTCCGGCACGAGGGTGTCCACGAGGCGCTTGTTCCCCAGATCACCCCACCACCAACCCCCTTTTCCCCCTACGCCCCTCTGTCACTTCCCTCCAGTACCCTAATTGTGCCGCTCCAGCCCCCTCGCTTACTTTACCCCCCCTCCTCCTCCTTCGCCTGGCCCTTGAACTCCCCCTATTTACCTTCTACCCCCAACCCTCCTCTTAATGCTCCTCCCCCCTACTCACCTGGCCCTTGAACTCCGTGCTGCCGCGGGCGCGAACGAGCTCGAAGTCCGGCACAAGGGTATCCACGAGGCTCTTGTTCTCCAGGTCACCCCACCACCTCCCTTACCCCCTACACCCTGCCACTCCCCCCTCGCATTCCAATTTGCCCCATTCCCCTCCCCTCCCCTCACCTGGCCCTTGAACTCCGCGCCGGCGCCGCGCGAGCGGACCAGCTCGTAGTCCGGCACGAGCGTGTCCACGAGGCTCTTGCTCTCCAGGTCACCCCACCATCCCTCTTTTCCCCCTAACCCCTTTTGTCACTCCCCCCTCATGTCCCCAATAGAGCCGCTCCCTGCCTCTAAACCTCACCAACACCCCCCCACCCTCCCCCTCACCTGGCCCTTGAACTCCGTGCCGCCGCGCGCGCGAACCAGCTCAAAGTCCGGCACGAGGGTGTCCACAAGGCTCTAGCTCTCCAGGTCACCCCACCACCCTCCCTTTCCCCCCTACACCCTGTCACTTCCCCCTCATATTCCAGTGTGCCCCATCCCCCCGCCCCTCCCCTCACCTGGCCCTTGAACTCCGCGCCGGCGCGCGCGCGAACGAGCTCGAAGTCAGGCACGAGGGTATCCACAAGGCTCTTGCTCTCCAGGTCCCAGATCTTAATCGACGACTGCGTCGCGGCGCACAGCCAGTAGCGGTTCGGCGAGAAGCAGAGCGAGTGGATGATGTCACCCGCGTCGAGCGAGTACAGCCGCTTGCCCTCCGCCAGATCCCACAGCATCGCCACGCCGTCCTTTCCGCCGGACGCGCACAGCGAGCCGTCAGGGGAGACGGTCACCGTGTTGACGTAGCCGGTGTGGCCCAGCAGGTTCTGGCGGAGCTTGCAGTTGGTCAGGTTCCACACCTTCACCACCTGTGGGGGGAAAGAGGGGGACGGGGGAAGGAGGAGGGGCAAGCGGGTGGGGATTGATGTTGATGGGAGCAGTTTCTGGCGGAGCTTGCAGTTGGTCAGGTTCCGCACCTCACCACCCGGGGGGAAGGGGGGGGACGAGCGGAGAAGAAGGAAGCGCGATTGGGAAGGGAAAGGGGACAGGGGGTTCGGGCGGAGCTAGCGGCGGAGCAAGGCCTGAGCTTGCGATTGGTCAGGTTTCCTACCATCACCACCTGGGGGGACGGGGGAGAGAGGAGAAAGGGGAATGGGCAAGGATCAAGGGGGAAATGGGGAGGGGGAAAGGGGAGACGGGAGAGGAAAGGGGATTAGGAAAAATAATGGTATTGATGCGAGCTGTTGTGGTCGGAGCTGGAGGTGGCGCAGGTCCTGGCGGCGCATGGAACCCATGCAGAATCCAACGAGACGGTTGAGCCGACTCAACGGCTCTACGGGACAGTTCTGGCGTGTCGCATGTGCACAGGTGCGAGCGGGGCGGAGGGGCAGAGGGAGGAGCCCGCCCGTGCGAGAGGGGCGAAGGGAGGGGCCTGACTGCTAGCGCACAATCGAGCGTCGCAGTTGTTAGGCGGGAGAACTACGGCAGCTGCAATCTCCTTACTCCACCTTGGCGGGAAAAGTACGTAGTCCAACCCAACTGCGATCGTAACCTCATTATACACGGTCTGATGCCAGGCGCCTATTGAATTCTTTTCTAGCCGCCCGGGGACTTGCCAAAAGAACCTCATCCCAACCCCCCTATGAACCTAATCCCCGCCGCCCAACAAACCTAATCCCAACAGCCCAAGGATCCTAAACTCAGCCGCGCAACGAATCAGATCCTCGCTGTCCAACGAACCTTGTCCCAGCCGGCGGAGACGATAATGGGCTGAGTGTTGACGGGCGAGAAGCGCACGCACGACACCCACCCCTGGTGAGCGTCCGCGTCGTTCATCGTGTACTTGCACTCGCCCAGCGTGTTCCACAGCTTGATGCTGCGATCGCGCGACCCGGACACGATCTGACGGTTGTCGACGCTGAAGGCGACGCTGAGCACGTCCTTGGTGTGGCCGACGAAGCGGCGCGTGGTGGCGCCGGTGTTGAGGTCCCACAGGCGGAGGGTGCTGTCCCACGAGCCGGACAGCGCGAACTGACCGTCGGATGAGATCACGACGTCCTGTTGTACGCGTTAGAGGGTGAGTGTGGGGAAAGGGGAAGGGAGACGTGAATCGGAATGCGCTGGTGTTCAGGTCCCGCAAGCCGGAGAGCCCTATCTGACCATCGGAAGACCTAGCGTATGCGTTATACTGGGTGAGTGCGAACAGAGAGCATGGAAACGAAGGAACGATAGAATGGCGACGTGAATAAACGGCCAACAGGAAAGATGTTGCTGGCAAATGCGGGACGACAGTCGACGAATGGCGGCCACACACCATCTATAAGTTACTAAGCAATCCGCGAATACGTCGAGCGGCGGGCACAAATGTGAGCCTCGACGAGCTACTAGCTAATTCGGCAAATCACACCAGTGTGCAAACACACGGGCTCTTTGTCGCATAATGAGCGCAGCTAGCTCAGCCACAACACCAGCAATTTTTAGATCCACTAACAGACCGGAAACTTGCGCAGTTTACGCCGGGAGACCGAGAATCTATAATGAAACGCAGCTGCACGAAACCTCCGTGAAAAAAATAAAATAGGAATCTAGAAGATTCGAAGCTTCACCTGCACGAAACCGCCATGGCCGGTGAGGCGGCGCTTGGGCACACCGGCGAGCTGCACGCCCGTGGCGGAGGCGGCGTCGCGAGTGAGCGACCACGACATGATGCCCTTATCGCGCGAGCATGAGATGATAGAATCGCTGTTGTCGATCGGGCACGCGATCGACGTGACCCAATCGGAGTGGCCCTTGAGGTGGCCGCGGAAGCTAAGTTGCTCACCCATGGCGGCGAGTTAGGAGACAGCGGAGAGGACGGAGAAGAGAATAAAGGGCGAAAAGAGAATTAGGGTTTGCGGAACGGCTGCTAAGAAGGCTGCGACTAGCAGTTCGAGGTGAAGCGGAGGGAGAGAAAGAGGGCGAGTGAGAGGTGAGGGGGGGAAGAAAAAGGGAGAGCCGCGGGCGGGGGGGGGGGGGGGGGGGGGAGGTAAATGGGGGATGCGGGGAAGGGAAGGTGGTGCGCAGTGTGCGGTCAGAGCGGGAAGCGGGCGGTGCGGAAACACAGCGCTGTGTGGTTGCAGTAGGCAGAGATTCTTTGAGGGGAATGCGCGAGGCGGAGGGTGAGCGGGAGCAGGTTTCCTAGCGGAGGGTCGACGGTTTTGAGTGGTGTCATTTGTCTGCAAACTCACAGTTCTTCGTTTGAGTGTATCTCCCATGATATCCTTAGTAGGTGAAAGAGGGTTCAAAGAAACTAAATCCGCACATATTTTTTTAACATTGGGATTCATGTAACACATTGACGGTTTTTGCGGGACAAATTGGCTCATATAATCAATTGTAAATACTGTTGAACAGATTTAGCATAATAAATATGAGTTATATCGGTTTTCTAAAGTGTAGTATCATGCAACTATGTTTGCCAATACCTTTTTCAAAACGTTCTTTACAGAAATGGTATGTAGAGAGCAACTTGACATGTTTTCTTGATGCACAGTTCGTTGGTTTCATAGGAGGAGATTGAAATGTTTTTAGCGAGTAGACCTATCTGCGGGAAATGACGTGGCAGTCCATTCCATGTGGCAGCGTGTGTGGACCTCCATCCCTCGGGATTCCCAGCGCCGATTCCCACCAGCACGGCCCATCCCATCCCAACCCAGGCTCTGCTTCATTTCTCGCAGCGCAATTTGCATACCTTGCTTTGCCCTCCTCACTGCTGCTTTTCACTTTCACTTTTCGCTTTTCCGTTTGGAGGCCATCCAACGGTGTGCTCTCCCGTACCTAGCTCGTTTCCGAGCCGCAACTACAGACGCGACGTGAATCCATGGCTTCCGCCACGCTCCTTCCGGCTGCGGCCAACCTCAAGGTACCCGCGCGCCGAGCTTTAGGGACATCATTGCATCGTTGTCTGATGTCCCTTCTCGAACGCTGCCGCCCTCCCTCATCGTTGACAAATGTCGATCGTTCTCATCCCGCGCTCCCGTCTTCGCCGTTCGTTCGCATTCCCCCCGCCGTTTCCCCGCGCAGGTCAGCGGGCTGTGCGCTTCCCAGACTCGCTTCGCCTCGTCCGCTGCATCCCTCGCGGGATCCAAGCCTCAAGGTACTCGTTTTAAGGTACTCGTTTGAAGGTACTCGGTTTTTGGTACTTGTTCGAAGGTACTCGTGTTAAGAAACTCGTCTCAAGGTACTCATTCTGAGGCACTCTTGCAGTCTGTTCCTGAGATCTTCTGTCGGCGAGCTCTCTATTGCGTAGCTTAGGTGGGTTTCTTTTCTTGGCAAGTCGTCCTTGCATACGAAGTTTTTATCTAATGCCCGTGTGCCGTCGCTCACTTCCGTCCCCTTGCCCTTCGCGCCTCGTTCCATTGCCCATCGCCGTGTCCTGCGCAGCCCAGACGAGCCGTCGTCGCGTCGCTGCTGCCTCCGCCGCTCGCGCATCCGCCGCAGCCGAAACGTCGGCGGTGCCGCCCGCATGGCCGGGACGCGCCGAGGCGCCCGCGTCGCCGCACGACTGGGCCGAGCCGAAGGCGATCTCGCTGATTGGGTCGACCGGGTCTATCGGCACTCAGGTGAAACACGTGGCACTCAGGTGAGACACGTGGCACCAGGTAAGACACGTGGCACTCGGGTGAGAAACGTGGCACTCAGGTAAGACACGTGGCACTCGGGTGAAAAACGTGGCACTCAGGTAAGAGACGTGGCACTCAGGTGAGACGTGAGGCACTCACGTGGGGAATATATCGCTACCAGAAGACCAGAGACTGGGTTATGGCCACTTGAACCGTTTTCAGAGTTATTATATATCTCTTTCTCCCCCCTACCCTCCCCTACCCCCTCTTCCCCCTCTCTCCACTCTCGTGCCTTGTTGTTTTCAACCCCCCTCTCTCTTTATCTCGCCTGCTTCCCCCCTCGCCCCGTCCCCGCTCCCCCGTGCGTGCGGGTGGCAGACTTTGGACATAGTGGCGGAGCATCCCGACAGGTTCAAGATCGTCGCGCTCGCCGCCGGCTCCAACATCGCGCTCCTGGCGCAGCAGGTGTGCACGCATGGCGCAGCAGGTGCGCACGCATGACGTAGCAGGTGCGCGTGGGTTAACAGGTGCGCATGCGTGGCGCAGCAGGTGCATGGCACAACAGGTGCGTGGCGCAACAGGTGCGTGGCACAACAGGTGCATGGCACAACAGGTGCGTGGCACAACAGGTGCATGCCACAACAGGTGCATGGCACAACAGGTGCATGGCACAACAGGTGCATGCCACAACAGGTGCGTGGCACAACAGGTGCGTGGCACAACAGGTGCATGAAACAACAGGTGCATGGAACAACAGGTGCATGGCACAACAGGTGCGTGGCACACCAGGTGCATGCCACAACAGGTGCATGGCACAACAGGTGCATGGCACAACAGGTGCATGCCACAACAGGTGCGTGGCACAACAGGTGCGTGGCACAACAGGTGCATGAAACAACAGGTGCATGGAACAACAGGTGCATGGCACAACAGGTGTACGCCACAACAGGTGCGAGGCGCAACAGGTGCGTAGCGCAACAGATGCGTGGCGCAACAGGTGCATGGCTCAACAGGTGCGCGTGGGTTAACAGGTGCGCATGCATGGCGCAGCAGGTGCATGGCGCAACAGGTGCATGGCGCAACAGGTGCGCACGGCGCAAGCATGTCTTTCACTCCCTCCCTCCTCATTTCGTACCGCCTCCCGCCTTCCTCTCACCCCTCACTCCCTCCCTGCCATTCTCCCGTGTCTACCCCCACCTGCGCCGTTCCCCCCTGTGCGCGGAGCAGGTGCGCCAGTTCCAGCCGTCGCTGGTGTCGGTGCAGAACCCCGCGCTGGTGGGGGAGCTCAAGGAGGCGCTCGCGGGAATGGAGCGCATGCCGGAGATCGTGGCGGGAGACTCGGGGATCGTCGAGGTGAGGCGAGGACAGGGAGGAGAAGTGCTGGGGTTATGAAGGACGGAGGTGGGGGTAGGAGGAGGCGAGGCGGCGGCGTGAAGGAAGGGGTGGGGTGAGAAAACGAAGATGGGAGGGGGGAAGGGAGAGGGCAATGAGTCGGATTTTTGAGGCGCCTCAAAAGGCTTTCAGGCAGTTTTGAGGTTCAGGGCGGAGGGAGTCGTTTGGTCGCCTTACATCAATTCACCGCTCTAATTTCATCCCTGTCCCTGCTGCGTGTGTCTCCATGGGCGTGGGCGTGTGACCATGTGTTTGTGTATGTGGGTATGTGCGCGCGCGTGTGATGGTCATGATCATGCAGGTGGCACGGCATCCTGATGCGGAGACAGTGGTCACGGGCATTGTGGGGTGCGCGGGACTCAAGGTGCGTTGGGCTGGGGGCAGCTTTTGAGACGTCTCAAAAGTCGTCTACTTACACACGGATTTTGAGACGTCTCAAAAGTCATTGTGGGGTGCGCGGGACTCAAGGTGCGTTGGGCTGGGGGCAGGCTCTGTGAGGGACGGGGGTAGGTAGACTGTTACAGATTGGGGGAGCTGTAGTCGGTTGATATGCATTTCAATGGTGGAGTCATGCTGTCTTGCATGCAATGGACTGGTCCAGCGAACATCAAGTAGCTCCCTCCATGCATCACTGCCATGCGACATCTTATGTGGTGATGCGTGCGTGCATGTCTCCATGCATGCAGCCGACAGTGGCGGCCATAGAGGCGGGCAAGGACATCGCCCTGGCGAACAAGGAGACGCTCATCGCAGGCGGGCCGTACGTGCTGCCGCTCGCCAAGAAGCACGGCTGCCACATCCTGCCCGCTGACTCGGAGCACTCTGCCATCTTCCAGGTGCGCCCTGCCCAGGTGTGCCTCACCCATTCCATGGGTGCGGTGGCAGATGGCTTTTGAGTCGAGAGGTAGAAGAAGCACGGCTGTCACATCCTGCCCGCTGACTCGGAGCACTCCGCCATCTTCCAGGTGCGCTCTCATCCACCCACACAACCACCCACCCACCCAACCAAGCACTCCGGTTTCTTCATCCCTTCCACTTCACCCATCTGCACCCCTCTTAACCCACATAGAATTCGTCTTGACTCCTGACCCTGCTTGGGAGACCGCGTGGTTAATATCCTCCCCCCCTTCAACACCCCCCCACCCCCACCCCCCCACTCCCCCCTCCCACCCCTCCTTCTCCCCCTTTGTATGCGCGGCAGTGCATCCAAGGGCTGCCAGAGGGCGGTCTGCGTCGCATCATCCTCACTGCCTCTGGTGGCGCCTTCAGGTGCGCACTCACATGCCATGTTACACTCCAGCCAGCCATGGCACATGTCATACCATGCCCACGCTCACATGCCATGTTACACTCCAGCCAGCCATCCCACATTCCATGCCACATTCCACATGACGTGCCACATGCCACATGCCGCATGTCATACCATGCCACATTTCATTCCACCAGCTATGCCACATGCCATGTCCATACCAGATGGGACCACACTTCCTCTCTATAATCCCCTCCCTCCCCTTCATCTCCCCCAGGGACTGGCCGGTGGAGAAGCTCAAGGAGGTGACCCCAGCGGACGCGTTGAAGCATCCCAACTGGAGCATGGGCAGGAAGATCACTGTCGACTCTGCTACACTCATGAACAAGGTGCGTGGGGGCAGGCAGCAGGTGGGCAAGGGGAGTGTACAAGGTTGGGAAAGGGCCAGGTGTTAACTGTCAGAAGATGCGTTGAAGCACCCCCACTGGAGCATGGGCCCGAAGATTATTGTCGATTCCGCCACGCTCATGAACAAGGTGCGGGCGCTGTGAGGGGGGCAGGCTGCAGGAGGATAGGGGGGAGGGAGGGAAGGGAAGGGAGCACAAGGTGGGGAAAGGGATGTGAGAAGGCATCCATAGCCGAACAGAGCACAAGGCATCCATAGCCGAACAGAGCACAAGGCATCCATAGCCGAACAGAGCACAAGGCATCCATAGCCGAACAGAGCACAAGGCATCCATAGCCGAACAGAGCACAAGGCATCCATAGCCGAACAGAGCACAAGGCATCCATAGCCGAACAGAGCACAAGGCATCCATAGCCGAACAGAGCACAAGGCATCCATAGCCGAACAGAGCACAAGGCATCCATAGCCGAACAGAGCACAAGGCATCCATAGCCGAACAGAGCACAAGGCATCCATAGCCGAACAGAGCACAAGGCATCCATAGCCGAACAGAGCACAAGGCATCCATAGCCGAACAGAGCACAAGGCATCCATAGCCGAACAGAGCACAAGGCATCCATAGCCAAACAGAGCACAAGGTATCAATATCAGATTTTTACTCAGTGTGTGACAATGAACAATGCGCCGAACCAAGCTTGGGTTACGAAAGCAAAATTGGCCTGAATTTTACTCACCTTAAAGCCTAAAATCTTCTAACCCCTGCCCATAATCCCCTGCCCATAATCCCCTGCCCATAATCCCCTGCCCATAATCCCCTGCCCATAATCCCCTGCCCATAATCCCCTGCCATCCCCTGTCGCCGCACTATCAGGGCCTGGAGGTGATAGAGGCGCACTACCTGTTTGGCGCGGACTATGACAACATTGACATTGTGATCCACCCTCAGAGCATCATCCACTCCATGGTTGAGACTCAGGTGCGCACTGGGTGTACCTTGCTTCATACTTACCACACAGGTGCATTCCTCACCGAATGGTTGAGACACAGACAAGTGTGTGTTCCCTTACTTTTGCAGTCGCCCACTCCATGGCTGAGACTCAGGTGGGCACTGGGCATGCCTGAGCTCGCTGTCTCACTTTTGCTCTTCCTCCGCCCCTCTGCCTCCTCTCCACGCATCTCATTTACTGTGTTTCTACCCCCTCTTCGCCCTTTACTCCCTCTGGCCCTTGCAGGATTCGTCGGTGTTGGCGCAGCTGGGGTGGCCGGACATGCGGCTGCCCATCCTCTACACCCTCTCCTGGCCCGACCGTGTCCCCACCTCTGAAGTCACCTGGCCCCGCCTCGACTTCATCAAGTGCTGCTCTCTTGCCCTCATGCCCTCATGCACTCATGCCCTCATGCTGGTCCCATGTATTCATGCCCTCATGCCCCTGCCCTCATCCGCTCATGCCCTCTCACGCTGTGACTCTTTTGCCTGCTTGGCCCATGCTCCGCTGCAACCACCTTGTCTATCCTTTTTTATTCAAAGTTGCTTCTTGTTACTCGCTTACCGATCGATTCCAACCTCCCTCGTGTTCTCACTCCATCCCTGTTTTCTTCCCATTCCAATCTCCGCAGGATGGGCGACTTGACTTTCAGGGAACCCAACCGTGACAAGTACCCGTCCATGGACCTCTCATATGCAGCCGGCAGGGCGGGCGGCACCATGACCGGTGTGCTCAGTGCTGCCAACGAGCAGGCTGTGGAGATGTTCCTCGATGACAAGTGAGTGTCTGGATGATCACAAGTGAGTGTCTGGATGATCACAAGTGAGTCGTGGGGGGACCGTGACACGTACCCTCCATCCATAGTCCTGTTGTATGCGGGAGGGCGGGCGGGTGGCACCATGACTGGTGTGCTCAGCGCCGCCAACGAGCAGGCCGTGGAGATGTTCCTCGATGACAAGTGAGTGCAGGAAGAATATACTGTACCTGTAATTGTAGTAGATGGTTGTAAATAACAAATAGATGATGGTGTGCCTCTCACCATTCGCCAATGAGCAGGCTGTGTGGAGATGTTCCTTGATGACAAGTGAGTTTCTCAAAAGGAGGAAGTTACCAAGTGATGTTTCCTTTACCCTGCTGAGCTGTCAAAATCAAGCTCTGTAGCCAACTTCCTTCCTTCTTCCCTTCCCTACTCCCTCCTCTCTTCCCCTCAGGATCCACTATCTCGACATCTGCCGGGTGATCGAGGGCACGTGTGATCGCCATCGCAATGACCTCGTGCTTGCCCCGTCACTGGAGGACATCGTGCACTTCGACCAATGGGCTCGCGTCTACGCTGCTGAGGTGGCATCCAAGCTCAGCACCGTCTCTGTTTAGATCCGTGGTGCAAACCAGTTGCATTATTTAGTATGTACCTTTGTTGAGTTGGATATTCTGGCACCCAGAAGTAGTGTTCACCTGTAATCGAAATGATTTAAATGTATATGATTATCAGCGCCAGATTTACCGTATTTCAGTTAATGAAACGTACGCGTTGTTCCTCCGCCACTCACCCACCCCGCATCGCAGACCTGCTGATCCCAAATTTCGCGCCCGTGCTCCACCTACCCAGCAAAGCTATTTCACCCGACCCGAGCCGACCACGAGCACTCGACAGTAACGTTTGAAAGATACCCAGACAGCACTCAAGATACTTAGTCCGTGGCGTTCCCACTCGCTCCCGGGAAACAGGTTGCCGGGCGACAGGCTGGCCATTCCAGTCGGGAAGTAAACGCTGATTGCCGCCAATCGGGATCGTGATCGTCGGGGGGAGGGAAATGGAGGGAGGATCAGTAGAGTCTTTGTCGTGCGTGAGATAGGCCGCGCGCGCGGACATCGCTGTCGTGTGCGCCGTCATCGACCTCTTCGTCACCACCGTCGCATCCCACGCGCGCAGCTCAACATGCCTCCAGGTGCCTGTAGCTCTGATGTGGCCGCTGCTGCCTTGTGTCAAGGCATTCCTCGTCCAGCAGCAAACCCCACTTGCCAACCCCCCACCTCATTCGCTCTTCCCCTGCTGCATCTAACTTCTCACCCCCTCCCCCGTCTCCCGCCGTCGCCTGCCAGGTCCGGAGCGTCGCGTGGGCGGTCGCCTGCCGTATGGCTCGTCGCACGCCGCCATGTCGTACGGCGCGCCGTTCGTCGCCACCTCCGCGCCCAAGCCGGAGCCCACTGCGCGCCAAGCGCCGTCCGCGGAACGATCGCGCGGCGACGGGCTCAGACGCCCCGCGAGGGTGGCGCGGCGGGCGCGGATGCCGGGGGGAAGGGCGCAGCAGGGGGGCGGGTTGCTATGCGGGTGCTGCGCGTGGTTTGGCGCGCTGTGCGCGCGGCTGCGGCCGTCGCGGAAGGCGAACTGGCCGTACGCGTTAGTGAGTGTTGTGTTTGTGGCGCTGGTGGCGTCCGAGCAGATCGCCCCGCTGCTGCCCTCCACTGCGCGTGGTCGAGGGGAGGCGCGCGCAGGGGGAGGCGCGGAGGAGGAGGCGGTGAGCGGACCGCTGACGCGGATAGTGAGGTGAGGGGCAGGGGAAGGTAGGAAGGGGGCGGGGGAGGAGTAGGGGGAAGGGGGGGTCGGGGGTGGTGTTGAGGGTGGAGGAAGGGAGGACTAGGGGGATGGGGAGTGATAATGGAGAAGAGAGTGTGGAGTAATGAGGGCGAGAAGGAAGAGATGGGATAGAGCAAGAGGAAGGAGGGTGTGGTGCACGATTGCACGTTGCTCACTTGAGTGCCTTTGGGGTCATTTCAAGCTCCCTGTGGTTTCGCCTGTTGTTGTGTGTGTGCTGCCATGTGTGTGCTTATGTCTGAGCGTGAGTGTGTGTATGTGCGTGTATGTGTGAGTGTGTGTGCTGCCATGTGTGTGTGCTCCCGTGTATATGTATGTGTGTGCTCCCGTGTATATGTATGTGTGTGCTCCCGTGTATATGTATGTGTGTGCTCCCGTGTATATGTATGTGTGTGCTCCCGTGTATATGTATGTGTGTGCTCCCGTGTATATGTATGTGTGTGCTCCCGTGTATATGTATGTGTGTGCTCCCGTGTATATGTATGTGTGTGCTCCCGTGTATATGTATGTGTGTGCTCCCGTGTATATGTATGTGTGTGCTCCCGTGTATATGTATGTGTGTGCTCCCGTGTATATGTATGTGTGTGCTCCCGTGTATATGTATGTGTGTGCTCCCGTGTATATGTATGTGTGTGCTCCCGTGTATATGTATGTGTGTGCTCCCGTGTATATGTATGTGTGTGCTCCCGTGTATATGTATGTGTGTGCTCCCGTGTATATGTATGTGTGTGCTCCCGTGTATATGTATGTGTGTGCTCCCGTGTATATGTATGTGTGTGCTCCCGTGTATATGTATGTGTGTGCTCCCGTGTATATGTATGTGTGTGCTCCCGTGTATATGTATGTGTGTGCTCCCGTGTATATGTATGTGTGTGCTCCCGTGTATATGTATGTGTGTGCTCCCGTGTATATGTATGTGTGTGCTCCCGTGTATATGTATGTGTGTGCTCCCGTGTATATGTATGTGTGTGCTCCCGTGTATATGTATGTGTGTGCTCCCGTGTATATGTATGTGTGTGCTCCCGTGTATATGTATGTGTGTGCTCCCGTGTATATGTATGTGTGTGCTCCCGTGTATATGTATGTGTGTGCTCCCGTGTATATGTATGTGTGTGCTCCCGTGTATATGTATGTGTGTGCTTCCCGTGTATATGTATGTGTGTGCTCCCGTGTATATGTATGTGTGTGCTCCCGTGTATATGTATGTGTGTGCATGCATGTGAGCACGGAGCAGTGGCATGTGGGGGCGACCATCACCCGCCACGCCCTTCAACGGCAGCAGCAACAACAGTCACAGCAGCAGCAAAAGCAGCAGCAACAGAAGCAGCAGCGAGTTTGCAGCAGGGGCCAGAGGCGCAGAGGGAGGGGCAGGTGGAGGGGCAGGTGGAAGGGGGGGGGAAGGGGCAGGTATGGTGGAGAAGAAGAAGGAGACAGTGGGGCGAGGGAGTGGCGGAGGGGGTGGGGAGGAGGAGCAATGCTCTGAATGCTGGGAGGAGGTGAATCGGCTGCGAGCACTGCGAGAAAGTGAGTGACACATCAGTCAGGTGTGTGTGCCATGATGTGCCATGATGTGCCATGATGTGCCATGATGTGCCTCCACCTGTCACCCCCTCATTCATCCGTGCTGCTCTCCACGATTGCTGCTGTCCTCCTGCACATATCGCATCGTCTCCCCATGTGTTTGTGCTGCTCTCATGCTTGTTCTCCTCCCACTACATGCCTCCACCTCGTACCCTCTCCCACCCCCATGTGTGCATCACCTGGTGAGGCAGAAGCAACAGGCGTGCACAGGCGGCTGTTGGTGCAAGCAGGAGGGACGATGGAGGGTTTGCAAGCAGCGGTGGCGGCAATGGAGGCGGAAATGGCGACAATGAAAACCAAGATGAGCGACCTGGCAGTGAGTGAGCGACCTGGCAGTGAGTGAGCGACCTGGCAGTGAGTGAGCGACCTGGCAGTGAGTGAGCGACCTGGCAGTGAGTGAGCTGGCATGCGCCTTGTGTCTGTCTCTCTTTTCGTGCCCTGTGGCCTCTCTTCTCCCTCATCCCTCTCTTCGCCCATCTCTTTCTGCTTCATGCCCTCTCTCTCTTCCCGCTCTGCCTTATTCCCTCTCGCTCCCTCTCTTTCCCTTGCTATCCTCACATGCATGCATCCCTGGAACCACCAGCTGGCAACAGAGTAGGCAGGTGGCAAGGGAGGCAGGCAACGTGCGCGCAGTGCTGCAACAAAAACTCCTCACGCCCGTTCCGCCCCCCCTTGCTGTCCTCCTGTGCTCCCTCTCTACCAGGTGGCAACAGAGCAGGTTGCTAAGGAGGCGGGTAACTTGCGGGCGGTGTTGCAGGGCGAGGGGCACTGGGCCACAGCCAACCTCACCCGCCATGTATGCACCACAATTCATATGATTCTCTCTCACGGCACTGTTGGGTGGGAGAGAGGAAGAGAAAGGATGACTGTTGGGTCGACTTAAAAGCCACCCAGTGTTGCATTGCAGGGTGAGGGGCACTGGGCCACGGCCAACCTCACCCGCCATGTACCTCCCAGTGAACACACTCTGTGATCTGCACTACATTCGCCTCAAGCGCCTCTCTGTGTGCTGCTTCGCTGAGCCTTCTGTGCCCTCTAATTTCTCTTCACGTTGCCACCTCACCTCACCTCACCTCACCTCACTCTCCAGCCCAATCACTTCTTGCACCGCATGCATCTGCTGGCCCCCTTGTCCTGCATCGTTTCCTACAAGTCCACTTCCAACTGTGCAAGTTTCTGTTAACTCCCATCCACATATCTCCCTCTACCTCTCCCTTCCAACCTGCTCAACCGGGGTCTCCTCCCCCTTTCCCATCTCCTCTCCTCCCATCCCCCCTACGCCCCTGTTCCTTGTCCGCCCTCATCCACCCACCAGTTCCTGCTCTCCACAGTGCCCTCTCACCCAGACCGCTGTGCCGTGCTCTCTCTCGACCGCCGGGCACTGCAGCGGCAGTCCAAGCGCGGCCCCAAGGGCCCACCTCTCTCCTGGAAGGTCAGTGCAACTCCTTTTGAGGCGTCCTCTCTTTTTCGTGCAACTCCTTCGAAACATGAGTCAGGGTGAAACATGAGTCAGGGTGAAACATGAGTCAGGGTGAAACATGAGTCAGGGTGAAACATGAGTCAGGGTGAAACATGAGTCAGGGTGAAACATGAGTCAGGGTGACCCCAAGGGCCCGCCTCTCTCCTGGAAGGTCAGTGCAACTCCACCCCCCCGCAACCAGCCACGCCCAATCTGCGTGAACCAGCCCATCTCTCTGCTGATTCAGACGATTTTTGAGGTGCCTCATAAATCAACTCCACCCTCCCCCAAGCAGCCACGCCCAATTTGCGTGAACCAGCCCACCTCTCCGCTGCTTCAAATATGTACACAGACTGCTTGTGAGGCGCCTCTAAACTCATCTCTTTGCTCTCTCGGAGTCGCTCCTGGGAATTCTCACAAACTCCCCCATAAAACTACAGGGCTACGCGTGTGAGGCAGCACCGTCTCAGATCCAGAAGTACACAGATGTGGATGCAAGGGCGCTGTGCCCTGACGACTGGTTCTTCGTGCAAGAGCTCGTGTTTCTTATACCTGCCAGCCACCCCTTTGCACCCCCCCTTGTATGGCAGGGCTACGCATGTGAGGCAGCACCATCGCAAATCCAGAAGTACACAGATATTGAGGCGAGGGCGCTGTGCCCCGATGACTGGTTCTTCGTGCAAGAGCTCGTGTTTCTCAAGAACTGCTTCTCTCTGCCGCCCCGCCGCTGCCTTGCGCGCACGCCGCAGCAACCCACAGAGGTGAGGGGTGGAAGTGAGGGGTGCGGTGGAAGTGAGGGGTGCGGTTGAATAGAGAGGTGGGAGGTGGGAGGGGAGAGATGAGAGAGGTGCATTGCAGTTGATGTACTATGACAGTGGTAGAACTGGCCTGAAAGAAAGGTTTTGCTGGAGCTGTACACAGGCTAGACTACTAAGGCAAGATAATCGTCACAGGCGGTCGACCTCCCCCCGTCCCTTCCCCCCCATTCCCCCTTCCCTCCTCTGTTTTGTACCTTCCCCCTTCCGCCTACTCCCTTCTCCCACTCGCTTCCCCCTTGCCCCAGCCACTACCGTTTCCACAATCCCTATTTTATCAAGCCGTGTTGGCAGGCGGGGAATTGCTGTGGGAGCAGCAGCAGTGCGGGTCTTTCCACTGCCTCAACGCATGTGCACTCGGTGACTGCTGCAACTTCAACCTCTTCCCCCTCGTCCCCCTTCCCCCGTCCCCCCTCCCTCCCCCTTTCCCCATTCCCCCAGCCATTGCCGTTCCCACAATCCCTATTCGATCAAGCGGCGTTGGCAGACGGGGGGGTGAGGTGGGAGCAGCAGCAGTGCGGGTCGTTCCACTGCCTTAACACGCGCGCTCTGGGCGACTGTCGCAACTGCTTCAACCTGTCTCTTGAGAGCCACCGCTGGCAGCACCGCTTTCGAGGCAACCCCACCATGCACGACGTAATGCAACTCAAAAACGGCTCCCTGAGGTGTGCACCGCTTTTTGTAGCCACGTTTTGAGACGTCTCAAAGGCAATCCCACCATGCCGGACGCACTGCTCTTGAAGAACGACCCCCTCAGGTGTGTTGAATCTGGAACCGCTACCCCGAGTGCACACTTGCCCATCGTAGCAGCTTCTTGAGACGTCTCCAAAGGCAACCCCACCATGCAAGACGTGCTGCAACTAAAAAACGGCTCCCTCAGGTGTGCTGGACAACTTGCGCTGCATGCTACTCCATGTGCAGAACCCTATTATCCCACTACTTGCCAATACACATGCTACCTGACCTTAGTAATGGTAATGGTAATAGTAATGGTTGTGGTAATGGTAATGGTTGTGGTACTGGTAATGGTAATGGTAATGGTAATGGTAATGGTAATGGTAATGGTAATGGTTGTGGTAATAGTTGTGGTAATGGTAATGGTAATGATAATGGTAATGGTAATGGTTGTTGTAATGGTAATGGTAATGGTAATGGTAATGGTGGTAATGGTAATGGCAATGGTAATGGTAATGGCAATGGTAATGGTTGTGGTAATGTTAATGGTAATGGTTGTGGTAATGGTTGTGGTAATGGTAATGGTAATGGTTATGGTAATGGTAATAGTAATGGTAATGGTAATGATAATGGTTGTGGTAATAGTAATGGTAATGGTAATGGTTGTGGTAATGGTAATTGTAATGGTAATAGTTGTGGTAATGGTAATGGTAATGACAATGGTAATGGTAATGATTGTTGTAATGGTAATGGTAATGGTAATGGTAATGATAATGGTTGTGGTACTAGTAATGGTAATGGTTGTGGTAATGGTAGTGGTTGTGGTAATGGTAATGGTAATGGTAATGGTAATGGTAATGGTAATGGTAATGGTAATGGTAATGGTAATGGTAATGGTAATGGTAATAGTATTGGTAGCTTTGCAATGCAATGGTGTGGCACGGAGTGACGGTGATGATCACAGCCATTAAGTACAAGATCGTGTCAGCAGGCAACGTCCCTTGTGTATGTTTAAACTGTCTCACACCTATGTATAATTCCTTGCCTTGATGCCTGCTGCAGGTTGGGGCTGGACGTGGGAGGCGGCACGGGCAGCTTCGCAGCGCACATGGCACGGCACGGGGTGACGGTGATGACGACAGCCATGAACTACGAGACCGTGTCGGGGCGGCATGCGGGGCTGCCTTACTTTGAAGCCATCGCCATGCGCGGCCTCATCCCGCTCTTCCTGCCCCATAAGGTGCCTCCCCCACATGATGCCTCACCATGCTCCAGCTCTCGCCCACCACAACCCTCCCATGAGTTTTGATTGCTGCCACCAACCCTGCACCTGCTAAGGCCAAACCCCTTGCTTGTGCTCCCTGGCCCTCTTGCCCTACCCTCCCGTGACACTGCCCACCATCTCCCTTTTCAGGCGGGACTGCCATTCTACGACAACACACTAGACGTGATTCACAGCGTGAACAACGTCAAGTACATGCCCGTGCCATTCCCCCTGCCGTGCTCCCGTGCGCTGTGGCTCTGTGTCATTCCCCCTTACCAGGCACGGTTACCATTCTATGACAACACGTTGGACGTGATTCACAGCGTCAACAGCGTCAAGTACATGCCCGTACCCATGCCCGTACCCATACTTGTGAGCCCCGACTGTGTCTCTGTTCCTTCACACCCCCCACCAGGCGAGGCTGCCATTCTACGACACACTCTTGACGTGATCCACAGCGTCAACAGTGTCAAGTACATGCCTGTGCCATTCCCCCTGCCATGCTCCCGTGCGCTGTGGATCTGTGCCATCCCCCCCCACCAGGCGCGGCTACCATTCTACGACAACACTCTTGACGTGATTCACAGCGTCAACAGCGTCAAGTACATGCCCGTGATGGAGTTTGAAGAGCTCGTTTTTGAGTGGGACCGCGTGCTCAGACCAGGTCAGTGCCTCCTCCCTTGTAGCTCCCACCAAATCCATGCTCAGACCGGGTCAATCACCCCCTTGCTGCACCAAATAGCCATCCTTCCACATCTTCTTTCTCCCCACTCGCATCCAACGCACCTTTCATTGTGTTTGTCGTCAAGCCCCTCCTTTGCCGAACACGTCAACGCCACCCCACCTCATCCCATCCTGTGCCCCTGTCCATGCCCCAGGTGGCCTCATGTGGTTTGAGATGTTCTATGCACCAGTAGATGACATGGTGCTCTATGTGGCCATGCTGCAGCAGCTGCGCTACCGCCGCCTGCACTGAACGCTCATGTTCCCACTCCACCCACCTCTCCCCACCCCTTCCTTTTCCCCAGGCGGCCTCATGTGGTTTGAGATGTTCTATGCACCAGTAGACGACATGGTGCTCTATGTGGCCGTGCTGCAGCAGCTGCGCTACCGCCGCCTGCACTGGACGCTCATGCCCAAGCCCGACCGCGGGGAGATAGAGGCTCACCAATTGTATCTCAACTGTGTTATTGAGAAACCCGCCAGGCGAAATGCGCTCAAACCTGTTGAATTCTCATGAGCATGTATTCCTGTTGCGTTTATAATCGATTTTTCTATCAAGTTTGCACTGTAGTCCAGATCAAAGCACACTACTGTAAAGTGTTTTTTGTTACCTCTGTGTGCACGGTGCATCGCTCTTCTCTACAAATATTCACCCTACAGATGTACCGAACCACAGAATCCCTATAGACGTAAGGAAAATAATTCAACAACCTGAATTTTTTTGCATATTCTAGCCCATGTTCGAGTGCTCTTGTTCAAATACTCCTACAATAGCCCTTTCGTTTTGGTTCGTGCGCAAAAAAAAGTTCGGCGCCTATGATTTCGGCTATCTTTGTCGATAAATGCTTAGACAACACATGAATCACTTTAGGCGTAGGGCAAAGCATTCAAAAACCTCAAAGTTTTTGCATATTCATGTCACCCATGAACAAATGCACCCATCAGAGCCTTTTTGGCTTGGTTCTTGCACAAAGAAAAGTTTGGCGACTATGATTTGTGCTGTTTTTGCGGGCAAATGCTTAGAATGCGCATGAATCCCTAAAACGTAGGGAAAAGCATTCAACAACCTCAATGTTACTACATATTCGAGTGGCCCATCTTCAAATGCACCTCTAAGAGAATTTTTGGTTTCGTTCTTGTGTAAAGAAAAGTTCGGTGCCTATGATTTCGGCTGGTATTGGCGAAAAATGCTTAGACATCGCATAAATCCCTATATGCGTAGAAAAAAACATTCAACAACCTCAATGTTATTGCATTCTCGAGTAGCCCACGTTCAAATAGAACTATTAGAGCCCTTTGGACTTGGTTCGTGCGCATAGAATGTTAGACATATATGATATAGCCTATGTAGGCTATAGTGGGGTAGACAATAGGGGGTACAGATATTCTAGGGTTTCATACGGTACTTGTACCTTTCACATTCCTAGTCAATTCATTCCTCATTCTTCACATGGTATAGAGCGGGTTCCCTAGTGGGACCGTTTCTTCATAAGGGCCCACCTTCGATTTTTTTTTTAGCCTGCCCGAAGCGCGCTTCACGTCCTGCCCTAAAATTTCGCGGCCCCTTAGTGGCCTGCCCCTTCACGGCCCCTTAGCGGCCCCTTCGCGGCCCCTTTAGCGGCCCCTTCGCGGCCCTCCTTTCACGGCCCCGTCGCGGCCCCTTCACGACCCCTTTCGCGGCCCTGTCGCGACCCCTTCGCGGCCCCTCGCGGCCCCTCTTAAGGCCCTTCGCGGCCCTTCGCGGCCCCCTCACGGCTCTTCGCGGCCCCTTCGCGGCCCTTCGCGGCCCCCTCTCGGCCCTTCGCGGCCCCTTCTCGGCCCTTCGCGGCCCCTTCTCGGCCCCTCTGCGGCCCTTCGCGGCCCCTTCGGGCCCCTTGGCGGCGCTTTCGCGCCCCCCCCCCCTCCCCCTTCGCGGCCCGCCGTAGCCGCCCTGCCGCCCCGTCATCGCCGCCTCACCAGCAGCTGCCGCCACCCCTGCTGCCGCTGTAGCGGCCCTCCCGCCCCGTCGTCCCTGTTCCTGCAGCAGCGGCTGTCCCTGCAGCAGCTGCCGTCGCCGTCCCTGCCGCCACAGCAACTGCCGGCCCTGCTAGTGTCGCGCGCCGCCGCCGCTGCTGCAGTCCCTGCTGCCCCGGCCCTGACCTGCAGCCGAGCCGCAGCCCTACCCTGCTGCCCATTTGCGGCCCCGACCCTGCCTGCGCACCTCGGCCCTGCCACTCCGGTCGCAGCCACCCTACCCACTCGCCACTGGTAAGCGCCCTGCCGAGCCGCGCCCCTTTAGCCGAGTCGCGCTGCCGCCGCTGCTGCTAGCCTGCTGCTGCTGCTGTCATGGCTACCCCCAATGTGCTCACCTTTGATGCTGAGGGTCGGGCTGTCGACTTTGAGGTCTGGGTCGATGATCTGCAGCTTTTTCTGCAGTGCGATAGAAAAGACGGTCTCTCACTATTCGATCTCACGTCAGGCGCCTCTGCTGCCCCTACTGCCGATGCTGACAGTGCTGTTCGCTCACAGTGGGCCACACGCGATGCTGCTGCCCGTCTTGCCGTGCATAGTCACCTTCCGTCCTCTGAGCGCGCACACTTTAGTCAGTACAAGAGTGCTAAGACCTTGTACGACGCTGTAGTTGCACGCTACTCTTCCCCTGCCACTGCTACCCTAAGTCGCCTCATGCTGCCGTACCTGTTCCCTGACCTCGCCGCCTTTCCCACAGTCGCAGACCTCATTACACACCTCCGCACTAGTGACACCCGCTACCGCGCTGCGCTTCCTGCTGAGTTCTGCGCCAAGAACCCCCCCCCCCCCCCCCCCCCATGTACATCACCCTCTACTACCTAGTCACCCGGCTCCCTGACTCCCTTCGCTCGGTCAGGGACCACTTCCTCTCTGAGAGCCCCACCACACTCACCGTTGACCTCCTTGAGGAGCGCCTCCTTGCAGCTGAGAAGAGTATAGTCGCTGTAGGAGCCTCTCGTGGTGACCCTCGAACCCCGTTCTTTGAGGGGTGCTCCCCCGTTCCCCTTTTGCCATCTGTTGCCTTTGCTGCTGGTGTCGACCTCGTTGGCACCGAGTCGGTCGGCGCTGCGTCTGCCCCTAGCGGGAGACGCCGCAACGGCAAGGGCAAGGGGGGCAAGGGCGTTGGAGGAGCTGGTGGGGGCGGTGGTGGTGGCGGTGGAGGCGGCGGAGGGGGTGGGGGTGGCGGTGGGAGTGGGGGCGGGGGTGGGGGCTTCGGTGGCGGCGGTGGAGGCGGAGGCGGCGGTGGCGGTGGGAGCGGAGGAGGCGGCGGTGGCGGCGGTGGCGGCAGCGGCGGTGGAGCTGGTCGAGGTGGCTCTGTGCAGCGGGGAGGCTTCGGTGGTGGTCAGCGTCAGCAGCAGGAGCGCGCTCTTGAGAACCCGCCCCCCCAGCAGCTTCGTGAGTGGTATGCTGCGCGTCAGCGGGGTGGGGGTGCTGGTCCTTGTGCCTACGTCCCGCGTACCGGCGACCGCAGTGGTGAGCCGTGCGGCGGCCCGCACGCCGCCCAGCGCTGCTTCGGCCGCCTGATGGACGCCTGGCGTCTCCATTTCCCTGACGCCACTGAGATCCCTCGCCGGGTCGAGCTGCTTAGGTCGGGGGTTGCTATCTTTGATCTTGATTATGATGCTATTCTTGCTGCCATGTATGTTGTGTCTACTAGTGACGAGGGTGACTGTTACTTGTGTGTGCCGCCTGACCCAGGCATTGAGGCTGCTGCTCTAGGTGCTAGTGAGTCTGCTGCTCCAGGTGCTGGTGAGTCTGCTGCTCCAGGTGCTGGTGAGTCTGCTCTCTCAGGTACCACGTCGGCTCAGGTTTTGCACACCTTCACTCTTGACTCGGGTGCTTCCCGCTCCTTCTTTCGAGACCGCACCACACTCACGCCGCTTAGTCGGCCTGTTGCAGTCTCCCTGGCAGACCCCTCTGGGGGTCCTGTCCTTGCCCACTTTTCCACTGTCTTGCAGTGTCCGCCGGCCCCCTCTGGCACCCTGTCAGGCCTTTACCTCCCCTCGTTCTCTACAAACTTGGTGAGTGGTGCTGACCTACAGGATAGGGGGGTTGACCAGTTCACTCCTACGAGACAGCGAATGACCCACTGCACGTGCGCTCGGACGGGCCGACACTTGGCCACGTTTACCCGTCAGCCGGGGTCGAGCCTGTACACACTGACTACTGAGTCTCCTCCGGTTGCTGCGTCTGGTCAGGTAGCTGCGTCGGGTCAGGTGTTAGCTGCAGCGTCCAGGTCTGGTATTGAGTCTGCCCCCTGCTCGTGTCGTCTCCTGTCTCACCAAACTCTTCTCTGGCACCACCGCCTTGGTCACCCCTCCCTGCCTCGTCTCCAAGGCATGGCCTCCCGTGTCCTTGTCTCTGGTCTCCCCCAGTCCCTCCCTCCCCTTCCCCCGGGGCCTGCCCCTACCTGCGTTCCCTGCATCGAGGGGCGGCAGCGCGCCGCTCCTCACTCCTCCGAGTTTCCTCTGACAGAGGCTCCGCTGCAGACACTTCACCTGGACGTGCGGGGCCCCGCCCGCGTCCGTGGACAGGGTCACGAGCGTTACTTCCTGCTGGTAGTTGACGACTACTCGCGTTACACCACAGTCTTCCCCTTGCGCAGCAAGGGTGAGGTCGCTGAGGTGTTGATCGACTGGATCCGCGCTGCTCGTCTCCAGCTCAGAGAGAGTTTCGGCTCGGACTTTCCTGTTCTGCGTCTACACTTTGACATAGGCGGAGAGTTTTCCTCCGACCTTCTGCGAGCCTTCTGTCGTGCACGGGGAATCCGCCAGACGTTCACGCTTCCGGCCTCTCCACAGCAAAATGGGATTGCTGAGCGCCGCATTGGCATGGTCATGGACGTCGCTCGTACGTCCATGATGCATGCGGCTGCTCCCCATTTTCTGTGGCCGTTCGCGGTTCAGTACGCGGCGCATCAGATCAACCTTCAGCCCCGGGTCTCCTTGCCTGAGACCTCCCCTACTCTGCGGTGGATGGGGAAGGTTGGCGATGCGTCTGCGTTTCGTGTCTGGGGATCTCGAGCTTTTGTCCGCGACTTGTCTGCGGACAAGCTGTCCCTCCGTGTTGTTCCCTGCGTTTTCCTTGGCTCCCCCCCTGACGCGCCTGGTTGGCAGTTTTACCACCCCACCTCGCGCCGTGTTCTGTCCTCCCAGGACGTCAGGTTTGACGAGTCGGTTCCTTACTACCGTCTCTTCCCCTACCGCACTGCACCCCTCCCCCCGCCGCCGCTCTTCCTCGCGCCAGTTCCCCCCCCGGTAGACCCCCTTCCCCCTCAGGTTCCTGCCCCCTCAGGTGTGTCCCAGGTAGACGCAGTCGAGCCTGTCGAGGTAGCTGTTGACTCTGGTGCTGCTAGGGGTGCTGAGCCTGCGGTTGCGGGGTCTGGGGGTGCTGAGCCTGGGGGTGCTGTGTTTGGGGGTGCTGAGACTAGGGGTGCTGAGTCTGGGGTTGCTGAGCCTAGGGGTGCTGAGACTGGGGGTGCGAAGCCTGAGGCTGCTGGGCCTGCTCGTGTGGGGTCTGGCGGTACTGGGTCTGGAGGTCCTTCGGGTGCTTCGTCCCGGCGGGAGCTACCCTCTCCATAGGAGAGGCGCGAGTGGTTTGCTCGGCGCTGGATCCATGCTGCTGGAGCCGGAGGTGCTGCTGGAGCTGAAGGTTCTACTGCTGCTGAGGCTGCTGGCGCCACGGGTCCCGGAGGTGCTCGCACTGGAGGTACTGGAGCTGCCGGGCCTGGGGGTGCTCCTAGTGCTGGAGCTGCTGGCGGTGCTGCTGGAGTAGGTGCTGCTGGAGGTGCTGGAGCTGAGGCTGTTGAGTCTTCCGGTAGTTCCGCTGGAGCTGGAGCTGCTGGAGGTGCTGGAGCTGGAGGTGATGCTATTCCCAGTGCTCTTGTGGGTGCTGGAGAAGCTGCTCCTTGAGCTGGTGGAGCTGCTGGAGTCCGGGCCGACCCTGGGGGTGTTGGTACTGTCCCTGCTGGTTGTGGAGGTGCTGCGCGGCCACGGCCGTACTTCGTTCCGCTCCTTGAGCAGGTTCTTGGTCTTCCGCCCTCTACTGGTCCTGCTCCTTCCTTAGAGTGTCCACTGCCTGTCCAGTCCTAGTCACAGTTACAGCCCGCCTCCCCACTGCCTGCTCCTTCTCCCTACACTGGTCCTACTGGAGGTCTTGCTGAGCGTCGTGAGCCTGCGTCTCATCCTGCGTCGCCTGTTCGTGCTGCTCGCACTAGTCGTCGTGTTCCGCGTGAGCGTCCTCCTGCAGTCCCGGGCACACACCAGATGGCACTTCGTCCTTCCACTACTCCACTGCGTATCCCTTTGCCGTCTCCTCCAGAGTCCTCTCTTCCTGCTCTTGCTGACCCAGAGTCTGACTCCCTTCGTGCTGCCAGTCCTACTATCACGCGTCTCCTGGCTACTTTTGTCACTAACCCTTCCTTTGAGTCCACTGCTGCGTTTGCCTTAGTTGCTGGGCTTGTTGACTTTGCTGCTCACTTTCGCCTAGTCAGGGTCTGTCTGTCCTCCGTCCGTTAGGGGTGGGTGTGCTCTTAGCACGGACGTCCTTGAGGACAGGCAGGAGGAGTTCCAGTGTTTTGCTGCTGCTTTACCTCATCTCGTGTCCAGGCTGATTGCCCCTGAGGGAGACCCGGATGCACCAGACATCCCGACTCCGCGCTCTTACGCAGAGGCAATAGAGGGTCCCTACTCCTCTCAGTGGTAGTTGGCCATGGACGCAAAGATGGCTTCCTGGAAGTCCACAGACACCTATGTTGACGAGGTTTCCCCACCTGGGGCGAACATCGTCAGTGGCATGTGGATTTTCAGGATGAAGCGGCCGCCGGGTTCTCCGCCTGTCTTCAAGGCGCGTTACGTGGCTCGAGGCTTTAGTTAGCTGCAGGGAGTTGACTACTTTTAGACCTTCTCTCCCACCCCGAAGATGACCACTCTTCGGGTGCTGCTGCATATAGCCGCTCAACACGACTACGAGCTTCACTCTCTTAACTTCAGCACAGCTTTCTTGCAGGGCAGCCTGCACGAGGAGATTTGGGTGCGCCGCCCACCTGGCTTCACTGGGTTGTTTCCTCCTGGTACCCAGTGGAGCCTCCGGCGGCCAGCCTACGGTCTCCGTCAGGTGCCCCGTGAGTGGCACGACACACTGAGAACTACACTTGCGGCTCTTGGGTTTGCTCCTTCTACTGCCGACCCGTTGCTGTTTCTACGCACCGACACTTCTTTGCCGTCGTTCTACATCCTCGTGTATGTCGACGACTTGGTCTTTGCTACTGCTAACACTGCTGACACTGCTGGACTCGCCCACGTGAAGTCGGAGCTGCAGAAGAGACACACGTGCACAGACCTGGGTGAACTGCGCAGCTACCTTGGCTTGCAGATCACCCGGGACAGAGCACGGCGCACCATTACCTTGACTCAGTCACACATGGTGCAGCAGGTCCTTCAGCGCTTTGACTTCACGTACTCCTCGCCTCAGGCCACCCCTCTGTCTACTCGCCACTCGCTCTCAGCTCTGCCTTTGGATGAGTCTGTAGAGCCGAGTGGCCCGTACCCAGAGCTTGTTGGCTGCCTCATATACCTGATGACCTGCACTCGACCTGACCTTGAATACCCTCTTAGCATCCTGGCACGCTATGTTGCTCCTGGGAGACACTGACCAGAGCACATGGCTGCAGCGAAGAGGGTGTTGCGCTACTTGTGCAGTACGCCGGGCATGGGGCTTGTTCTTGGAGGGCGGAGTCCAGTGGTCCTCACTGGTCACGCAGACGCTTCTTGGGCTGAGGACCAGGCTACGGAGCGGTCGTCACAGGGTTACACCTTCAGCCTTGGTTCCGGCTCGGTTTCGTGGCGGTCTACCCGCTCGTCTTCTGTTCTCGGCTCCAGCTGTGAGACTGAGATCTACGCAGGGGCCATGGCTCCACAAGAGTTACGCTGGCTCACCTACCTGCTGACTGACCTAGGAGAGCCGCCTCGTTCTCCTCTAGTCCTGTACGTAGACAACAAGGCCATGTTGGCCTTGTGTCGGGAGCACAGAACAAAGAACATTGCTCTTCGCTACTTCCTTGCTCGTGAGCTGCAGCAGCATGGTCAGTTGCGCCTTGCTTACGTGGCCTCTTGGGCCAACACTGCTGATATCTTTACCAAGGCACTTCAGCCTTGTGATCATCAGCGCATTTGTACTATGCTAGGTCTTGTGCCTGCTTGGCCTCACTTGTTCACTTCTTGACCTTGCTTGTACTGTGATCTATAGATACCTGCTCTTGCTTCTTTACGTTCATATATATATAATCCTGCATGTGAACTGGCCTTGTGGCCTTGAACTGGTGCTCGGAATGTGTGGTGACGTTGTGATCCACCTTGAGCTTGCTTTGCCTAATCCATTGGACTGACAAAAAAAAGGTACTAACCGCATCTCTAAAAGCATACGTAATGCGCTGGTCAAGTTGGTCGGTTTGCGTGCCTGTAGTGCAGGTACCATGCACGACTGGAATGCCTATAAACGGCAAATTACATATATCCAAAAGGTTAAAGCCTGGTAGAGGGGTGGGGAATGGTATAATGTAAAGGAAAAGCGAAACATATGTGGTATTCACTCTATTTCTACAATGAAAATGATGCGTGAGCCGGTTCGGGTAGTATGCACGGTTGTGTGCAGGTACAAGGCGGAGCTGGAACTCCGAAATCTTGCAAATTATGTGGATCTAAAAGGTTAGAACCTTGTGTTGTTAAAGTAGATGGCCTAATCTAGTGGACTGACAAGAAAATGGTACTAACCGCATCCCTACAAACATACGTAATGCGCTGGTCAAGTTGGTCGGTATGCGTGTCTGTAGTGCAGGTACCATGCACAACTGGAGTGCCTATATTTGGCGAATTACATAGATCCAAAAGGTTAGAACCTGGTACAGGGGTGGGGAATGGTATAATGTAAAGGAAAGACGAGACATATGTGGTATCCACTCTACTTCTACAAAGAAAATGATGCGTGAGCCGGTTCGGGTAGTATGCACGCTTGTCTGCAGGTACAAGGCGGAGCTAGAGCTCTGAAATCTTGCAGATTATGTGGATCTAAAAAGTTAGAACCTAGTGTTGTTAGAGTAGATGGCTAATCTAGTGGACTGACAAGAAAATGGTACTAACCGCATCTCTAAAAGCATACGTAATGCGCTGGTCAAGTTGGTCGGTATGCGTGCCTGTAGTGCAGGTACCATGCACGACTGGAGTGCCTATATTTGGCAAATTGCATAGATCCAAACGGTTACAACCTGGTAGAGGGGTGGGGAATGGTATGATGTAAAGGAAAAGCGAAACATATGTGGTATTCACTCTACTTCTACAAAGAAAATGATGCGTGAGCCGGTTCAGGTAGTATGCACGCTTGTGTGCAGGTACAAGGCGGAGCTGGAGCTCTGAAATTTTGCAAATTATGTGGATCTAAAATGTTAGAACCTAGTGTTGTTAAAGTAGATGGCCTAATCTAGTGGACTGACAAGAAAATGGTACTAACCGCATCTCTACAAACATACGTAATGCGCTGGTCAAGTTGGTCGGTATGCGTGCCTGTACTGCAGGTACCATGCACGACTAGAGTGCCTATAATTGGCAAATTGCAGAGATCCAAAAGGTTACGACCTGGTAGAGGGGTGGGGAATGGTATAATGTAAAGGAAAAGCGAGACATATGTGGTATTCACTCTACTTCTACAATGAAAATGATGCGTGAGCCGGTTCAGGTCGTATGCACGCTTGTGTGCAGGTACAAGGCGGAGCTGGAGCTATGAAATTTTGCAAATTATGTGGATCTAAAATGTTAGAACCTAGTATTGTTAAAGTAGATGGCCCAATCTAGTGGACTGACAAGAAAATGGTACTAACCACATCTCTAAAAACATACGTAATGCGCTGGTCAAGTTGGTCGGTATGCGTGCCTGTAGTGCAGGTACCATGCACGACTGGAATGCCTATATTTGGCGAATTACATAGATCCATAAGGTTAGAACCTGGTAGAGGGGTGGGGAATGGTATAATGTAAAGGAAAAGCGAGACATGTGTGGTATTCACTCTACTTCTACAAAGAAAATGATGCGTGAGCCGGTTCGGGTAGTATGCACGCTTGTCTGCAGGTACAAGGCGGAGCTGGAGCTCTAAAATTTTGCAAATTATGTGGATTTAAAAAGTTAGAACCTAGTGTTGTTAAAGTAGATGGCCTAATCTAGTGGACTGACAAGAAAATGGTACTAAACGCATCTCTAGAAACATACGTAATGCGCTGGTCAAATTGGTCGGTATGCGTGCCTGTAATGCAGGTACCATGCACGACTCGAATGCCTATATTTGGCGAATTACCTAGATCCAAAAGGTTAGAACCTGGTAGAGGGGTGGGGAGCGGTATAATGTAAAGGAAAAGTGAAACATAAGTGGTATTCACTCTACTTCTACAAAGAAAGTGATGCGTGAGCTGGTTCGGGTAGTATGCACGCTTGTGTGCTGGTACAAGGCGGAGCTGGAGCTCTGAAATCTTGCAAATTTTGTGGATCTAAAAGGGTAGAGCATAGTGTAGTTAAGGTAGATGGCCTAATTTAGTGGACTGACAAGAAAATGGTACTAACCGCATCTCCACAAACATACGTAATGCGCTGGTCAAGTTGGTCGGTATGCGTGCCTGTAGTGCAGGTACCATGCACGGATGGAGTGCATATATTTGGCGAATTACATAGATCGAAAAGGTTAGAACCTGGTAGAGGGGTCGGGAATGGTATGATGTAAAGGAAAAGCGAAACATATGTGGTATTCACTCTACTTCTACAATGAAAATGATGCGTGAGCCGGTTCGGGTAGTATGCACGCTTGTGTGCAGGTACAAGGCGGAGCTGGAGCTCGGAAATCTTGCAAATTATGTGGATCTAAAAGGTTAGAACCTAGTGTTGTTAAAGTAGATGGACTAATCTATAGGACTGACAAGAAAATGGTACTAACCGCATCTCTACAAACATACGTAATGCGCTGGTCAAGTTGGTCGGTATGCGTGCCTGTAGTGCAGGTACCATGCACGAATGGAGTGCCTATAATTGGCGAATTACATAGATCCAAAAGGTTAGAACCTGTTAGAGTGGTGGGGAATGGTATGATGTAAAGGAAAAGCGAAACATATGTGGTATTCACTCTACTTCTACAAAGAAAACGATGCGTGAGCCGGTTCGGGTAGTATGCACGCTTGTGTGCTGGTACAAGGCGGAGTTGGAGCCCTGAAATCGTGCAAATATTGTGGATCTAAAAGGTTAGAGCCTAGTTTTGTTAAAGTAGATGGCCTAATCTAGTGGACTGACAAGAATTTTGTACTAACCGCATCTCCACAAACATACGTAATGCGCTGGTTAAGTTGGTCGGTATGCGTGCCTTTACTACAGGTACCATGCAGGACTGGAATGCCCATAATTGGCAAATTACATAGATCCAAAAGGTTAGAACCTGGTAGAGGGGTGGGGAATGGTATGATGTAAAGGAAAAGCGAAACATTTGTGGTATTCACTCTACTTCTACAAAGAAAATGATGCGTGAGCCGGTTCGGGTAGTATGCACGCTTGTGTGCAGGTGCAAGGCAGAGCTGGAGCTCTGAAATCTTGCAAATTATGTGGATCTAAAATGTTAGAACCTAGTGTTGTTAAAGTAGATGGCCTAATCGAGTGGACTGACAAGAAAATTGTACTAACCGCATCTCTACAAACATGCGTAATGCGCTGGTCAAGTTGGTCGGTATGCGTGCCTGAAGTGCTGGTACCATGCACGAATGGAGTGCCTATATTTGGCGAATTACATAGATCCAAAAGGTTAGAACCTGGTAGAGGGGTGGGGAATGGTATAATGTAAAGGAAAAGCGAAACATATGTGGTATTCACTCTACTTCTTCAAAGAAAATGATGAGTGAGCCGGTTCGGGTAGTATGTACGCTTGTGTGCATGTACAAGGCGGAGCTGGAGCTCTGAAATCTCGCAAATTTTGTGGATCTAAAATGTTAGAACTTAGTGTTGTTAAAGTAGATGGCCTGATCTAGTGGATTGACAAGAAAATGGTACTAACCGCATCTCTACAAGCATACGTAATGCGCTGGTCAAGTTGGTCGGTATGCGTGCCTGTAGTGCAGGTATCATGCATGCTTGTGGGATGCCTTTTAAGCATTTGGGATGTCTGTTTAGCGTGTGGGATGCATGTTAAGCATGTGGGATGCCTGTTAAGCATGTGGGATGCCTGTTAAGCCTGTGGGATGCCTGTTAAGCATGTGGGATGCCGTTTAAGCGTGTAGGATGCCTCTTAAGCGTGTGGGATGCCTGTTAAGCGTTTGGGATGTCTGTTAAGCGTGTGGGATGCCTATTAAGCTTGTGGGATGCCTTTTAAGCGTGTGGGATGCCTTTTAAGGGTGTGGGGTGCCTGTTAAGCGTGTGGGATGTGAGTTAAGCGTGTGGGGTGCCTGTTAAGCGTGTGGGGTGTGAGTTAAGCGTGTGGGGTGCCTTTTAGGCGTGTGGAATGCTTGTTTAGCGTGTGGTATGTTTGTTAAGCGTGTGAGATGTTTGTTAAGCGTGCGTGATGCCTTCTAAGCGTGTGGTATGCCTTTTAAGCGTGTGGCATGCGTGTTAAGCGTGTAGGATGCATGATAAGCATATGGGATGTCTTTTAAGCGTATGGGATGTCTTTTAAGCGTGTGGGATGCCTTTAAGCGTGTGGGATGCCTTTTGAGCGTGTGGGATGCCTTTCAAGCATGTGGGATGCCTGTTATGCATGTGGGATGCCTTTTAAGCATGTGGGATGCCTGATAAGCGTGTGGGATGCCTGTTAAGCGTGTGGGATGCCTGTTAAGCGTGTGAAATGCTTGTTAAGCATGTGGGATGATTGTTAAGTGTGTGGGATGCCTTTCAAGCGTGTGGAATGCCTGTTAAGTGTGTGGGATGCCTGGTAAGCTTGTGGGATGCCTTTTATGCGTGTGGGATGCCTGTTAAGCGTGTGGGATGCCTGTTAAGCGTGTGGGATGCCTGTTAAGCGTGTGGGATGCCTGTTAAGCGTGTGGGATGCCTTTCAAGCGTGTGGGATGCCTTTTAAGTGTGTAGAATGCCTGTTAAGCTTGTGGGATGCCTGTTAAGCATGTGGGATGCCTGTTAAGCGTGTGGGATGCCTGTTAAGCGTGTGGGATGCCTATTAAGCGTGTGGGATGCCTGTTAAGCGTGTGGGATGTCTTTTAAGCGTGTGGGATGCCTTTTAAGCGTGTGGGATGCCTTTTAAGCGTGTGGGATGCGTGTTAAGCGTGTGGGATGACCTTTAAGCGTGTGGGATGCCTGTTAAGCGTGTGGGATGTCTATTAAAGCTCAAGGCCAAACTTTTCAACCCTAGTAAGGTTGCCCTTGGGGTATCGAGAGAGGAACGTTGACATTTTTTAAGTTGGGCTCGTTGTCAAACATTATATATGTTGTTGTGCTTGTTTAGGCTACAGTGGGTTAGCCTGTAGGGGGTACACAATTCTAGGGTTAGGTATTTGTACTGTTTTCACTCTTAGTTCATTCATTCCTGTTCAGTGATTCCAACATGGTATAGAGCAGGTCCTTCCTAGGACCGAACTGTTAAGGGCCCACCACTACCTACCTACCTGCCTACCTACCTACCTACCTAGGGCGCCAACGGCACTGACGGCCCGCCCCTAGAGGCCCCTCACGGCCCAAGCGCTTACCTCCCTAGCGGCCCCAAACGGCCCCGTCGGCCCCTAGTGGCCCCGTTAGGCCCCGCGCTCACCGTCCTAGCGGCCCCGTCGACCCCTAAACGGCCCCGAACGGCCGCGCACTTACCTCCCTAGCGGCCCCGTCGACCCCTAAAACGCCCCGAACGGCCCCGCGCTACCTCCCTAGCGGCCCCAAACGGCCACGTCGGCCCCTAGTGGCCCCGTTAGGCCCCGCGCTCACCGTCCTAGCGGCCCCGTCGACCCCTAAACGGCCCCGAACGGCCCCGCGCTTACCTCCCTAGCGGCCCCGTCGTCCCCTAAAAGGCCCCGAACGGCCCGCGCTCACCTCCCTAAGGCCCCAAACGGCCCCGTTGGCCCCGCGCCCACCGTCCCTAGAGGCCCCGAGCGGCCTGGTACCGCCACAGCCCGGGACCGAACCGAGCCGCGCGACCGAACCGAGCCGCGCGACCCGAGCCGAGCCGCGCGAACCCAGACGAGCCGCGCGACCCGATCCGAACCGAGCCGCCCCACCCGAGCCGCGCCGCCCTACCCGAACTGAGCCGCTATAACTACTTCTTCTACTGCTACTGCTGCTACTTCTACTGCTCCTATGGCTAGCCCACAGGTTCTAGTTTTTTATGCTGAGGGCCGCCCAGTGAAGTTTGACACCTGGCTAGATGACCTGCACCTCTACCTACAGCTCACAGCCAAGGATGACATCTCACTGTACGATCACGCCCTAGGCCATGTCACTGCCCCTGCTGCTACTGCTGACAGCACTGCTCGCTCACAGTGGCAGACTCGTGATGCCCACGCTCGCTTCGCTATTCGCAACTCGCTGCCGATAGACGAACGCGAGCACTTTGGCCAGCACAAGACTGCACAGGTACTGTACACAGCTGTAGTTGCTCGCTACTCCTCACCTGCCTCTGCCGCACTAGGCCGTCTCTCCCTCCCCTACCTGTTTCCTGACCTGACCTCTTTTGACACAGTCGCTGACCTCATCACGCACCTCCGTACTAGTGAGGCCCGCTTCCGTGCAGCCATGCCCGCTGAGTTCCTTGCCACGCACCCCCCTCCACTCTGGCTCACTCTCTACCACCTAGTCACCCGCCTCCCTGACACACTTCGTGCTGTCAGGGACCACTTCGTAGCTCGCTGCCCCACTGAGCTCACCATTGCCCTCCTCGAGAAGGAACTGCTTGCAGTTGAGACTAGCATAGTCGCTGTAGGTGCCTCTCGTGGCGACCCCCGAACCCCGTTCTTTGAGGGGTGTTCTCCTTCCCCCCTTCTTCCCTCTGTCGCCTCTGCTGCTGCTGTCGACCTTCTTGGTGCTGAGAAGGTCGGCGCTGCGTCTAATTCGAGCGCGCGCCGCAGCGGCAAGGGCAAAGGGGGCAAGGGTGGTGGTGGCGACGGCGGGGGAGGCGGCGGTGGGGGCGGTGGAGGCGGCGGGGGTGGTGGCACGACTGGGGGGACTAGTGGCAGCGGTGGGGGTGGTGGCGGCAGCGGCGGCGGAGGTGGCAGGGGCGGAGGCGGTGGTTGGGGTGGCGGTGGACGAGGCGGCGGCAGGGGTTGGGGTGGTCGAGGAGGTGGCAGCGGTGGTGGTGGCCGTGGAGGCGCTGGCGGTGGCCAGGGCCAGCAGCACACTCCTTCGCCCCAGGAAGTCCGTGAGTGGTACTCTCAGCACGGGGGTGGGGGTGGTCTTAGCTGCACGTACGTCATTCGCACTGGTGACCGCACTGGTCAGCAGTGTGGACGACCGCACGCCACACAGCGCTGCTTCGCTCGTCTCGACGACGCTTGGCGTGTTCAGTTCCCTCAGGCCACTGAACTGCCCCGCTGGATTGATCTCCTGAAGAAGGGGATTGATATCTATGCTCTAGACTTTGATGCTATTCTATCTGCTATGTATGTGATGTCTACTAGTGGAGAGGGTGCTGAGTACTTGTGTGCCGCCCGACCCGAGCATTAGGGCCAGTGCGTCTGCCGCTCCAGGTACTCGCGTGTCGGCTACCCCAGGTGCTGGTGAGGCAGCTGCTCTAGGTGCTTGTGTGTCTGCCCCCCTTGGTACTGAGTCGACTGCAGCACTACACACCTTCACACTGGACTCAGGTGCTTCTCGCTGCTTCTTTCGTGACCGCACTGCCCTTGAGCCGCTTGCTCGGCCAGTTGCTGTCTCCCTTGCTGACCCCTCTAGGGGTCCGTTCATTGCAACCTCTTCCACGGCCCTTCCCTGTCCTGCGGTCCCGTCGGGCACACTGTCAGGTCTCCACCTCCCCTCGTTCTCTACGAACCTGGTGGCAGGATGTGCGCTCCAGGACGGGGGTGTTCACCAGTTCACCCCTGCCTACGAGCGAGTGACACACTGCACGTGTGCTCGTACAGGCCGTCACTTGGCTACCTTCACTTGGCAGCCGGGGTCGGACCTGTACACACTGACCACTGAGTCCCCTCAGGTCGTTGCGTCTGCGTCTGCGTCCGCGTCAGGTCAGCTGTCGGCCCCCTGCTCGTGTCGCTCTCTGGCACACGAGACTGTCCTCTGGCACCACCGCCTTGGCCACCCGTCTGTGCAGCGGCTTCGTGCCATGCACTCCCGGTACCTTGTCTCTGGCCTGCCCAGGGTCCTTCCTCCCCTCCCACCCTCACCTGCTCCTACCTGTCTCCCCTGTGTCGAGGGACGGCAGCGCGCCACTCCTCACTCCTCCTCGTTTCCCCCGACGACTGCTCCCTTGCAGACGCTCCACATGGACGTGTGGGGGCCAGCCCGCGTCCGTGGTCAGGGTCAGGAGAGGTACTTCCTGATAATTGTTGACGACTACTCGCGCTACACCACGGTCTTCCCCTTGCGCACCAAGGGTGAGGTCCCTGATGTCTTGATCCCTTGGATCCGCAGAGCCCGTCTCCAGCTCAGCGAGCGTTTCCACTCGGACTTTCCTGTCCTGCGCTTGCACTCTGACAGAGGTGGTGAGTTCTCCTCCGACCTCTTGGCAGCCTACTGTGCTGAGCACGGCATTGAGCAGTCGTTCACGCTTCCGGCCTCTCCACAGCAGAAAGGGGTTGCTGAGCGCCGCATTGGCCTGGTCATGGAGGTCGCCCGTACCTCCTTGATCCATGCGGCTGCCCCCCACTTTCTGTGGCCGTTTGCGGTCCGGTACGCTGCGCATCAGCTCAACCTCTGGCCCCGTGTCTCCTTGCCGGAGACCTCGCCCACGTTGCTGTGGACGGGGGAGGTTGGTGATGCGTCGCGTTTCCGGGTCTGGGGATCTCGAGCTTTTGTCCGCGATACGTCTGCGGACAAGCTCTCCTCCCGTGCTGTTCCCTGCGTCTTCCTCGGCTTTGTCCCGGACGCGTCTGGTTGGCAGTTTTACCACGCCACCTCGCGCCGAGTCTTGCCCTCTCAGGACGTCAATTTTGACGAGTCCGTCCCCTACTACCGTCTCTTCCCCCACCGCACTGCCCCGCTCCCCCCCCCCGCCTCTCTTCCTCGCCCCAGGTGGTGCTGTTGTAGACCCCCCCCCCCCCCCCTCTGGGTGCCGCTCCCTCAGGAGTGTCTCAGGTAGACCTGGTTGAGCCTGTTGAGGTAGCTGTCGACTCTCGTCCTGCTGGGGGTGCTGAGCCTGGGGGTGCTGAGCCTGGGGGTGTGGAGCCTAGGGGTGTGGAGCCTGGGGGTGCTGAGCTTGAGGGTACTGAGCCTGGGGGTGCTGAGCTTGGGGGTGTGGAGCCTGGGGGTGCTGAGCTTGGGGGTGCTGAGCTTCGGGGTGCTGAGTCGCAGAGTCCGGAGTGTGGAGGTTCTAGGTCTGGAGGTACTGGACCTGGGAGTCCTACACCTGGAGGAGCCCTCTCCTCGGAGCAGCTGCGTGAGTGGTACTTACAGTACTGCAGCCTCAGGAGAGCTGCCGCTCGAGCCGGGCGTGCTGCTAGGACTAGTGCTAGTGCTTCTCCTCCCAGTCTGGAGCTCCCCTCCCGTGAGCGGATCCGTGAGTGGTACGAGCGGCGCTGCACTCTTCGGAGTGGCGTGCCTCGTGTTGCGGACCCCGCTGCCGTGGGCGCTACTGCTGGTGCTGCGGACCCGGACGTTGGAGCTGCTGCTGGTGCTGAGGACCCGGGTGTTGGAGCTGCTGCTGGTACTGCGGACCCGGGTGTTGGAGCTGCTGCTGGTGCTGAGGACCCAGGTGTTGGAGCTGCGGCTGGTGCTGCGGACCCGGGCGTTGGAGCTACTGCTGGTGCTGAGGACCCGGGTGTTGGAGCTGCTACTGGTGCTGCAGACCCGGGCGTTGGAGCTGCTGCTGGTGCTGCGGACCCGAGCGTTGGCGCTTCTGCTGGTGCTGCGGACCCAGGTGTTGGAGCTGCTGCTGGTGCTACGAACCCTGGTACAGGTATCCCTGCTAGCTCTGGTGTCGCTGCACGGTCACGACCGTACTTCGTTCCGCTCCTTCAGCAGGTTCTTGGTCAGCTCCCTCCTCCTTGTCCTCCTCCCTCCTTAGCGTGTCCTCCGTCTGTCCAGCTGCAGTCGCAGTTACCGTCTGCCTCCTCTCTCCCTGGTCTTGCTCCTTTCACTGGTCCGACTGGAGGTCTTACTGAGCCTCGTGAGCCTGAGTCTTGTCCTGCGTCGCCTGTCCGTACTGCTCTCACTGGTAGTCGTGTCCAGCGTCAGCGTCTTCCTGCTGACCCAGGCACTCACCGGATGGCGCTTCGTCCGTCCACTGCTCCACAGCGTGTCCCACTGCCGTCTCCTCCTACTTCCTCTCTTCCTGCTCTTGCTGACCCTGGGTCAGACTCTCTTCGTGCTACTAGTCCTACTGTCATGCGTCTCCTGGCTACTGTTGTCACTGACCCTTCCTTTGAGTCTGCTGCTGCGTCTGCCTTAGTTGCTGAGCTTGTCGACTTTGCTGCCACCTGTCGTCTAGACTACGCTGCTAGCCTGGTTGCTGAGTCTGAGTCTGTCTGTCCTCCGTCCGTCGGGGGTGAGTGTGCTCTTGGCACTGACGTCCTTGAGGACAGGCAGGAGGAGTTTGAGTGCTTTGCTGCCGCTTTGCCCCATCTCGTGTCCATGCTTGTTGCCCCTGAGGGAGACCCGGATGCACCAGACATCCCGACCCCACGCTCTTACGCAGAGGCGATGGCCGGTCCCTACTCCTCTCAGTGGCAGTCGGCCATGGACACAGAGATGGCTTCCTGGAAGTCCACAGGCACCTACGTCGACGAGGTTCCCCCACCTGGGGCGAACATCGTCAGTGGCATGTGGATTTTCAGGGTGAAGCGGCCGCCGGGCTCTCCGCCTGTCTTCAAGGCGCGTTACGTTGCACGAGGCTTCAGTCAGCGAGAGGGAGTTGACTTCTTCCAGACCTTCTCCTCGACCCCGAAGATGACCACTCTTCGGGTTCTGCTGCATGTCGCCGCTCAGCGTGACTACGAGCTCCACTCGCTTGACTTCAGCACTGCTTTCCTACAGGGCAGCCTGCACGAGAAGATCTGGCTGCGCCATCCACCTGGCTTCACTGGGTCGTTCCCTCCTGGTACCCAGTGGAGCCTCCGACGGCCAGTCTACGGTCTCCGCCAGGCGCCTCGTGAGTGGCACGACACACTGAGGACTACACTTGCGGCTGTTGGGTTCGCGCCTTCTACTGCTGACCCGTCGCTGTTTCTACGCACCGACACCTCACTGCCGCCGTTCTACGTCCTTGTGTACGTCGACGACTTGGTCTTTGCTACTGCTGACACTGTGGCACTCGCCCACGTGAAGTCGGAGCTGCAGAAGAGACACACGTGCACAGACGTGGGTGAACTGACAAGCTATCTTGGCTTGCGGATCACCCGGGACAGAGCACGCCGCACCATCACCTTGACTCAGTCACACATGGTGCAGCAGGTCCTTCAGCGCTTCCGCTTCACGTACTCCTTGCCTCAGCCCACTCCTCTGCCTACCGGTCACTCGCTCTCAGCTCTGCCTTCGGATGAGTCCGTAGAGTCGAGTGGCCCGTATCCAGAGCTTGTGGGTTGCCTCATGTACCTGATGACCTGCACTCGACCTGACCTTGCATACCCTCTCAGCATTCTTGCACGCTATGTCGCTCCCGGCCGTCACCGGAAGGAGCACATGGATGCAGCGAAGAGGGTGTTGCGCTACTTGTGCAGTACGTCGGGCATGGGGCTAGTGCTTGGAGGGCGAGTCCCAGTTGTTCTCACTGGGCACTCAGACGCTTCTTGGGCAGACGACCAGGCTACTCAGCGGTCGTCTCAGGGTTACTCCTTCAGTCTTGGCTCTGGTTCTGTTTCTTGGCGTTCTACTCGCTCTTCTTCTGTTCTCAGCTCCAGTTGTGAGGCTGAGATCTACGCCACAGCCATGGCAGCCCAGGAGCTACGCTGGCTCACCTACTTGCTGACCGACCTCGGAGAGCAGCCTCGTTCTCCTCCAGTGCTGTACGTCGACAACAAGGCAGCCATTGCCTTGTGTGAGGAGCACAGACTGGAGCACAGAACGAAGCACATTGCTCTGCGTTACTTCCTTGCTCGAGAGTTACAGCAGCGTGGTCAGCTTCGTCTGCGTTACGTGGCCTCTGAGGCCAACACTGCTGATGTGTTCACCAAGGCGCTTCAGCCTTGTGACCATCAGCGCTTTTGCACTCTTCTAGGCCTTGTGCCTACTGGACCTCACTTGCTTATTTCTTGAGCCTGTTTGTACTGTGATCTCTATATATATATACCTGCATGTTTACTCTTGCTAGGTTGTGATCATTGTACCTTTTGCTCTATTATCAACCTGCATGTGAACTGGTCTTGTGACCACTTGCTTGTGCTCGGAATTTGTGTGGTATCCTTGAGATCCACCCTGAGCTTGTTTTGCCTTGCTTTGCCTTGACTGGTCTTGTGACCCCTAGTTCTCCCCCACTTCGCCTATGGGGGTGTGTCAAACATTATATATGTTGTTGTGCTTGTTTAGGCTACAGTGGGTTAGCCTGTAGGGGGTACACAATTCTAGGGTTAGGTATTTGTACTGTTTTCACTCTTAGTTCATTCATTCCTGTTAAGTGATTCCAACACTCGTCAGTTTGGCCCAGCTTCGCGCTAGGTTTTCGCTCACTCAGCAAACCGAAGGGCAACTCGGTTTGGTTGTCGGAGTCTTCAATTGCACTCACAATATTATTGGTGTTTCATTCTCTCCCATTGGACAAAAAAACTGCTGGCCAATCACACAGCATCGCACTTCTTGTAACCTCAATTCGCAACCAAACAACCCCCAGAACACCACTCCGATCAACTTTAGTCAGCTTGCCCTGCGCGCTCTGCAATTTGGGCCTTGAGCTTTAAGCGTGTGGGATGCCTGTTAAGCGTGTGGGATGCCTTTTAAGCGTGTGGGATGCCTTTTCAGCGTGTGGGATGCATGTTAAGAATGTGGGATGCCTTTTAAGCATGTGGGATGCATTTTAAGCGTGTGGGATGCCTGTTAAGTGTGTGGGGTGCCTGTTAAGCGTGTGGGATGCCTTTTAAGCGTGTGGAATGCCTTTTAAGCGTGTGGGATGCCCGTTAAGCGTGTGGGAAGTCTGTTTAGCATGTGGGATGCCTTTTAAGCGTGTGGGATGCCTGTTAAGCGTGTGGGATGTCATTTAGTCATGTGGGATGTCTTTTAAGCGTGTGGGATGCCTGTTAAGTGTGTGGGGTGCCTGTTAAGCGTGTGGGATGCCTTTTAAGCGTGTGGAATGTCTTTTAAGCGTGTGGGATGCCCGTTAAGCGTATGGGAAGTCTGTTTAGCGTGTGGGATGCCTTTTAAGCGTGAGGGATGCCTGTTAAGCGTGTGGGATGTCATTTAGTCGTGTGGGATGTCTTTTAAGCGTGTGGGATGTCTGTTAAGCGTGTGGGATGCCTGTTAAGCGTGTGGGATGCGTTTTAAGCGTTTGGGATGCCTTTTATGCGTGTGGGATGCCTGTTAAGCGTGTGGGATGCTTGTTAAGCGTGTGGGATGCCTTTTAAGCGCGCGGGATGCCTGTTAAGCATGTGGGATGCCTGTTAAGCGTGTGTGATGCCTTTTAAACATGTGTGCATTTTAAGCGTGTGGAATCATTGGTTCTTGTGCAAAGAAAAGGTCGGCGCCTATGATTTCAGCTGGTTTTGCCGACAAATGCTTAGACAGTGCATGAATCCCTAGTGACAAAATTAGAAGAAAGAAAGAGGATTGAACTAGCAGGAATGAGGATACAAATAGCAAAACCCTAGAAGGGTTGTACTCGCTATAGAGCACCCCACCACAGGCTAGAACATAAGATAATATTCTGACACACCCCCATAGCCAAAGTGGGGTGTAATCAGCAGAGCAGGCAAAGCAATACAAGCTCAGGGTGGATCACAATGTCACCACACATTTTGAGCACAAGTTCAAGAAGAAATAGTTTAGAGTTAACAATTATAAGCAAAGCTAGTGGTAGTCACAACGGGCAAGTGAGGAGGAGGAGGGAGAGTGAGGGGAGAGGAGATAGGAGGCGACGGCTGAAGCTGCAGACACTCGGGCAGCAGGAGGCAGACTGGCACAGCGGCTACCGGACAGCGCCCGGACTACAGGAGTAACAGGCCCCGCGGCTCAAATAGCGGCGGACGGGCAACGGACCCACAGGCGGTTGGCGTAGAAGTCTAGCTCACTGGGCTATCGGGACAGCGCCCCGGACTACAGGTGCTGCTGACGACAAACTGGCAGCCTCCGCTCATCCTCCCGCACACAGTCCCACCCCCCTGATACACACCCACTGCTACACCGCTAGCTCTACTCCCACACACCCCCCTTAAACCCTAAACCCAGTCTCCCACACATCCACCCCCCTCAGCGACAGCTGCAGCAGTGGGAGACGAAGGAGGAGGAGGAGCAAAGGGAGGAAGGAAGACCGGCCACCCCCATACCCGCCACCCCACAGCTCGCCAAGCGGCCCCCTCAGGTCGCCTCGACGGACGACGGGAAATGGCAGGGGGAGGGGGGGGGGGGGGGGGGGGGGGGGGGGGGGGAGGCGGGGTGGTGAAAGGGACCCACCACGGGCCTGGTTGGAGGGCGGGGCCGCGAAAAGGGGCGGGGCCGCGACGAGGGGCGGGGCCGCTAAGTAGGGCGGGGCCGCTTCGAGGGGCGGGGCCGCGACACAGGGCGGGGCCGCGACGTAGGGCAGGGCCGCGACGGTCGGGCGGGGCCGCGACGTAGGGCGGGGCCGTGACGGTCGGGGCGGGGCCGCGACGTAGGGCGGGGCCGCGACTGTAGGGCGGGGCCGCGACGGTCGGGGCGGGGCCGCGACGTAGGGCAGGGCCGCTTTGAGGGGCGGGGCCGCGACGCAGGGCGGGGCCGCGACGGTAGGGCAGACGCCCGCCGCGCGCCTCGGGGCGCACAGCGGGCAAAGAACCGCCGCGCGCCCCGGGGCGCACGGCGGGCAGAAAACCGCCGCGCGCCTCGGGGCGCACGGCGGGAAGGAAAACCGCCGCGCGCCTCGGGGCGCACGGCGGGAAGGAAAGGTAGCAGCGGAAGCGAGGTGGAAACCCACCCACAGGATCGATCCAAGGGGATCGACCTGCTCTGATAGCATGACAAAATTAGAAGAAAGAAAGAGGATTGAACTAGCAGGAATGAGGATACAAATAGCAAAACCCTAGAAGGGTTGTACTCGCTATAGAGCACCCCACTACAGGCTAGAACATAAGATAATATTCTGACACCTAGAGGCGTAGGGAAAAAACATTCGACAACCTCAATGTTATTGCATATTCGAGTAGCCCATGTTCAAATTCACCTACCAAAGCCCTTTCGGCTTTGTTCGTGCGCAAAGAAAAGTTTGGCGCATATGATTTCTGCTGTTTTTGCCATCAAATGCTTAGAAAGCGCATGAATCTCTATAGGCATAGGGAAAAGCATTCAACAACCTCAATATTACTACATATTCAAGTGGCCCATGTTCAAATACACCTATTAGAACCTTTTCGGCTTGGTTCTTGTGCAAAGAATAGTTCGACGCCAATGATTTCGACTGGTTTTTGCCGAAAAATGCGTAGACAACGCATGAATTCCTATAACCTCAATGTTATCGCATATTCGAGAGGCCCATGTTCAAATACGCGTATTTGTGCCTTTTCGGTTTGGTTTTTGTGCAAAGAAAAGTTCGACGGCTATGATTTCGACTGGTTATGCCGACAAATGCTTGAATAGCGCATGAATTTTCTGCACTCGTGCGGGTCCGTCTGCGTGTGTTTCCTCGGCAGATTGACTTAAGTTTTGGGCATTACAGTATACCTGCACGACATTTGTGCTTTCCTCCCAGCATTAGTACCGTATAACCCCGGATATAAGCGCAGGCCTATTAAAAGCGCATGCGCTTCTATTCGTAGCAGTGCGCTTATGGCCGATCCTTAGTTAGAAGCGCACCCCCTAAAAAGTCGTGACTTATTATAAGCGCACCCTTGCTGTATACACAGGATATATATTGGAGTTTTTACATTACTTTCATCAAAACAACAATTCACTAGCTAAAACTTTCTATTACAACTTTCCATACACCTTCACTAGACTAGGGTCCTAGCCTACAAGTCATTACCATGCTAAGTCTAGCCTACGGCCTACTCCTCCCCATCTGATCCAGGCTCCGTGGAGTTGTTGCCCCAGAACCCGTCAGCTTGGATGTCGTCGTCTACCTCCACCTCTTGAGTCAGCCGGCCTCTCCGGTGCGCCAGCACCAGTCCGTCTTCGCCCCCGTCAAGGGCATTGCTGATGCCGCAGGTGAGGAATGCTTTCTTAATCAGGTCAACGGGCACAGCCTTCCACGCCCGTGAAATCCACTTGAGCTCCACCTCAGGTGTTGGTTTCTTGATGTTCCCTGCACCACACACAAGGGAGTGGGGAACATGTGATTCCAAGAGCAACAAGACAAGCACACGAAGGGGTCACGGGTGGACATTTCGCTGACCTGCAGGTGTGAGAATGTTCATGTCGTCGTGCTCAAACCATTTCGCCTACACCGTCGCCGGCGAAGGCGACGGTGGCCACGTCATCGTCGGCGCCCACAGCCAACTCGTCCCACGTGCCGGGTTCTGGATTTCCCCACCGTGGTGCAGGCGGCGGAGCTTGGATGCACACATCGGGGGCCTTGGGTGTGTCCGGTTCAGCACTGGCCGTTGATGAGAAGTAGTCGCATCAGGATCAAGAGGGCTCGGAGGATTCGGAGGAGCGGGAGGATGAGGAGGAGCAGGAGATACAGGAGGAGCAGGCGGAGCAGGCGGTGCAGGGGGTGCAGATGGCACTGGAGGCGCTGGTGGCTCACGGGTATACCACCCGTCCGCCGTAAGTCGCCACGGGCGATTTGGTTTCTTCTTGAAGAGGAAGTGCGTCCCACTGAATTCAGCCATGGCTTCGCCAGCCAGGCGGGCTAGTCTGGAAACTGAATGAAAAACAGGAAGAGGAGGGTGCACAAATGGGCAACGATGGGGACCCCGTAGGGTTGACGGCTCGGGGTCCTCGTGAATGACAGGCGGGAAACCCCTGCATACCCCCGTAGAGGATCCTGCGTGGCAGCATAAACGCTGCGCTGGCAGGGAATCTTCCACACCCTTCGAGAGGGTTCGGAATAATTTCACATGCCATGTAGCGCCGGCGGCTGTGATTGGGCCGCACGGCAACTTCCCCGTCACTGCTGTTACGTTCGATGGTTCTAGCCAGAAATGTGCGGTGGGATATCAAACCACAGCTGTATTTGCCTGAAAATCATGCCCAATCCCACTTGATGCATGGTCGGTTGGTTTGGCCTTATTGCGGGCTCCAGTCTGGTATGTTCAAAAGTGAATTTCATTTTTTTCCCCTATTATAGCTTATGCAGACAACTAAATTAGAAGCGCATCCCCCCAAAAAACACTGCTTTATTATAAGCGCAGCTGCGCTTATATCCGGGGTAATACGGTATTGCTCTCAATCTCTGCGCTACACAGCCATCCAGTCATCTAAAGTGGGACTTTAACAAACAACAATCCGACGGGTTTCCCTACCCACGTTACTCCTCCACACTGCCACAAGCCAGCCTACATCACACCTGTAATCCCCCCTCCGCATTCATGACGAGTACAGCTTCGTGATCCGCCTCGCCGCTTCCTCAATGTTTGCACGGTTCCCAAACGCACTGGCACGCACAAACCCCTCCCCACCGGGCCCGAACCCGCTCCCAGGCGTGGTGACAATATCAGCCTTCTCCAGAATCTCAGCAAACACATCCCACGAGGAGCGGCCAGGGAAGCGCACCCACACATACGGCGCGTTGTCCCCGCCATGCGTTTCAAAGCCCAGCGACTGGAAGGTGGACTTGAGGATGGCTGCGTTTTCCTTGTAAAAGGATACCAGCGATGCCATGGCCTCGAGGCCCTCCGGGGAGAGGCATGCGAGCCCTCCGGCCTGCGAGACGTTGCTGGCACCGTTGAAGCACGTGCAGGTGACGCGGTTGAAATCCGCGCGCACTGGATGGCCGTCGGCGTAGCGCAGCGCTGCTGGCACGACGGACCAGCCGAGACGCACACCGGTGAAGCCAGCGTACTTGGAGAAAGAACCCGTTTCAATGGCCACCTGTGGGGAGAGGAGGGGGGGTTGAAGGGAAAAGAGAGGGAGGGTTAATGTCCGCGCGCACTGGATGGCCGTCTGTGTAGCGCAGCGCTGCTGGGACCACGGACCAGCCGAGACGAACCCCGGTGAAGCCAGCATACTTGGAGAACGAGCCTGTTTCAATGGCCACCTGGAGAGGGGGAGAGGGAAAAGGAGATAAAGAAGGGGAAGATTAAGCAAGAGGCATAGTGCAGCGCTGCTGGCACCACGAACCAGCCAAGACGCACACCTGTGAAGCCAGCGTACTTGGAGAAAGAACCTGTTTCAATGGCCACCTGTGGATGGGGGATGGAGGGAGGGGTTGGGATTGCCGATATGGAAGGGTTGAAGAAGGGGACCAAAGAGGCGTAGCACAGGTCAAAAGTCACTACCAGCACTCTCAGGCCATCCATGCCCCTATGGACCCACCCACCTCATCTGCGCCTCGGATCTCGTAAATGGACTTGGGCGAGTCATCCTCAATGTAGATGGCATATGCACAGTCGTAAACAATGATGGACCCGTTGGTGCGTGCGAAGCAGTAAACAAACAACACTCCCAGGCCATACATTTTGCACCCACCTCATCGGCGCCAGGAATCTCATAGATGGACTTGGGCGAGTCATCCTCAATGTAGATGGCATATGCACAGTCGTAAACAATGATGGACCCGTTGGTGCGTGCGAAGTCCACCAGCTGCTGCAGCTGCTGCCGTGATGCCGCCCGGCCTGCACAGTGCAAGGGAGGGAGGGACAGGGGAGGCGGTAGGGGAGAGTCGGGGAAAGGATCTGAGGGATGCGAGGAAGGTGGGAGGGTGTTGATGGGGCGCTGATAGTTAAGACGGGATGAGGTATAAGCAATCCGGCCGTGGCTCACCGGTGGGGTTGTTGGGCAAGCAGAAGAAGATGATGTCAGTGCGCGGCGCAGAGGCCAGGTCAAGAAGAATGATGTTGGTGCGGTCTTTATGATTGAGGGAGCTCGCTGAACTCACCGGTGGGGTTGTTGGGCGAGCAGAAGAAGATGATGTCGGTGCGCGGCGCAGAGGCGAGGTCCGGGAAGAAGTCGTTCTCAGGCGTGCAGCGCAGGTAGGTGACGTTGCCAAACTGCTGCGTCTCTGGCACGTACAGCCCCGTCTGCCCCATCATCACACTCGTGTCCACGTATGCCTGATGGGAGACAGCGGAGAGTTGGGGAAACGTCAAGGAAACAGAAGTCATTGTGGCGGTGAGCAGCATGTAGGTCAGATGCTATCGAACTGCTGCGTCTCTGGCCCGAATAGCCCCATCTGCCCCATCATCATACTCGTGTCCACGTATGCTTGCCATGCCACAGACGTAGTTATGTCGTGACAAATCTGCCATGCCGTGCCCTGCCGTGCCACATGGACGCAGCAACTCACGGGTCGGAGGGGTGCATGAGGGGGAACAAGGAAGGCGGGAGTGGAGACAGCTCTAACAGCACGGCCAGTGGGGATGGGGATGCACTGAACGGCTCAGCTACGAGGAAGGATTGAGGACGGGGGTACTAGGTTGGGAGGACTAGGATGGGGGGGCGACGATGGGAGGGTGAACATGGGTCATACCGGATAGGAGGGGTCTTGGCAGGCCATGGTGACGTCAGCGCCAAACATCATCTGGTTTAGCATTGGGGAAAGGATGGGGGGTTCAGGAGGCGGTGAGACAGTGGAAACGACCTCGCGGAGCACGTCCATACAAGAAACAGGAGAACACATCAGGAGGGCATGGGGGCATGAGAGAGGCATGGGGGCGAGAGAGCATGGGGGCAAGCGAGAGAGCATGGGGGCATGCAGAAGCATCCATATGCAGTCTGCCTTTCCCAAACTAGGCTCGGTCTCGTAAGCAGTTCTTGGGCATTCTTCAAAAGCGCACCTGCAGGCGTGCAATGTCGCACTTGGCGCCATCAGACACGAACACCTCGTCCTCCGTGATGCCCAGCTTGCTGTACCACGTCGCACAGATGGCTGCGCGCAGAGCCTGTGGGGAAGGGGTAGGAACGCGTGGAGTGAGCATGCGTTGAAGGGGTTGGCGCGGCATAAAAGTGAAAGCTCTGTGGTGCGAGCATCTGGGGATGGTGCACAGCCCACTCTACTGATATCCCATCTCCCTCCCCATACAAGTATCCCGTCTTCCGCTCGCCCTTCTCCACCCATCCCCCTCTCTCCCCAGTTCTGGTCCCCCAATCCCCTCTGTCAGCGCACCTGCTCGCCCTGCTCGGCGCCATAGCCGGAGTAACCCGCTGGCGTTGACAGCCCTTGCGCCCTCTGCGCGGGACAGCGGGAGAGTAAGAGGGAGGGGGAGAGGGAGAGGGAAAGAGAGAAGGGGATGGCGAGGGGAAGAGCGTCAGCGTGGACGAGCGGCGAGGGGTTGAGAACATTCTGCCTGTTCACCTTTGCTGTTAAGTTCGTTCTTGTCGCCAACTGACTGTGCTTCACTTACGTACTCGTACCCAAGCACTTCATGTTACGAAATTTTCCAGCAAACATCGTGCGTTGCCGGCGTATTCTCCACCACTGTGGATGGATATCCGTCATCACCATTCACATTGACTCCCATCAACCACCCACCACCCTCTATCCCCCCCCTGCCCCCACCCATCCAACGGACTCACCTTGGCCATGGCGGCGGTGATGACGTCAGGGATGGGCTCCGTGGTGTCGCCGATGCCCAGGCTGATGATCTTCGCGTCGGGGTGCTTTTCCAGGTGCGCGCGCCGCCGCCGCGCGATCTGGGGGGGGAAAGCAGGCGGGTGGGGGGCGTCGCGGGTGGGGGACGTCGCGGGTGTGGGGAGGAGGAACTTAAGAGGAATGCGGTTGTGAGTCAGCTGGCTAGTGCGGGGGATCGGTGTCGAGCGTTGGGTAAAAGGAATAGCTTGGTGGTTGCGGAGTGAGGTGAGCGGTGGGGGGGGCGAGAAGTGTACCTCGGGGAAGAGGTAGCCGGCCTGTAGCTTGCCGATGTTGTGGTTGCGCTTCACGCCCGTGAGATACTCTGCGACGTCGCACACAGGTAGGGGTGAACGGCGAGAAATATTGACGATTTTTCATGAAGGTTCAACAGTCGGGTAAGCGGGTCATAAGGATAAGGACGAGCGGCATTCTTGTAGGAAGTCAATGGGCGTCACGATAATATAACTATGAGGTTGTTCGTCGTCTGCAATCGACGAATGGGTGACAGCCTGAGTGATGTGGCATGGACTGCCAGAGTCTAGAGGTATCACCATGTGTGGTGTGTTGCATGGTGTTCAATAGTGTTGAATAGTGTTGAATGGTGCTGAATGGTGCTGCATGGGGTAGCATGTCACGTGCCTGAGTCGGAGGAGGCGCGCACGGTGGCGACATTGGACCTCGTAAACGACGATCCGGTGCGAGCAGCGCTGCATTCACGACATGCACGGCAAGCACGACAGGGATGCGTGGGAGGGGGAGGAATGCGTTGTGATCATGGCATTTATAGGCGATCAACTACTTTCGACGGTGGTTATTGGGTGGCCGGACTTACCGCAGAGGGGTTACTTTTAGCGGGGAAAATGCATGCGAGGAGCTGCTGGCAAGGGACTCAGCAGCAACCGCGGATCGAAGGCGATGCGACTGGAGAACTACAGCTCGCTCTGCTGACGTGGCAATGGACGCCATGACAACGAGTATGCGCGAGTGAGTGGAGTAAGGCAACCTAAGATCCGTCGGTGACGAAAAAAAAGAAATGACAATGACTAGACGATTTCTGCAGACCAGCAAATAATATGTTTTGGTGGAAGCACCAGAGGGATCACGGATGAGCAGCACCAGCAAGCAGCACAGCCTCGGGATTGCCTTGGCTTCCAGGGCCTTCAGATTCAGACTGCTGGAGCTGCCTTGGGAATTGGCAGGGTCCAGCTGGGCATTGAAAGGGAATGGAGGTGCTGACTGTGCAGGGATGCGTGGCGAGAGGTGAGTGGATAGTGGTGAGGAGGCGAGAAGCGGATTCGCTGTAAGTGGCGGACGGTGCTGCAGGGAAGTGCGGAATGAAGGAATTGGCGGGAAGGTGAATGCGGGCAGTGCCGTGGATTACGCGATTGTTGTGATTGGTGCCACGCTGGTGCATCCCGCCCACCTGATACACGAGAGATCTCGCCGCGTCAGACGTTTTGATTGAAGGAATTCTTCTGCATCATGATCATTATCGATTGCAAAACTCAAGGCAGTACAGCACGACATGTCTATAACGAATAACCCAGTGGTGCATCATGATCCACGCTCTGGTTCTTTGTGAAAATATCTGCACTTGTTCAAAAATAGGGTTTTGTTTTGTCGCTTTGAATCTAAGATTTCATCATTCCGTAAAATCCGGCGCTAATCTCCTCTGTCCGTAGATACCGTCTTGCTCAGCCAGCATGTCAGGCGGTGGTCTCGCCGGAAACGGTTCTCTCGACGATGAGCTGTGAGTACACGGAGTTTCGCTCCTTATCCTCGCTCACCTGCTTAGCACGAATCGCAGTGATTCGCTGTCTGATGGAATCACTGCTTGCTTCGCTGCTGCCTCATTCGCCGTCTCCCCCCTGCGTCTCATTCCGCACTCGCTCTCCCGGGCGTTATTGAATGGCAGAGCGAGGAGCCACGTGGTGAGGCTGCGCGGGCTGCCGTTCAGTGCGACGGAGTCGGACATTAAGTCCTTCTTCGACGGGCTCGACATCGCGCCTGACGGCATTGTCCTGCAGCTTAACTACCAAGGTGACGTAATCTTCAGTCCTAGGGTGACGGCATCGCTCGTTGCGCATCCCTCCGCATGGCGTACGCCTATCCTCACTCGTCATATTCGTTTGCCTTGAGCTGCTCCGTGCCGTGCAACCGAGTATCGCTTGCCTCTCACGTCGCCTCCTCTCGTCCTCTCGCATTCACCCATCCATGCGCTTCTGCCATGGGACGGCAGGTCGAGCGACTGGCCAGGCCTTCGTTCGCTTCGCGGACGCCGAGAATGCGACCAAGGCCCTCGAGCGTAACAGGTGGGAGCATCCCCCCCCCGTATGCCATTGGCGCGCTTTGCGCTTTGCGCGTTGAGATCTGCACAGAGTGTTGCTGCCCCTGACTCACACCTATATTCGTGTTGCTTCCAGGCAGCACATCGGGTCGCGTTATATCGAGGTTTTCAAGGGGCACTCAGCAGACATGGAGGTGCGTGCTCGCGGTTTTCCATCTCTCATGTCTGCTTTCCGTCGTGCGCGCGTGCATGTGTAGACTAGCTGCTCTCCTATACCATATCATTTCCACGGTCCCCGCGAGCGGATAGTGCGGTGCTGTGCGGTTAGCCGGGATGGCGCAATGGAATGGAGTGGTGGCGTGGTGGCATGGCCTCGTGTGGATTGCGTTGCATGCATGCGCCGTGGAATGCAGGGGGCCTTGCGGATGGCGGGCAGGGGCGGTGGTGCTGCTGCTGGTCCGGGGGCGGGGGCGCCTAATATGGGCATGGCGGGCAATATGGCGGCGGCAACATCTGGGCTGCTTGCGGGTGGTGCTGCGGGGGCTGGGGTGCCAGGAATGGCGGGCAACACGGACATGCGCTACAGCGGCGTCATCCGCATGCGCGGCATGCCCTATAGGTGCGCGCTCTGCCTTCCCCTTGCCGTACGTGCGTCGCATCGAGCTGTGTCCCACGTCTCCCTGCTGCATTTTCTCTCCTCCTCGTGTCCCGCGAATACTCGCAGCTTCCTGCCACCTCAGTCTCTTTTCCGGCCATCTCCTCGCCCCTCCCTCCCCGCCCTCCCCGCGCTCCCCGCCCTCCCCGCGCTCCCCGCTCTCCCTGGGCTCGCCCCGGCGTGCGCGGTGTGTGCGTGCGCGCAGTGCGACGTCGGCGGACATAGCGGCGTTCTTCAAGAGCATGCAGATAGCGCACGACGGCATCTTCCTCTGCTCGCACCCCGACGGCCGCGCCACCGGCGAGGTGCGCCCTGCACACATCTACACTCCCAGCGCCTTTCTCGCATCTACACTCACATGGGTTTATAACGGTTCATGTCGGTTTATCTTAGTTGATATAAACTCGTGTCGGTTCATTTCGGTTCGTATCCGGCCAGCTAAGCTGTTGTAGCAGCGCGTCTGTCTGTGCTTCTCTCACACTCTCCTTTCTTGCTTGCCTGCCCTGCGTGTTGTGCACGTGCGTGCGCGTCTGCTGGGCGGGCATGCTTGCCGTGTGTGGGCGTCATATGTGGGCGGAGCGGCAGGCGTTTGTGGAGTTTGCGAATGAGGAGACGGCAGCGAGGGCGCTGCAGCTGCACCGAGAACCCATGGGCCACGTGCGCTCACATCCCCCTCTCCTCCCCGCTCGCTCCCCTTCTGCTCAGTTTCTTCCTTTTTCCCTCATGTGCTTCCTCCCTCGTCCGCGCCTCTTTTCCGGTCGTGCTTCGCGCTCCCCGCATGCCATGCGTCGTATTGATCCCTCCCTCGTACCTCTCCCCCACGCCCAATCCTCGCCCTTTGTCTTTTCTCATCTGCTCGCCTGCTTTTGCCCCTCCGCCTCTCCTGCTCACCCCTCACCTCTTTCCCCATCGCCCCACCCCTCTTCCCCCTGCCTCTGCGCGCGCCAGCGGTACGTGGAGCTGTTTCGGAGCACCAAGGGGGAGATGATGGCGGCGGTGCAGCAGCGCATGTACTCCATGTTCCCGCCCGTCCCCACCTTCATGGGCCCCGTGCGTCCCCTTGTCCCTTGGCCCCTTGCCCCTTGCGCACATGCCCCCTTGCTGCTTCACTCGCTCCACATCTACCCTCAGGCACTAGTTCCGCACTCTCGCGCCCTCATTGCTTGCCACACGCCACTCCCTGCCCATCCCCATTACCGCACCTGTTATTTCCGCTCACACACCCATCTGCCAATTCCCTTTTCCTCCCTGCTGGCGGGGCGGCTTACAGGTACCGGGAATGATGGGCTTCGGAATGCCCAGCCTGGGCGCCGCCAACCTCGCCGCCATGCACATGGGCGCGGGCGGAATGGGGGGCGCAGGCGGAATGGGCGCAGGGGGGATGGGGGGTGGAGGCATGGGGGGACCAGGAGGTCCCGGGGGCGGAATGGGCGCAGCGCAGGCAGCAGCAGCGGCGTCAGAGAACGTGTGCATAAAGATGCGCGGGCTGCCCTTCAGTGCAGGCCAGGAGGACATTCTGGCGTTTTTCGAGGGGTATGAAGTGGTGGGGAACGGTGTGCACATTATGACGGGGCACAACGACCGGCCTACAGGAGAGGCGTTTGTGGAGTTTGCATCGTCGGAGGAGGCAGGGCGGGCCATGGAGCGCCACCGGCAGCACATGGGGAATCGTTATATTGAGCTCTTCCGAGTCTCCAAGAGGTGGGTTGAGAGGTGAAGAGGTTGGGTTGGTTGGGGAGAGGTTGGGAAGAGCCTCAAATGGCTGCGTTGGTGAAGAAGGCTGGAAGGGCCATGGAGCGCCACCGGCAGCACATGAGAAGTTGATACATCAAGCTCTTCCGTGTCTCTAAAAGGCGAGGGGGGGGGGGGGGGGGGAGGTTGGAGGGAAAGAGGTTGAGTTGGGTAGGGGTCGGGGTGTGAGGCATGTAAAAAAGCACAAGCAGCTCATGGGCAACTGTTATATCGAGCTCTTGTGCGTCTCCAGGAGATTGGACTGGGAAGGGTGTTTGCAGGGCGCATGGCAATGCCTTGTGTGGCTGTGTGTTGCTGGATGAGGAGCATTGCGCTATGGGTGTCATGCGTGCAGTGCGGGTCTCTTGTTGCTGCTGTGCGGCACCTGGTGGGTCTGCTGCCTGGCATCTCTCCCCTTAAAGCCATGTTTGTGCCTCATCTGCCTTGTGTGTTCCTTGTTCTGCCTGGTGTGTGTGGGGCGGGGAGCAGTGAGGCGCTGGTGGCGGTGCAAGGGGGGTCGTTGGCAGGGTTCAACATGGCGGGGGCGTTGGATCCCAACATGCAGCTGCTGCTGCTGCAACAACAGGTCTATCACCCATGCCCTCCGCTTCCATATTTGAGTGCTCCATGGCAACGCTCCTTGTGTTTAACTCAAGCCATGGCACCAGCACCTCTATCATGCCACCTCCATTTATTCTGATGCCCACACCAACTCTCCATTGCCCCACTACAACCCACCTGCCTTTCACAGCAATTGCAGGCAGCAGCAGCAGCAGGGTCGTTTGGCATGGGGGGATGGGGGGGCGGCATGGGCATGGGAGGGGGGGGCGGAGACTTCTATGGGCGTCAGGGAGGGGGAGGAGGGGGTCAGGGCTATGACCCCTCACAGCAGGTATGTTTTATTACACCCTCTGCCTGCTCTACAAATTTCCACACGCTCTGCCTTAACTGCAGTTCATCCTCTCTATCCTTGTATCCGCAGTTATCTCTCTCCCCTGCGCCGCACACTGAGTAGTCGCTCATTCTGCCCTTCCTGTGCTGTGCTCCTGTGCATTCCACTCTTTCTGCTTTCTGTGAGCAGAACTAGAAGAAGATTCGCGCACCTTTGACTGTGCCTCCTGCACTGCACGGTCTGACACCTCCGTGATCGCCCCATATGTCGGCCCAGGCAGCGATCATACAGTACATGGATTAACATATATGAATTGCAAAGCTTATCCTCTCATGGATCGGCTATTTTGTAGAAATCGGGCAGGCAGCTCAAGATGGCTCCACTGCTCTGCACGATCTCGAAGTATGTAGCTAATGAAAATGTGGAGTGACAGCAACCCATTTATGAGGCAAGCCCAAATCACGTCCCTCATCTGCTCGTAAGCGTCTTCTTCATAACTGTAGCAGTCCTCCCCATTCTGCACCAGGAATGCGTGCTGCAGGGTGTAGAGCCACATCCTCCATCTGCTTCCATCCAAGCGTTTCTGCAAACCTCCATCAGCAGTCCGCACCAACATAGTGCAGCAGGAAGGCATGCTCCAAAGCCACATCTTCCAGTGGCTCCCTGCCGCTGCACGATGCCCCCACTCAACCAGCACACACCAGCACCGGCCGCTTCTCCTCACAATGATTGCTCTCCCCCCCCCAACGTGGTGCAGCAAGAAGGCATGCTCCAAAGCCACGTCCTCCAGTTGCTCCCTGCCGCTGCACGGTGCCCCCACTCAACCAACACACACCACCACCGGCCGCTTCTCCTCACAATGATTGCTCCCCCCCCCCAACGTGGTGCAGCAGGAAGGCATGCTCCAAAGCCACGTCCTCCAGTTGCTCCCTGCCGCTACACGGTGCAACGTGCCCTCTGTCGCCCCACACTCGCACCACCACCGGCTGCTCCCTCTCACTGTAATCGCTCTCTGCTCTCACCTTGGCTGCCCATTTCAAAGCCTCCCACGGGCCCACTCTGAGGGAAACGGCAGGGGCAGAGGAGGGACAGGGGAGTGGGCAGGGATGGAGAAGCATAGTGCATGTGAAACCAGCAGCGCAGCAGGGTACTTCACCCTTTGTTGCACATTGAGCGCGGGGCACAGCCTCGCAGTGCATTGAATACAAGCCTGATATGACTCAGACGATTAACCTGCAGTCAAGAAGAGCAGCAGAGAGAAGAGCAGAGCACGGCCGAAGAGAGCTCTCAGGGCATGGACGGCGGAGGCCAGACAGGCAATCACCTTGAGTCGTGGAGAGCAGCAGAGAGCAGGGCAGCGGGGTACTTGACCCCTTGTTGCACGTTCAGCACGGGGCAGAGGGCTCTGAGGGCACGGAAGGCGGAGGGGCAGGCGAGGGGGTCGCCCCACTCGTGGCGGTCCAGCGCTGTGAGTGGCAGGGCGGGGTTGCTCATTGAGGTGAGGGCGTCCAGGAATGGCACCTGGGGGCGGGAGGGGGTGTGGGAGGAGGTGTGGGTGGATGAGCGAGAGCAAAGTGAGAGGTGGGGAGAGTGAGTGCGAGGCAGCACATAGATGAATGACAGGGGGGTCACAGCTTAGGGAAGGAGGTAGGTAGTGTATGGTGGTGCGAGGTATTCGGGAAGATTTAATCGAATAGTTCACATGAGTACATGTTGTTTCCAAGGCACATCTGGGCTCATGGCGACATGCTTTGACTGCAGTCACACTCACATCCAGCACAATCGCTCGGAAGAGACCGGGATCAGCGTTCACAGCAGCAGCAACCAGAAACCCCCCCGCACTGCTCCCCCTCGCCGCCACCCGCCCCCTCCCCGCCCACCCCTCCCCCACCAAATACTCCCCACACGCCCTCAAATCCCCCACCGCCCGCCCCTTCCTCTCCCCACGCCCCGCCTCGTGCCATGCTCGCCCCAGCTCCCCCCCTCCTCTGGTGTGCGCGAGGGCAATAACCCACCCGCGGTGCAGCAGAGGCAGGCGGTGGGGCACCCACTCCGCTGCCATCACCTCCCCATACGCGCCGTACCCCTCTAGTAGCGCCGCGCCCTCGCTGTCTCGCTGCCTGCTGGCATGGTGGATGAGGGTGAGCGGTATGGGTGGGCCGTCCGGGGATGGTACCCAGAGGCGTTGGCAGATGAGCCCAGGCACGCAGAAGAGGGGCAGAGGTAGGGGAGGGCTGGGGGGATGAAGACGTGGGGTTGGTGGGGAGTGCTCCTGCTGTGGCTGCTGCTGCTTCTGCTGCTTCTCAACTCTCTCATGCTTCTGGTTAGCAGGCTGCTCCTGGTGCTGCTGTTGGTGGGGTTGGTGGCGGCAGTACGGCTCCTGGTGCAGCACTGAGAGGGTCCCAGAGGGCATGTGCACCTCGCACACGGCGTCAGGCATCTGGTGGGGCATGGAACAGGCGAGGCAGGGAAGGAGAGGAAGGAGATAGAGGGCATTGAGAAGATGTTGGACAGGTGGTGGTTATGGCTGGAAGAGGACGAGAGCACAGGATAGAGAGGAGCAGGGGGAGAGGAAAAGAGAATAGGGGCGGGGGAGGCGACGAGGGAGAGGAGAGCGGTTGTGGTTACAGCAATGATGGCACGATGGCATGATGGCATGATGGCATGATGGCATGATAGCAGAGTGCAGTCACAACAGGGGATGACACCATGATGCGCCAAGTGCTGGCATCAAGTCCTGATTGCAGAATGGCATGATGGCACGACAACACGATGGCATGATGGCACGACAACACGATGGCATGATGGCACGACAACACGATGGCATGATGGCGTGCTAGTCGTGAGCACGCACAACAGGGGATGACACCATGATGCGGAGAGAGGACACATTGAAGTCCTGGTTGCCCCCTACCACCACATGGCACACCCTCTCCGGCAGCTGCACTGCTTTTGAGTCGACTCAAAGCATGGCAACAGTGAGCACGCACAACAGGGGACGACACCATGATGCGGAGAGAGGACGCATGGAAGTCCTGGTTGGCCCCCGCCACCACATGGCACACCCTCTCCGGCAGCTGCACTGCCCTCGCCCACACCTCCACTTCCCTCCTCCCCTTCTCCTCTCCTCTCCGCCCCTTCCCTCCCACACCACCCTCCTCTCTTCCCACTCCGCCCTCTGGTGAGAGGGGCAGGGGCAGCAGCAGCAGGTGCGGCAGGGAGTGCACGAGGCAGTGCACGGCGAGGCAGCGTTGGAACACCTCGATGTCTGATATGACAATGTCTGATGGCTGGATGTCCCACCCATTCACTCTGATCGCCAGGCTCTGATGGGATGGGTTGGGTGGATGAGCAGATGAGGGAGGCCGTGTCGGAACACCTCAATGTCTGAGATGACAATGTCTGATATAACAATGTCTGATGCCTGGATATCCAAACCTCTCACTCTGATCTCCAGGCTCTGGTGGGTTGAGGGGATGAGCAAATGAGTGTAGCAGCGCTACAACAGCGTTATGTCCGACATAATGTCGGATGCCCAGATGTCCCACCCCTTGGCTCTCATCGCCACGCTCTGGTGGGTTGAGGGGATGAGCGAATGAGTGTAGCTGTGCACAGCGAGGCAGTGTCTCAACACCTCGATGTCTGATATGGCAATGTCTGATGGCCGAATGTCCCATCCCTTGACTCTGATCGCCAGGCTCTGGTGGGATGGGTGGATGAACGAATGAGGGTTGCAGCATCGCAACACCTCTATGTCCGATATCAATATGTCTGATGGCTGCACGTCTCATTCCCTCACTCTGATCGCCACGCTGTGGCGGGTTATGTGAGCAGAGGAGGGTAGCAGAGCACAGGCAGGCAGTGGGGGGAAAGGAGTGCTTGTGAGCGTGAGGGAGAGAGGAAGGAAATCTAAGGTGGAAAGCTGAGAGCAATGTGTCATAAAAGGGAAAAATAAGGCAGCCAGAATGGGGCAGAGACAGGCACTGCCACCCACGCGCACTGCCACTCCCATGCGCTGCCACCCATACACTCACTCCTCACCTGCCAGGTTGACTTTTGAGTCGACTCAAAAGTAACTCGCTCCTCACCTGCCAGCTATCAGCGCGGTGGGCAGAACGAACTGGAGCTCTCACAATACGATACTCCCCCACCCTCCTCTCCTCCCCTCCACCTCCCTCGCCACTGTCTACCCCCATCTCCCCCTGCTGATCCCTCCCTCCACCCTCCCCCTTCCCCTCTCCCTCCCCCTCCACCTCCCTCTCCCCCTCCTCATGCATGCAGCGGTTGGAGACAGCATAGAGCCACCCCCCATGGTGCTCCACAAACCACTGCTCGCCCTCCCGCCGCCGCTGCAGCAGCCGAGGGGGTGCTGTGGGGTGATGCGCGTCTAGCAGATGCACCTGGAGTGGAGGGAGGGGGGAGAGGGGTGGATGGTTGGAGCAGTGGAGAGGCACACGCGGTGAGAGTATAGAGCCACCCCTCATGGTCCTGTAGTGGGCGCATGGACGGCAGGACGGCATGTTCACGTGCATGTGCGTGTGCACGTATGCATGTGCACGTATGCATGTGCACGTATGCATGTGCACGTATGCATGTGCACGTATGCATGTGCACGTATGCATGTGCACGTATGCATGTGCACGTATGCATGTGCATGGAATCCAAGTGCACACCTCGGAGGAGCTGCGAGTGTTGAGGTTGAGAGTGAGGTAACGCCAGTCCTTGGTGCGAGACACAGCCACCACCACCCCCTCCTCCTCGCTCCGCAACACCTCCTCCTCCTCCTCTCCCTCCTCGTCCTCCTCGCCCTCCTCACCCTCCTCCAATATCTCTCCCTCTCCTTCCTGTGGAATGTGTATGCGTCGCCTCATCACCCTGTGCTGCACATGCCATGGCACCATATTGAATGGTGTCAAATGTCCATACACGCAACGTTCCAAAGCAGAACAATATACGCTTCCTCGAAACAGCTCCCCTCTCTCTTCTCACCACCCTCACTCACCGGTGCGACCGCAGGTTGGCATCCAGCTTGGTATAGAGCACGTGCTGCGAGTCTGCCGCCCAATCCACCGTCGCCACCGCTGGGATGGGCGTGCACAATAGGCGCGCGGCGAAGGGCGGAGAGTGGATGAGGGGCTTGGAAGGGCGCACGTGTGAGGAGAGGGGTCGGGAGTGGAGGGATGGTGGAGAGGAGGGGAGGTGGAGGAGGAAGAGCGTGGGGGACTCGGAGGGCGAGAGGTCGAGGAGCAGTGCGAGGAGGGCGTGGCAGCGACTGACCTTGCACTCCACTAGCCTCACGTACCCTGGTGCAAAGCGGTGGGGTAGGATGGGGTGTGGTGCGGTGGGGAGGAGTGGAGTGAATAGGAGGACCTGAGTAACGAGGGTGTCACACTGAGTGAGGCAGGGAGGTGGGGGAAGCATGTGAAGGCTGAAGCGATTGGAGCCAGGGGAGTGTGGGAATGGGGCCAGACAAGCAAGGGTGGGTGAAACAGAAGCAGGCAGGCAGTAGCAGGCAGGCAGGCAGTAGCAGGCAGGCAGGCAGTAGCAGGCAGGCAGTAGCAGGCTGTGCAGAAGCAGCAGGGGGTGCAGTGCAGGGCGAGAGGCATCACCATAATAGTCTGCCAGCTCGTTCAGATCCACCAACACCTGCTCCCCTCGCTCCTCCACCCCTCCCTCCTCCGCCCTTTGCTCCCCCGCCACCCCTTGCTGCCCCATCTGCTCCCCCATTCGATCCGCCCTTCCCTTACCCCTCCCTCCCTGCCACCCTCCCCCATCACTCTCAGCTGTGTGCGCCACCTCCCCCGTGTGCATGGCAGCGGGCCAGCGGAAGAGCACCGGCAGCTCCTGCCCGTCTGGCACCCGTGCTCCGTACAGCCTGGTGGGTGGGGGAGGGGGGGGGGAGTGGAGATAGAGGAGAAGCAAGGACCTGTGCAATGTGGTGGTGGGGAGGGGGGCACAGGAGTTGTATGGAGTGAAAAAGGGTTCGGATGATGGGCACGGGTGCGGCAGGGGAATTAGACTAGTGAACAAGCAACAAGTGTCCCACCCACTCACCCACCCACGTATCCACCATCCCTCACATGCACCTACCAGGGGCCACAAGGCTCAGGAGGCCCATGCGAGGGCGGCGGCATGCTCTCCTCCATCTCCCCCACCACCTCGCGCTGCCACTCCCCCATCGTCCGCCCCCCACCGGCTCGGGTGCGCATGAGGGCGCGCAGGTAGGCGCGCTCGTGCTGCAGGTGGCGGCGAATGCGGGGGGAGTCCACATCGTGCATCCAACTGATGCATGGGGGGCCCGTGGGGGGCATGGGGGGACGAGGGGTGCCCATGGGGGGCATGGGGTGCCATGGGGGAAGTTGAGTGCAGTGCTTCATGGCCGCGTTTCTGAAATCTTTCAAGAAAAAACCCAATGCGAAGCGCGCGCACCTGTACCAGTCGACCCAGCTCTCCCCGTGCAGCTCCATCGTCGCCTTCTCCCTCCTCGCCTCGGGCGCACCACCGCTGCGCGCGCCTCCCTCCTTCCCCCGCTCGCCCCACCCCAACCACCGCGCTATCTGCAATCCGCGCCTCCCCACACCCGCATTCCCCCGCTCCCCGCTCACCGTTCCCCTCTCTCGGCACGCCGCCCCCCCTCCCCCGACGATCACCCCCCGCGGCTCCCTGAGCGGATGCGTTGTTTCCGCGCCCCAAGCCCCCAAGTTTCCGCTCCGCCAAAACCTGCCAAGCGCCTCCGCCGAGACGCCCTCCTTCCGAGTGAGAAGGCGAAAGAGCGGCGGAAAATCGCGCAACATGCGCGCATCAGCGGCGAGGCCTCCCCCCTCCCGCGGCAGCATTCCCCTCGGGATTTCCGCATGGGGCAGCCGGGGCAGGAGGCGCAAGAATCTCCCCCCATGCATGCCGCGCAGCACTATGGGCGCTGTTGGCGGGACGCGCGGCTCATACGGCGGCGTAGGGAGTTTGCTCCATGTGCGCGAAAGAGGAGGGCGATGGAGGGGAGATGCTGAATGGATGATTCGCTATTGAGCGATGCTGATCGTCTATTTACGATAGCTAAATGTGTATTTGGTTTTGGGAGGAAATACAACATTTGCTTTTTATTGAGAGATGGGAGTTATCTTGGTTTGCAGCGAGCTAAAATGGTTGAGCCCGGTCAACTATGTGCAATATCGCGTATGGGAAGCTGTGTGAACGGTAGGTGATGAGGTCAGTACCACTGTCATCACTCTCACTTGTAGATTGAGTAGCACGTCAGCATACACTCCATCTTCCGTCATCATATGCCCCCACTCCACGTCAGCTCACGATGCTCCGCGCGTCAGCAGCAAATCCCCCAGAGCGGGGAGGGGATCAGCACCGTTCTACAGCCAACACCAAACACAAAAGACGGAACTTGTTGAGCTACTGCATTCTAGCTTCAAGACTTGGCTGCATACGAGTGCAGAAAGGTTACTACTAGTCCGCTCCGCCGCACGCATTCTGCCACCAGAGCATTGCCATACGACGCTGCTTTGCGATGGAAGGAACCGTTCGGTCCGGCTCGGATTTCGATATAGTCTCGTTCGTTAGACGAGTGCGGGCGGAGTGGGAGAGCGGCAATGTGGCGCGCCAGTGGCGGGAGAATCTTTCCCGCCACATGGACGGCCTTCAGCGCCGCCTCCCGCAATTTCCGCTGCCGATCATTGCGCACCAAGAGCGCGAAGACCCGGCTTCCGCGAATGGCGCGGAGCGCCCGCCGGGACTCAAGGATGTGGGGGTGCGCGCGACAGGGAGCGCGCGTTCAGGCGGAGCGCAGGGGGGAGGAGCGGAGGGGAATGACTCTCGCGGGGACGAGGACGGCGCGGAGACGCGGAGAAACAGCACGGGCGCGCCTACTGGCGCTGTTGCGCAGGCGGGGCAAGCGCGGAGCAGCAAGGCGGGGGGGCCGAGCGGGCGGAAGTGGGGGCGCGAGACGGTGAAGCAGCGCATGGAGCGGTGGCGCCGCGAGCGGGAGCTGATGATGATGCGCGCGGCGGAGGAGGAGAGGCGGAGGGAGGCGGAGGCGGAGGGGGAAGGGGAAGGGGAGGGGCCGCGGGAAGTGGCGGTGGAGGAGCTGTATGTGGCGCGCAGCAGACACTACACACCCAACGTGCTCACCTTCGGGTATGTCTCGCCCCATACCCCCTCCCATGTTCTCACAAGTCGTGCGCAGCAGACACTACACACCCAATGCACCCCCAATGCCGCCTTTTTGCCCCCCTAAGGTTCCCATTCTGCTCCCCCAGTGACCCCATTCTGCATCCCCAATGGACAGTGCGCCCCCTCAGTGCTCCCACTCTCCCTTCCTCCCAGTCTACCCAACCACTGACCCAGACTCTTCCCTCCTCTCCCACACCATCATTCCCACTGCCCCCCTCTTTCTCCCACACCACTGGACCCCAGTGTCCCCCATTGCCCCAATGCCGCCCAATATTCCCCCCACCAGCTACTCCTTCAAGCGCTGGACGCAATACTGGGCGCTGCTTTCCATACGAGAGCTTTACCCTTGCCTGTTTTGAAACGCTTCAAAGCGTTCCACTGCCCCCCCCCACACACTGCCCGCCACCTTAATTCTTCCCCCCTCCCACTTATTGACTGACCCCCCACTGCCGGTTGCAGGTATTTATTCAAGCAGTGGACGGAGTACTGGTGTCCACAGGCGAGCTTCAACTTGGCCTGCCATTTGTGACAGCGCATAACCTTGCCACTGCGCTGTCCCCCCTCCCCCTCTATCCCCCCACCAGCTACTCGTTCAAGCAGTGGATGCAGTACTTACAGGCCGCTGCTCTCAACAGGAAGCCTCGTTCTTGGACTCAAAGCCTCCACTTGCTCCCACTTGGTCCTCAATATCCCCCCTTTTCCCCCCACTAGCTACTCATTCAAGGAATGGACGGAGTACTGGGCGCTGCTCTCCACAGGCGAGCTTCAACTTGGCCTGCCATTTGTGACAGCGCATAACCTTGCCACTGCGCTGTTCCCCTCCGTCACTGCCCTCCCTGCAGCTATTCATTCAAGGAATGGACGGAGTACTGGGCGCTGCTCTCCACAGGCGAGCTCTACCTCGGCCTGCCCCACGGGGACCCGCGCCACTTCGACTTCCACCACGACCGCCGCACCAACCCGCACCGCTTCGTACCGCTCTCGCACGCCCACGGCCCGGCGCGCGAGTTTGAGTATGGCGGGTGCCAGGTGGCGCTGGCGCCAGGTCAGCAGGAGGTGCGGGTGGGCGGCGGCGACGTGGTGTTTAAGAGGGTACAGCCGTGCGAGGCGGAGGAGGGGTGTAGGTTGGAGGGGAGGTTTGTTCATGCGGCAGCTCGAGACTTTGTCGATGCAGCAGAGGCTTCGGGCGTGCATGGTGGGACCACTGTGACTTTCCGGGGAGATGGGACATTCAGTGTGCAGGGCGCGACAGGGATATTGCCGTGTAAGGCAGGGGGGATGGGCGTGGGGGAGGGAGCAGGGATGGGGGTGGGGAGAGTGGGAGAGTTGGAGGGGAGGGAAGGGGAGGTGGATGATGAGGAGAGGGAGGGGAGGGGGGAGTATGAGATAAGGGGGAATGGCATAGAGTTGCGGTATGAAGGGGGGCGAGTGGAGGATGCTTTCTTCTTTGAGTACCCGGGGTCAGGTGGCAGTGAGGTGAACATCAACGGTACAACATATCACAGAGTGGTGGAGCAGGGTGGGGAGGAGTGATGCAGGTTCTGAGTTTAGACCAGACACAGCTCAGTGAGGTGAACATCAACGGCACGATGTACCATAGAGTGGTGGAGCAGGGTGGGGAGGAGTGATGCAGAGAAGAGGGGGGGGGCTGTAGGGGGAGGGGTTGGGGGGATTGGGCAGGAGGGGGGGAGAGTGGCGAAGCGGTAGAGGTACCGTAACTAGTTTCTGCATGAAGGATGGAGGGCTGTGCGTTGAGCATCTTCATTGGGAAAATGGAACCCATGTGTATGCCATCTGTGAATGGCAGGTTTAGCACTCTCTCCATACCATACTCTCCATAAGTGTAGGCCTTGTATTTATAAGGTTGTGGTAGGCGGCTCGACTGGCAGCTGCAGCAGAAGTTACAGGAGGCAAGAAATGTTTGTTTTAGCCTGCACCAGCCACCAATTTTGCTGTGTTATGTAAACATCGAAACAAGCACCAAGCATGTCAAACGGTAGTTTGAACTCCACCTGCGTCTGGTGCCACCGGGCCAGCCTGTTCTGTCTGTATTGGCACGCCCCTCTCCCGCTGCACCACCTCTGTTTCCTTCACCTGCACTTGCCCTGCCTGTGCTCCCACCTGTGCTCGTGGGGCCTCTGTCTTGCCCTGCCCCTGAGCTGCACTTGCGTTCACCTGCCCTTGAGATGCTTGCCCTTGAGCCGCCTGCCTTTGTGCTACCGCCCCCTGCCCTTGCACGGCCCCCTCGTGCCCTTGACTTGCTTCCACCTGTTTTTGAGCTGAGGGTGCCATGAGAGGCGGGGCCCGCACGTTGCACGAGTTGCACGGGTACGGGCAGTCTATCAGCGCTGCCTCAAACCCCCCCGTGCCACCGCTGCTACTGCCTTGTGCGTCTGTGGTATTGTGCACGGCTCGCAGCCATTGGCCCACAGCGTGCATCAGAGTCTGCAGGGGAGGCATGGGGTGGCACAGCGGAGAGGGGGCGGAGAGAGGAGGAAAGAGGCACAGTGTTCAGGCGTTTGAGTGGGTGAAAGGAGGACAGCGAGGGACATTCCCAAAGTGTGAGTGAGTGAGGGCATGAGAATCGGCAGGGCATGAGAATCGGTGAGGCAAGGCCACAGCAGATATGCAAGTTGGGAGAGGAGGAACGAGATGGCAGTCCCAAGTGGTGTGAGTAGGCATCAAAGAAACAGAAACACATGCCGAGAAGTGAGAGGAGGAAACGGGCAGGTGGACAGGTGGGTGTGACGGGTGAGTGGTGGTGAGCGAGGAGGAACCACAAGGTGAAGCGGAGAGGGAGGGGCAGGAGAGGGCGGGGAGTTTAGGGTGGGAAGGGGAGAAGGGGGAGGATGGGTGGGTGGGACCTGGTTGAGCACGGTGAGTCGCAGCCAGTGGACCTCATAGTGGCTTGTGCAGTGGGTCAGGCACGAGAACAGAAACACCCCGTGCCGCTGCTGCACACCCCTTTGCCCCGCTCCCGCTCCTCTTCCCTCACCTGGTTGAGCACGGTGAGTCGCAGCCAGTGGTCCTCATAGTGGCTTGTGCAGTGGGTCAGGCACGAGAACAGAAACACCCCGTGCTGCTGCTGCTCCCGCTGCACATCCCCTTGCCCTCCCCCGCCTCCCTCTGCCTCTGCCCCTGCTGTGGGTGACAGGAGCGGTGCCACAGTGGCTGTGACTGTGTCCCGCACTCCTGGGAAGATGGGGTGAGGAAGAGGGGTGAGGGGAGAGAGGGCATGGCACATGGTAGAGTGAAACGATTGGGATGACAAACGGATATGTTGAGGAGAAGAAACGGGAAGGCAAATAATAGACAGAGAGGGAACACGGCAGTTTCAGATGGCTGCGTAACATGCAATGGTGGCTGCAGCATCACCTTGCAAGGTGGCGAGCTGGGATTGGTTGCACGTGTGCAGCTTCCTCAAGCAGCTGGCGATGAGCTCGCCTGACGGGTCCGCCTCTGGTGGGGCCAGTGCGTGCCGCAACTGAGCGCAGCACAAGGGTGGGGGAAGTGAGGGGATGTGGTTCATAGCGCAGGAAATGGGTGAGAGGAACAGTGAGGAGGGCTGATAGAGTGGAGAAAGGAGGGGAGAGGGTTGGGAAGAAAGGAGGGGGCAATACCAATGGGGGGATGCATGAGATGCGGGAGGGGGAAGTGGCCATCTAAGCCGTTGAGAGCTAAACGCACGTCAAGGATGCCTGATGTGGTTGCAGAACGATGATCCAAAGGGGGGTCAATGCAGGCGTGGCTATGAGCAACTCCAAAAGCGCGCTGAGAGATGATGCCCAGGGCATAGTTGAAAGAAACGAGGTGGTGGCGTACCAACCAGAGGTCGTAGTTGCTGTTGATGATGAACGTGGGTGTCCTAAGGAGAGGTAGTAGCTGCGCTGACATGAAACACTGCCACGTGGCACAGCACACAGCACACAGCACAGGGTAGGGTATGCATACGGCTAGGATGATGGTTTCACATAGCATGGCGCGTGTGGTAGCACGTAGAGACTTAGACTCGTATGCACCACAGGTGTTAGCAGCACAGGTGATAATAGCAGCAGAGGTGATAGCAGCAGAAGTGATAGCAGCAGAGGTGATAGCAGCAGAGGTGTTAGCAGCAGAGGTGATAGCAGCAGAAGTGATAGCAGCAGAGGTGATAGGAGCAGAGCTTACCTGATAGTGGTCTCCAGGTGGACGAGAGGAGACGCAGGAGGCGGGAAGACTGCCAGTCACATTCTGCCACGTGTGCAGCACAGCACAGAAGCACAGCGAGGCATGGTGAGGCTATGATGACACTTATTGTGATGTGATGTGGTGGCACATGTGACTAAGAGTCCACTATGCAAAGGAATCAGAAGAGGGAGAAGACCACACGCACATGGATGGCGAGCACACGCACATGGATGGCGAGCACACGCACATGGATGGCGAGCACACGCACATGGATGGCGAGCACACGCACATGGATGGCGAGCACACGCACATGGATGGCGAGCACGGAGCGGAAGAGCGTCTGAGCCGCCCTGCCACCACTGATGTCTGGACTGTGGCACAGGCGGGAGCAGCAGAGGGGTGGGGATGAGAGAACAAAGGCATGCCGCGTTCCATGGCATGGGATGGTACAAACAAACAGAGGTCCAGCGGTATGGGATTGCTGATGTGAAGGCGCATTAAGCAGGAGTGAGGTCTGGGCGAGGCAGTGGGTGCGAGAGGGTGGGGAGGAAGCGGCTCACATGTCAAGAAAGAGGCCCGAGTCTGCAAGGCACTGCACGGACGCGGAGGGGGGCATGTGTGCGTGGCGGATGTAGTCACAGTGCAGATACACCACCAGGGCGCCTGCTGAACACCCCGATATGAGCACCTGGCACGGCCAAGAGGATAGAAAGTGAATAGGCTTATGAGGGACAGGGGTTGGGAGGAGAGAGGCATGTGTGTGTGGCGGATGTAGTCGCAGTGCAGATACACCACCAGTGCGCCCGCTGAGCATCCCGATACAAGCACGTGGTGCAGCCACGGGAATTCAAAGTCCAATGAGGGACAGGGATTGGGAGTGACGGGAGGCACAGGTTGGACATGGCTGGTTGGGAATGGTACATGGGCAGCATGAGGTGCAGCAAGGGAGTGCAAGTGGTGGTGTGGGGCAGCGTGGGTAGTGACTGAGGCCTGTTGCAGCGATGCCATCACCCACTGCCCTTGGCTTCCACAGCACTCTCCTGCCATCCCACACCCGCTCTGCACTGCCCTATACGCAACCTCTCTGCCCCACCTGCTGCTCACCCCTCACTCGCTGTGCGGTGCCCATGTGGAATCTGGTTGTGAGGTGTGTAAGAAGAAATTCGAGGATGCGCCGCGTTTTGAATTGTCTCAAACCTCTCCCATGCCTGCTGCTCACACCTCACCCGCTGTGCCGTGCCCATGTGGAATCGTGTTGTGAGGTGTGCGAGGAGGAAGTCGAGGATGCGCCGCGTTTTGAAATGTCTCAAAACTTTCCCATGCCCACTGCTCACACCTCACCCGCTGTGCCGTGCCCATGTGGAATCTGGTTGTGAGGTGCGCGAGGAGAAAGTCGAGAATGCGCCGCCCGCGAGAGTAGAGCGGCACTCCCTGGGGAGGGGGGAGAGGAGGAAGAGGGGTGTTCGAGGGGGTGAGGGATGGAACGATGCAGGGTGGAATGGAGAGGATGTGCATGGATGCATGGCCTGACCCTGTCGGATGAGCCCATGAGAACCTGCGGCATGAAGTTATGGCATGAATATGAACTTATAAAATGATGTCATGCACTGCAGGGCAGGCTGTCAGACTCAAGCAAGGCACAGAATCGCCCCTTCCCTATTTTGAAAGAGCAAGTATCAGTGTGCGCCTCACCTCAAAGACCAGTGGGTCCTGCCTGTCACCAGAGAAAGACGCACCATCGCAGTATGGGAAGATGACCAGGTTCCAGTCATGCATATCTGCACAAACGTTCCATGGCATGGGGCGTGGTTGACACGACACACGGCTTGCTCGTGCACCAGCCTTGGCGGCGGTAACTGCAGTGGCTGACATGCCACAGAAAGCATGCCTATCTTCTACTGACCATGCTTGCTGTCAGCACAGGCAGCACGTTCGGAAGGCGGTGGAGTTGCCCCACAGGAAGGAGCTGAGCGTGCCTTGAAGCCCAGAGGCAAGAGCAAGCGGCATCAGACGGGCTCGCTGCGGTCTAGCCTACCTGGGTTGACGTCGCTCTGGGCGCTGAGAATGCCGGGTGTGGGCAGCACGTCAGGGAAGTGGTTGGAGCTGCCCCACAGCGACGAGCTGCGGTTGTAACAGTCCCAGGGGGACGTGCACCATGCTCCCGACTGCACCGGGGGAGATAGGGATGGGAGGCGTGGTAGGGCTGTGGGTGGACCGCGGGGGAAACGCGGCGAGATGGCATGACATGTGATAACACAGAACAAAACGAGGAGGCATGTCGTGTGCCAAGTTTGCAATGGCACAAGAACGTTGTTTGCATGACTGCATGTCTGCATGTGCGCATGTCGGCGTGACAGCATGACATGACTATTTGCATGTCCGCGCGCCTGCATGTCTCCATGTCCGCACGCTAACATGTCTCCATCTACACGCTCATAAATCTCACCCGGAAGTTGAGCAGCCATTTGTTAGCGCCGCTGCCATGGCCTCGCCGGTAGTAGAAGCCGGGCGCGGACCCGTCCAGACACACTGCCAGTGCCACGTGGTCGGGGGAGGGATGAGGCGGAATGACACAAATGTACCATGAGCACGCGTGGTATTGGACGTGAGATGCGGTGTGATGGGTATGGACGACAGAGAACCAACGCACACGGCTTCTGACAAAACCAGTCGTTTTGAATGCTACAGCGTGGATGCCTGATTGCAACAACGATGCGCTCTGAATGCGGCTTCAGCGTTCTGATTGCTGGACCAGGGAGAGGGACGAAGCGAATCGTTTATGATGGCCGCAAACTGATAAGTCTCAATCAACTCTTCCACTCCAAGCCCCCTCGTGTCTCACGCCGTCTCATGACTGGCACTAAAGCGCATCTCACTGCCTCGCACGCCATTATCTCACACCTTAGTCCCACTCCTCACCCGCGCCGTGCTTCTTTGCCTCTTCGACGATAAACAGCCGCAGTGTCCTTTCTCGCGCTGTTTCGTCCTCTACTACCGCACGACGCGCCGCTCCTGGCGGCGGCGTGACAACTGCGCGTCGTGAATTCGGGGTTCCACCGTCACGAATTGTGACTCTATCGGCGCCATCAGTGACGGCGATTCTACCGAATGTCGCGCTCGCGACGAGGAGCGATAGCAGAAGCGTGGTGAAGAATGGTATGTTCGACACCAATGAACTGCAAGGTACCATAGTTTCAATGCTTTCTAAGGTACTGACATCTGAGCATTCAGGAGCGCTAGGAATTCGAGCAGGTACAGCATTAGGAAATGGAGCAGCTAGAACCTGGGATCCCCTGTGCTTTTTGCACTTCACCTCAGGGCGGCCCTCAAAAATTTCGGCAGCTCAAGCCCAAAAGGAGGTAATGTACACTTCATTAGGATTTGAATAAGCGCCACTCTTAATACATTAGAAAGTGCAGACACCACCTCCAGCATGGAAGAAGGCCAAATCAGTTCAATCCGTTGCTTCTCCTTTGCCTTTACCTATCAGCTGAAAACAATTAGACGCTATGCCCTCCATCTAAACGAATTTGGCTTACCATCATAAGTGTGGTCTTGCTGCTACATGGTGGCTCTTTCTCTATACATGTTTGCTATGTGCATGCACAGTTGGATGTCCCTTCCGTCCCCCCACCCACCCCATCCCTGAAACATCGTCCACCGCTTCTCCTCCTCGCGTTCCACAACAGGAGCAGAGGCATTCACCATCATCCAATGGTCCTCATCCAACAACTGCACCTTCTCTATCCCATCCTCTCCTATACTACACCCCGCACTCTTCTCCTCCTTCTTGCCCTCCTCCCCATCCTTCTCGCTCCCTTCCCCACCACTCCCTTTCACAGCAGCAGCTGCACTAGTGTTACTCTTGCCCTGCGAGTCCCCCTGCCCAGAGTGCAGCCCACAGGACCCCACGTGGTGGGCGCTGGCGCGGGACCAGCGCAGCGACCACGAGGAGGGCAGGCGGCGCAGCACGGACGACCAGAGGGTCAGGTCCCAGTTGTAGTCGTCGTACAGGCAGAACGGCTGGGGGATGCGGGGTGTGGGGCGGTTGGCAGGGATAGGGTGGTTGATTGGCAGAAATGGGGTGGGTGGTTGGCAGGGATAGGGTGACTGGCAGAGAAGAATCAGGGGTCCTTCATAGCAGAACAAAAAGCTAAGAGAGGACGGTGAGTGAGAACAAACGAGCCACTTGGTCTTACGACAGGGGCGCCGTCTCACTCTCACCTTGGCCTGCGCGTGAATGAGCTCCCACACGCTGCGGTTGAACGCATACCCCACATTGCCCATGCGCTCCGCTGAAAACACCCCCGGCTCGTCGTCCTGTATGGAGACCACATCGGAGGGCGCGAGGTTGGCGGCGATGCAGTGGGGGCAGCGCGCGTGCTTGGCGTGGAGGAGCGCGCGCAGGTGGCGCAGGGCGTTGGGGAAGAGCAGATGGTCCTCCTCCACCCATACCACGTGCCCTCCATACCCCCGCGTCTCCTCCACGCCCCCCCACACCGCGTTCATCGCCCACCACCAGTGGTGCTGCGCACACGCGGACAGCAATGGGATGCAGCATGGGAGTGGTGAGCATGGCATGGGGAGAGCGGTAAAAAGAGTACTGGGATGACGGAGAGGGGTGAAGGACTGGAGGCAGAGTGGGCACGCAGAGCAGCCAATGAACCCTCTCCGCTCACCTTGAGAGACAGCCTCCGCGGATCCCTGAACGACCCGTATTGGTCCGCCTGCCCCGTACATTCTCCCCCTCCCGTGGCGTCGTGCGCGCTCCCCTGGCAGTCGGCGGGGGAGGCGGCGGGGAAGGAGGCGCTGAAGAGGTGCGGGGAGAGCGGGAAGTAGAGCTGCTTGACGGCGCAGAACGTGATTCCGCGCACCAGCGCGTGCATCTCGGGGTAGTACCCGTCGTGGCTGCGCGGGGAAAGAGGAAGGGAGGGAGAAAATATCAGGGAAGGGGGGGTATATGAGGGGAAAGGGGAAGGGGCGAACTTCAGGGGAAGGGGAAGGGCGAGAGTTCATGGGCGTGGGGAATGACACGCCCAAGGCGGAGCACAGTAAGCTGTTTGACGTGGGGAATGGTGGCGGAGCGGACGACGAGGCATAACCGCACCTGACGATGAGCAGCGTGTCTTGAATGCCTTCCACCTTGCTCAGCGCCTCCAGCGTGCGTCGCAGGTACGCCGGCCGGTTGTGCACGAGCAGCACCATCACCACGTCCGAGTCGCTCAACCGTTTCTTCCACGGGCCTCGCGATCGGGTTACATTAGTACTGCTATCACTACTGCTACCAGTAGTAGCAGTGATACTGCTAGCGCGCTTCCCTCTCGCGCGTCGCCGCACTTGCGCGCGAAGCTTCGCCAGCAGCCCCATCCCCCCGCCGCTCTTCTCCGCGTTTCCCGCCGCCACGGGCGTTCTCGCCGGCCGGCGATTCCACTCCTCGAGCCGCCGAGAGAGCGGCGAGGAAGGCGGCCACGGCTCGTGCGGGTTCATGCGACGCCACGTGTCGAAGAACGATTGGGCTTCGCGTTCCTTCCTGCCGTTAAACAGGTCGAGCAGTCTAGCACCCGCGCGATCGTAACTCTCCTCCGCCTTCAAATCCATTTTCTCCACCTCATCCCGCATCGACTTCAGATTTTCCTCCATTTCTAAGTCAGCGCGATTCCGGTCTTCAGTCGTGGCGCGGATCGTTGATTCTCCACGAAATGCGGCGTTCAGCACCGTGAATCCACTTCGGAACAGCTTTTGGTTGAGGATTCCGGAAGGTTCGCGTGTACTAGAAACGAGCCACGTGCCATCTGCTATCGCCACGTCATCAGATTCCGCTAGCTCTATTCCTACTTTCGGAGCAGAATAGCGAAACAAGGGCCATATTAGCCGCGGCATGCGCGCGAGCCACCAGCGAGTTCGCAGCTTCGCTAAATTCTCGTCGATTATTCGCAACAAATCGCCTCGCCTCATCCACTCGTCTACAGTCTCGCGTACGTCACTTTCGTCGCTCATGTCGCCTGGTTCCTCGGTTGAGTCAGAGTCCTTTGCGACAACCACTTCTTTCGTCGCAGAAGGGTTCCAAGCTTGCGGGAGGAGGCGAGCCGGGAGGAGAGATACGGGCGAAAATCCTCCAGAGGGCGACGCGGCGTGGAAGAGTGCGAGCGCGAGGAGCGCTTGCACGAGGAGCAGCAGGAGGAGGCACGATGAGGTGCATGCGGGGGAAACATAACGCCGATAGTACCGCGGAGAGATGAGCCCGCCTAGGTTGTGCGCGTTAACGGAAGGATGAACGGCGATTAAAGGCCTAGCGAGAGCTGCTGTGCGAAGCGAGCCGAGTTGGCTCGAAATAAGGCGAGCAAGGAATGACATGAGTAGCGAGAGGATGCGCTGCCGCCAGCGCACGAGCTGTCTACTGAGCTTTCTAATAAGTCCAAGTCTCCTACAAAAGGCTCTCCGTAGAATATAAAATGGCTCGCGTCTGCTATGCGTTGACGTGATGCTTGTTCGGTGGCCAGGCTCCAAGGTCAGTGGTTTTGTTTCCGCTGTGTGATGGCAGCGAGCAGCAAGAGCAGCAGCAGGAACATCAATCGGTCGGGAGGTAGTGACTGTTCGATGAAACGTGAAACAGGTTGCGGAATGGAGAGGAATGAAGAGGAGTGGAGAGTGATAATGGCTGGGTCGCAAAGACTGGCGACAGGGCAGACTGCCTCGCCGCCACACAAGTCCAATCCTGTCTGAAATTTGCGTCTGCGATGGCTGGTTTTCTGTGAAACGCGCACTTCGCCGTTGAAGGCGATGTGACGGGATGGAGCGACTCGTGTTTCCTCAATCCGACGGCGTAGAGGAGATTGATCGCGACTAATTTCGGGACGTCTGCATTCCCGCGTGCGAACAATAGGTGGCGGCGAAACGCGCGAACAGAGGCGTGATGATAGGCCTTCCGAGAAGGAGGTTGTTGAGGGTCCATTCGATTCGATATGTGCGTTTACTGATCATCCATGACATGCAAAAGTGTGCTTTGGATAAAATGACTTATATGGAACATTCATGAACTGTACATCTTAGATATGTGAATGCATAACTTTATATCACGCCCATCACCCCATCCACCCCAACCTCTAAAAGAGCTAGGGGTGGTTTTGAAGCTCCTAGAAATCAACGGAGCAGAACCATTTATGGATATCATTGTATCTTCAGTTGTAATCACAACCTCCTCACCATCATCATTATGATTCCACCAAGATTTGTTCTTTATGCAGTTGCTGCTCGTCCGCCCCCTCCCTGAGTGAAATCCGCAATTGCCGAAGTGTCTTGCGCTTGTTCTTGACCAGCGAATAGAAGAGGCATTCGGTAACCGCTTCAACACAGAGCCCGACACTGTAAAATCCCAATTGTAATCATCGAAGTAGCAAAATGCCTGCGCGTGGACACGCGGAGAGGTGCTGAGTTTATACTAGCACCAGCAACAGAGACAAATCGTGAAGGATTGTGTACATGAGACTTCAAAAAATGGGATCGCATACCTCTGCTTGTTTGTGGATCAAATCCCACACAGTGCGGTTGAAGCAGTACCCGATGTTCCCCATGGTCTCCACAGAGAACGACCGCGGCCCACTGTCCTGCCACTCATGCACGTCGGAGGGCGCGAGGTTGGCGGCGATGCAGTGGGGGCAGCGCGCGTGCTTGGCGTGGAGGAGCGCGCGCAGGTGGCGCAGGGCGTTGGGGAAGAGCAGATGGTCCTCCTCCACCCACACCACGTGCCCTCCATACCCCCGCGTCTCCTCCACGCCCCCCCACACCGAGTTCATCGCCCACCACCAGTGGTGCTGCAATGGGGTAAGGCAGTGGGGGCCAGCGAGGGAGAGAGAGCCTGGTGAGGAAGCAGGTAACATCAAATACAGTGTCTAAGCAGAGAATTGTGGTGACCAATCTCACCTTGAGAGATATTATCCGAGGGTCCCTGAACCTTCCAAACTGATCCGCCTGTCCACTGCAATTGCCTACCCACTCCCCTTCTTCCGATCCCTCTCCTCCTCCTCCACCATCCCCTTCGTCACCTTCTGCTTCCCCCCAGGCGACCTCACTCCTAGGGAGCCGGCCTTGGCAGTCGTCAGGGGAAGCTGCAGGGAAGGTGCCGTTGAAGAGGTGAGGGGAGAAGGGGAAGTAGATCTGCTTCACGGGGCAGAAATCAATCGCCCTCACCATGGCGTCCATCTTGGGGTAGTACCCATCGTGGCTGCATGACAAAGAGAGGAAGCATTTGGGGAAGACGATGAAGCATGTGAGATGAGGCTGCAGTGCAATGGCACAACAAGCAGCAGGGAATTTACGTGACAAAGAGAGAGGCCGCATGCTCAGGAATTAAGAAGTTTCTTTCGAAGAAACGACTCGCACTCACCTTACAATGACCACCTGCACTCACCTCACAATGACCACCTGCACTCACCTTACAATGACCACCTGAACTCACCTTAGAATGACCACCTGCACTCACCTTACAGTGAGCACCTCGCTCACCTTACAATGAGCAGCACGTCTTGAATGCCTTCCACGCGTCGCATGGAAGCGAGCGTCCGTCTGAGATACGCGGGCCGGTTGTGCACCAACAGCACCATCACGATCTGATCGTCCCCAAGCCGCGACTTGCTCCACGCTTGAGCGTCCTCTGCTCTTCGCTCATTGGCTGCGGAATCGTCACTCCGTCGGAACAGCTTGCGCACGTCCCGGCTTGGTTTCCGCGGAATGCGCGGAGGCAGCTTATTCCTTTCGGCGAGGCCAGAGGAAATCGTATTCTGGGGCGGCCATGTCACCTGGGGGTTTGCGCGACGCCATGCATCGAAAAATGCATTTGACTCTTGCTGTTTCTGCTGCCTTTCGAAGTCTAGAAGCTTCATCTGAAGCGCGTCGAGCTCGGATTGGTTCACATTGGTCATGGCGGCGATAGCGGCGCGAACCTCTAAGAGAAACTCACGCTTCGCAGGCAGATCCACTGGTGCTACGGAAGCTGAACGAGTCTCATTAGCCATCAGCGGGTCTGCTTCGCGAGCAATGGAGGTATTCCCTCTTACTAGCGTCGCATGGTTTCCGTCAGCCCATGCGACAAATGCGACCTTTTGCGAACACGTTTTTCCCGAGTCGTCGTGCCGCAGCTCGTCGTCGATGCGTCGCAGCATATCGCTGCGCGCTGTCGAGAGCACCTCGCGGCGTGCGAGCTCTTCCAGAGAGAAGAGCTGCGGGTCCATGAATGCGTCGACTGCTTGTGCCTCAGGGAATGCCGATCCGCCGCTTTCCTCCTCTACCTCTCTCGGCACGCTCCCCCCTTCCGTAAACTCTGAGGAATTCGATTCACCGATATCGTATCGCGAAGGGAGAAAGACGAGGTCGTCTATTTTCACGTCAGTGGTCGGGCGTAGCAATGGCGTGGCGAACGGAAGAGGAATGAGGTTGAAGAAGAGAAGGGCGATGACGGTGTGGACGAAGAGTAGGCACGCGATGACGTTTCGCGCAGCGGTGATGGTGCGATGGCTGCGGGGAACGAGCGACGCCAGATGAGCCACGGTAGCCATGGGACCCCCGTTTCACTACCATGCCACAATGCTTTGTACGCGAAACGAACCACGCTGGACTTGACACCACAGGCATACCCTAGATATTGGATAATGACATGACTTCAGCGAAACGGTGGAAAATAGGTGATTAGGCGAGTACTGCGGGCATCCCGTGGGGAAGTTCTGTACCAGACTTCCTGCTGTGGCTGGTGAAAACGAGAAAAGGGTGAAGTCGTGGAGGGATCGAGGCTGTGGGGAAATCAAGGTGGAGGAGCAGAGTCGAGGCTTGATGAATCGACCGAGGTTGTAGAAAAAGCGACGGAAGTAGGCAGTGGTGGTGATGGCAGGAGGGAGAGTGGAGGAATCGAGGGTCTGTCAGGCGACTTGGGATGTACGCATAACAGAAGATTCGTGTGCAGTGATTCTGCAAAATAGAAAAAACTCGTAGCTAGTGAAATTGCTTCCACATACCATACCGCTCTCGAAGTGATAGCCAGGCCAACTTCCTTTCTGGTTGAGGCCAACACCTTTCCTGGTAGGCTATAGGCACACCTCTTGCTGCCTTTTTACAGGCTGAATACTAGATAAGATACATCAACACTAGGTTAGATACATATCACTTTAGAACATCACCCTTGATGCCCTTCAAAGAGGCTCCCTATCATCTCGTTCACCTGTTGCGGGGTGTGCCTTATATATTTGGATTGATGCCGCAGAGTGGCACCATGTGTTTTGTAAAAGAGGGTGTAGAGTGATAGCACCCTGTACCGCACAGCCTGATGCAGCTCCTGTTGCAGAGGGCCAGGGTTGACCATCCAGGCTCGCTGAACCCTGCACGCTTCCTCGAACAATGTCGAGAACTGCTTGAATATTTCCTGCAAGTTGCAGTCACGAGCATTTAACATAATAGTCCGCCCAAAGTAGTCAACACGAAACAAAAAAGCTGCAGAGGTGAAGAATGTAAGCACAAATTGAAATGCAGCAAGCACAGGGAAGCCCCTCAAAAAAACCTTGAGGGAGCTGCTGGGATTACATCAGTAAAGTCTGGAGCGTACCGTTAGGGAGCCCTTGGGATTACCTTGAGCGAGCCCTTGGGGTTGAGGAAGGAGGTGGTGGGGACCTCTCTGAGCGGTGCCACCACGCGGTTCCACGCCACCTTGAGGTACTCGTTGGCCTGCTGCTGTGCCGTGTCTGCCCGGTCCCTGATCCAGTCATCCCCCACCAGCATGCGCAGCTCACACCCCTTCACCTATGCAGTACAGGAGCAGAGAGGATTAAAGAGAGACATCTGACTTGAGGAATAAATAGGCCACCTTGAGATACTCGTTCGCCTGCTGTTGCGCCATGTCTGCCCGGTCCCTGATCCAGTCATCCCCCACCAGCATGCGCAACTCACAACCCTTCACCTGTGCGTGTGCGTCACAGTTCGGGAGGGGAGGAGAGAACGGAGGGAATGAAAGGTATGAATCGACACGCAAGTGGCTTCCTATTTGATCCAGTGATCTCCCACTAGCATGCGTAGCTCGCACCCCTTCATCTGCGTGTGTCCATCACAATTAGGGAGGAGAGACCAGACGAGAAAGAGGCCCTAGTCGACTCAAGTATCATGTCTGACCTAATCCAGTTGACCCCCACCAGCATAGCATGTACACCGCACAGCTCTTCACCTTGCACGCAGAATAGAGTCCCAGCTTGTATGCAACACCCTTCGTACCTTGCGCGCAATGTATTGCACGTTGTTCATCATGAAAAAGTGTGCCAGCCCTGCATCCCGGTACGTCAGCGCCTTTCCCAGAAGCTTCGCCTCCAGGACCTTCAGAATCCCCCTGATCTTTCGCCCCACCTCGCGATACTCCTCCTGCGGCTCCCCCCAGTACCGCTTCCCATCCTCCCCCACCACTCCGCCCTCCTCCCCCTCCTCCTCCCCCTGCACCTCCTCCTCCTCAAACTCCTCCTCCTCCTCCTCGTCCGACCTCAGCCGCAGCAGCTTGGGCACCGGCACCACCACCGCGTTCCCACTGCTACTATACAGCTTATTAATAGTGTCACTGTATTCAAAGAGCAAGCCAAGGTAGTTGACGACGTAGCTGGTGAGTCCGTGCACGGAGCCGGCGGGAGGGGGCCGGCTGTCCTCCTGCTCTATGTTTCGCTCAAAGTCAGCGAGGATGCCTCTCACCGCCACGCCCACGTAGCTTAATACCACCGACAGCTCGTTTCGCACACTGCGGCACGCACCGTTGCCTGGAGGAGGTGGGGGAGGGAGGGGGTGTGAGGAGAGGGGGAGGGGGAGGGGGAGTGGGGGGTCAGGTTCTGAGATGTTTTGAAGTCAGAGAAGATAGACAGGGGTGGCAAGCGGCCAAAACTTAGAGGTTGTTGTTGAAGAGAGCACAGGCAGAGAATCCAATCCACCAACACATGGTAACCGGACTGGACGGGACCCCATGCTCTACAGCAGCCCACATGGGCTAGACCTAGTGCCGTACCGCACACAACCGCGTTGAAATCCGGCTGCAGCTCCTGCAGCGTCTCGTAGATGTCAAGCATGGCGAAGAGGCGCTCCGGCGCCTTGTGCCCCGCCGCGAATGCCTCCACGAAGTCAAACAGCCGCCCCATGCTGCCCTTGGCTGTCTCCGCGAAACACTGCTCGCTGTCCTGTTGTCAGGAAGGGCGGCGGAGGGAGGCAGTGGGAAAGGGTGAGCGCAAAGGCTTCCACGAAGTCAAACAGCCGCCCCATGCTGCCCTTGGCTGTCTCGGCAAAGCACTGCTCGCTGTCCTGTTGTGTGGTGAGGTGTTGGTTGGGAGGGGGATGCAGGGGAGCAGAGTGGGGTCGGGTTGGGTTGGAAGCAAGAGCAGGCGAGGGTGAACGCGAGTGGGGATAGATGGCAAGCGCAAACAAACATGCAAACGCATCCAACCCACCTCCACCGTGTCGAAGACCCGTTCACAGAGCTTCCTCTCAGCGGCGAGCAGCACGCGCACGCCCCTCCGCGCGTACGCCTTCCACAGGTCCACCCGCGCTGCCAGCTCATCCCACTCCAGTGTCGGCACCAGCCGTGGGTCGAACCTCCCTGCTGCTAGCTGCTTCAGAGATTCCTCTAACACCGCCTGTGGGTGGGAGCGATGGAGAGAGGGTGAGGGGGAACGAGGGAGGGGGGGGAGGGAGGGAGCGAGGGTGGGTGAGGAGGCGAGGAGCTCATGGGTTGACAGAGGGTAAACAGATAGCTGCATGCCGTCCATACGCTTTCCACAGGTCCACGCGCGTTGCCAGCTCATCCCACTCCAGTGTTGGTACCAGCCGCGGGTTGAACCAGCCAGCTGCTAGCTGCTTCAGGGATTCCTCTAACACGGCCTGTGGGGGGGGGGGGAGGGACAGAAGGAGAGAGACGGAGGAGGAAAGAGAAGGGGGAGAGTGAGGGATGAAGGGGTAGGAGAGGGACGGGCGAAGAAAGAGGTCAGGGAAACTAGTGATTTGAGTCAAGCCCTGATGCTGAAGAAACAGCTCCAATGGTGCTCGCCTTCCGCTCCTCCAGTTCCAGCGACGTCTTACAACTCAGGACCTGCTCCCACTCTTCCCTCACTGCTCCCACTCTGCTACACTCTGCCGAACCTGCCTCGCTCGCTTTGCTCATTCCGCCTCACGCCCGCTTTGCTCATTCCGACTCCCCCTACCTTGCGCACGGTGCGGTAGTTCCGCCGGAGCGAGGGGGAGAGCCCCGCGCGTGCAGCCACGCGCGCAATGGCGTGGAGGCGCCACACGGCGGGCTCGGGGAGGAAGGAGGGCGCGCGGTCGAGCGCGGAGACCGCGAGGGACGCGGACGAGGGGGAGGAGGAGGGGGAAGAGGAGGAGACAGGAGTGGCGGCTGCGGAGGGGGAGAGCGGCGCGGAGGAGCGCGGGGGCTTGGATACGCGCTTGGCGGCTTCGTTGACCTGGGGGGGGTGGGGGGGGGGGGGACGCGCGGACGGCGGGAAGGGAAACAGTGAGGTGCAACGAGAAGGCGGTGCTAAGAATCGGGAAATGGATGCAATAAAATGAAAATCTGACAGGAGCGAAGAACCTCAGTTTCGACCAATGCGGCGTCCGGGCGTCACAAGTGAGAGACGCACTCGACTTTCAATTCGGTCTTAAAAAAAAACACAGCAAGGCAGAGACGTACCCGATCGGGCGGCACGGGGTGGCTCTCCGCGAGCAGCACGTGCAGAAAGCCCTCCTCAAGCCGCGGCACGACGTTGTTCAGCATTGCTTTAGCCGTCTCGCGCACGCCGCCCATCCCGGGCGGCGCGCCGGGCATGTTCGCGGCGTCGATTAGGTCGAATAAGCGCTCGACCGCCTCGAGATACGCGCGCACGTCAACGACCGACGCGTCCCATATGGCGGTCCCCGCGCCGCCCGCGGAGGACGAGCGCGGGAGCGAGGAGGCGGAGGGGGAAGCGGAGTGCTGCGCGGGTTGCCCATGCCACCCGCCGAGGATGGCTATGGAAGAATCTAGGGTTTCGAGTGGGGATGTGTACACGTGCGCGTGCGCGTGCGTTGCTCGAGAAGAGTCGCGCATGTCGGGCGGATAAGCGGAGTCGGCGGCGGGATCGACGGCCGACGAGTTCAGCACGGTGAGTTCACTAAGCGCGCAAAAATGACGCTTTGAATAATGTAAGCTCGTTGAGAATGCTAAGCTAACTAACAACTAGCACAGGCTGGTAAAAGATGGAAGTGAGCTAGGTTTGAACTGCAGTGACTACTGATATGGAAAGTGAAATGGCGGAGTCACAAGGAATACCGTAGCTGGTGGTGGTGTTTTGGAGTGGGATTAGAGAGGATCTTGAGGCGATGGGCTGACGTCCTCGCTGTTAGCACAACTGAAATGATTTCATTTTGTTAGGTGGAGATTTTGCTACTTCTACTGCTTATATGCGCACACAATCTGCAAGGAAAGGAGTCAATGCTGAGTCTAAGCACACGTTGGTAGTGTCCCAACACCCCACACCTGCATGGAAAGAAAAAGTAGAAGCAGAGAAAAAAGCTATTGTTAGGTCTCAAGATGCAAATAAACAGAGCTTCAAGATGGCTGGATGACATGTATGAAAAGGATCGGATACGGTACGTATGTCCATTTCCTCGCGGTACCTGCGCCAGGCATGGAAGTTGGCATATTTCACGGGGTCCTCAGCAGCCACCACTATGGTGCGCCGCAGCTCGTCCCGATGCATTGAATCGGCGTTCAGGAACGAGTCGGGGGGGGCAAAGCTGTCTATGTCCGGCGCCCCATAGTACACCGGCACTGTGCCTGCAGCGAGGGAGTGTGTGGGTAAGGGGAGGGGAGACGTGTGTGTGTGTGTGTGCGCGCGCATGTGTGTGCATGTGCAAGAGTGTGTGCATGTGTATGTGCCGCATGTCGTTCAGGAACGAGTCCGGGAGGGGCGAAGCTGTCGATGTCTGGCGCCCCGTAGTACACCGGCACTGTGCCTGCAGTGGGGCGGGGGTGGGCATGGGGAGATGTGTGAATGTGCATGAGCGTGTACGTGTGCGTGAACGTGTGCACGTGCATATGCATATGTGGACCCCCAACAGGTTCACATTAGCCCCAACACACCTGCTTCCAACGCGTGGAAGAACTTTTCAGTTACGAAGACGCGCTCCTCGCGTGACTCTATAACGAGGTTGAACAGGTAGTGTGACTGTACGCAGTGCAGGTGGTCCCACCAGTCCTTGTGTCCCCCGCCCCGCATCCCCACCCCTGCATCCTCCTCCTCCTCCCAGCTCTCCTCACTCCTCCCCCACACGCCCCCCCCTCCCGTGCGAATGCCTCTCATGGGCCTCCTTGCAGTCTCTGCTTCCTGCCGAGCCTCCTCTGCTGCCTCGTCACCACCATTGTCACCACCATTGTCACCACCACCACCACCACCACCACCACCACCACCACCACCACCACCACCACCACCACCACCACCACCACCACCACCACCACCACCACCACCACCACCACCACCACCACCACCACCACCACCACCACCACCACCACCACCACCACCACCACCACCACCACCACCACCACCACCATCACCACCACCACCACCACCTCCTCCTCCTCCTCCTCCTCCTCCTCCTCCTCCTCCTCCTCCTCCTCCTCCTCCTCCTCCTCTTCCTCCTCCTCCTCCGCCTCCTCCCCTTCCTCCTCCTCCCTCGCCTCCTACCCCTCCGCCTCCTGCTGCTCCCTTTCCCATGCCTCGCTGTGCTGCTGCTGCTACTGTCGCTGCAGACCCACCCATGCGCTTCACCTCGCCACCTTTGCTTTCATTCTTTGCCCCCTTCCCTTGTTCATGCGACCCCACTCTCTGACCGTGCGGCCCCACATAGCTGCATCCCATGCGAGTGCAGGATGGCAAGAGCGGGATGGCAAGTGCAGGAGGCAGAGAGAGGGATTGAACATGGTGAAGGCACTTGCGTCAAAGGTCAGGGTGAAGGCTACTCACAAGGGACAAACACCATGGCATGTGCGCTGCATGCCACACACGCACAGGCCACTTATCAGATCATGCACTTGCGCATGCCGCACGGCTCAAGCACACACCGGCTCAAGCCTCTGATCACGGGGCATACAGGCACGTGCTCAGTGCATGGAGGCCATACGTGTATGCGCAACACAGGCCTCTCATCAGAGCACATACTGGCACATGCTGTACGTGTCCAGCACGTCCGCCTCCTCCTCCCTCATGTCGTTGCTGCTGCAACTGCCAGTGCTGTGTGCTGCATGCATGTCACACACAACACAGCCCTCTTATCACAGTGCATACAGGCACAAGCTGAGGGCATAGAGCACGTACGTGCACATGCTGTACGTGTCGAGCACGTCCGCCTCCTCCTCTTTCATGTTGTTGCTGCGGCTGCCCATGCTGTGCGCCATGCGCCGCATCAGCGCTCCAATGCGCTCGCGCCAGCTGGACGGCCGCGATGCTGCGTGGATGAGAGGCGGTGACTGGGGTAGGCAAGGATGGGCGGGGGATGGGATGATGGAATGAAGAAAGATGTGAAACTCTCAACAGATCATGATGCCATGCCATCCCACACCATTCCCCCATGCCGTGCCCGCATGCCATGCCATGCCCCCATCACATGCAACCCATCGCATTCCAACCCATGCCATGCCCCCAGGCGCACCTTCCTCTTGACGCCAGACACATGGCGGTTGCGGTCAGCATGCTCCAGCTGCCCCGCATATGTCACCTGCACGTCTGCATCCGCGCCATACCCCACTCTTATGTCCGCCGCAACCCTGCTGCCCCTGTCACCACTGCCACCACTTCTGCTGCTGCTGCTGCCATTGCTGCCGCTATCCCCACCCCCATCAGCAGTCCTTGCCCGCTCCTCCCCGCCCCCATGCCCTTCCATATCCATTTGCACCAATAAGGGCCTGCCTCGCTCCATGCTGCTTGGGTGGTTCGGAATATCTCGGGGTAATTCACCCTCGAAAAGCAGAGCGTGCGGGGAGGGGGAGAGGGTCGGGGAGCGGGAGAAGGAGCAGGAGAGATGGCAGGGGCAGCTGTAGAGACCGTCTAGCCAATCAGGGATGGACGGGGAGGAAACCACCTGGAAAGGGGCAGGAATGGTTGGAGGTGAGAGGGGGGGAGAGGACCAGGAAGATGTGGTAGGATGTGAACTGTTGTGGGATGGGGAGGATTGGGAATGTGGATGAGTAAATTCTGGGACCCACATGAATGCACGGTGCGGCGGGAAGATGGATGGAGAGGGCAAAGCACAGCATGCATGAATGTGGAGTGTTTGATGCTTGAGATTCAACACGGGCACACATCCTGACCGCAGGACTATTGCCATGTACTGTGGTCAAGTTGTCTCGGTCCTGATCGGTAACATGAGGTACCTACCTGGATGGAGACATGGGGCAGCTTGAGAGCAGAGCACGGCAGGGAGGAAGCATCCTGGAAGCTGCTGCTCTTGGGCCACGTGTCGTTCAGGTACTGGGCGATGAGATCTGAGGTGGAAGCAAAGCGGGGAGCACGGAGCCACGAGCACACGTAATGTGGGAGTGTGGGTCATGGTACCTTGGTGGCTGCGTGAATGGTAACTTCGTGCCCATCACGAGATATTGGCTGCTCTGCATGAGATGATTCACGAGATACGTCGGAACGTGCGAAATCAGTGTGCAGCAACGGGAATCCCCCCGAAGCTGGACAAAAGGCGCGGGTTTATGGACGCCGAACCTGCGTGCTTGCTTCGGAAGGCGGCGCAGCCGACGGTCTTGTCCCACGCCGCCCACGCCTCGTCCATGTCCATCGCCCTGCCGAGCCACGACTCCTTGCGTCGGGCGACGGTGCCGAACCTCACCCGCAGCTCCGGGTCCGACAGCTCCGGCGGGCCACGTGGCAGGTTGAGACTGGCGCCGTCGATCGCATCTGCTTCGAAGTCGTAGTTATCGATGCGCGGATCGGGTTCTGGTGAAAGCTGCGCGAGCGAGGGAATAGGCGTGTCTTTATTAGTACGCCATCGGAGACGCGTCGCGGCGAACTCGCGCCCGAATCGCAGCAGCGACCCAAGGAGGCGCTCCGACTGCGCCGGATGCGCGGAGGAGAGGAGCAAGAGCACGCCGAGCAATGCGGCGGCTCTTGCGGCGGAAATCCCGGCTGCGGAAGCCCTGGCGGGGTTCCATGTTCTCATGACTGTTAGCACGCAGGGCCGATGTCATGGGGGCGTGTCATCGCGTGCTCGTTAGCTGACACGTGGCACACATAGAAACAGTGGAATGCTCGTTCACATAAGTAGATTTCGCGGCAAAAGTGCAACAGGTCAGACACGGATTAGGTAGCAGTCGGATGGCAGCGGCAGCGTCGTGGGGACCCAAAAGTACAAATTCTCATTCAGGCGAACTCGAATGGATGTGAATTTGAGTCGAGTCGAATCGAGGCTTCTCATAACCGTGATCGGATTCGTGACCTGTAGGTCACTGATCGCATATTCTGAGCTACTAGGTAGTGACTCGCTTTCGCGTACCCTAGCTGCGATTACGATCGCATCGCCGTGATTGTGCGGCTCTCATTTGGTCGTCCGTCCGTCGCAGCTCGAGCCGCCATGCTCTTTCCGCAAGTCGCTATCGTCGTCCCGGGCGCGCGTTGATCCGCCGCCGCCATGCCGCCACGCGCGCAGTCCCCCCGCCCTGCCAGCTCCATCCCCCCATCCGTTCCCCCGCTCTTCTCCGCGCGCCCCTTCCTGCTCGGCGCGGCCGTCGCGCTGCTGCTCTCGCAGGCGGCGCTCCTCGCGCGCCTCCACATCCCCGCCGCGCCGTATCTTCGCGCTGCTGGTGCGGGCGGCTTGGCGGGGGACGTTAGCAGCCCTGGGGATTTGGGTGACCGCGAGGCCGCTGTGGAGTCGCAGGGCGACGGCAATCAGTCGCAGGGCGATGGCGATCAGTCGCAGCAGCAGTCGCAGGAGATGGCAGTGCTGCGGAATGTCACGGAGCTGGCGCAATGGGCGGCGGAAATCGCGGACGCGCTGAGGGCAGTGTTCCCCGAAATGATGGAGTGAGGACGAGGGGAGGGTGGGGAAGGGGCAGGGGTGAAGCGGAAAATTGGTCGGGGATGGGGACGGGGGGGGGATGGGGACGGGGGGGGGAATGGGGACGGGGGGGGGATGGGGACGGGGGGGGAATGGGGACGGGGGGGGGATGGGGACGGGGGGGGAATGGGGACGGGGGGGGGATGGGGACGGGGGGGGAATGGGGACGGGGGGCCAATGTGGGGGGCCAATGCGGGGGGCCAATGCGGGGGGCCAATGCGGGGGGCCAATGCGTGCAATGGGAGTGAGGCGAGGCAGTGGGGACAGTTGGCACGTCTGTGAGCAGCATGGCACAGCATACTTTCAACAGCCATCTCATCTCATGGCCAGCCATTCTCACCCCATGTGCTTGCCACGCCACGCCATGCAGGTCAAGGGACTCGTTCATACAGCACCTCGTGCAGCCCTACCAACCACCGCCTCCTCAAGGTCGCCCCATGCTGCTCCCTGCCATGCTTGCCCTGCCATCACATGCCATGCCTTGCCATGCTGTCCCATGCCATCACATGTACTGGGCACCGTTGGGTGACATGTCATCATCAGTCCCACTGCTCTAGCCACACCTGCCATCCTCACTCTCATCCCTCCTCTCCCTTCTTCCCATCCCTCCCCCCCTTCTCCTCCTCCTTCACCAACCCCCCCTCCCCTCTCCCTGCATGCATGCAGACCCACCTGCCCCAGCTGGCACCTGTGCCATACCGCAGCAGAGGGACCGTGACGCGCGAGTGCATGCAGCCATGGCGCGCAGCATCGAGGGCCTTGCCATCGCCCTCGCCTGCTCCCACTCCCCCTCCCAAGCCCCTCATGCCCCCAATGCCTCTCAGTCCGCCCATCCATCCTCCACCTCTCTCACCATCCTCTCCCTCCCGCGCTCCTTCCGCCGCACCCACTGCTCCACTGCGACTGCACTGCTCCCACCCGCACTGCCCATTGACACCACACATACCAGCAGCAGCAGCAGCAGCAGCAGCAGAACAGCTACACAAGGCAGCAAGCTTAACCCCGTTGACCCCGTTGACCCCGTTAACAGCACTGACCCCATTGACCGAGTTGGCGACGTTGACCTGTACGATGCGGCCGGCCGTGCCAGGCTGGCTCGGGTGCTCATCGCCCTGCACCAGTCCTCCTCCTCCACGTGGCTCCCTCCCTGGCTCTCCCACCTCCTGCCCACATGGCTGCCTCCCATTGGCCGCAGCAGATCTCCCTCCACGCACAGCTATTGGCTGGGCAAGCTGGCAGAAGAATGGGCGGCACAGGGGGGAGAGGGAAGGGGGAGGGGAGGAGGAGTAAGGGGAGGCGGAGCAAGAGGGGCGATTGACCTTGGGGTGGAGGGGAGGTTGGCGGTGGGGCTGGGGCAGAGCAGGCCGGGCAGTCAGAAAAGTCAAGCGAGTCAAGGCAGTGAAGGCATTCCGGCGGTGCATGGCAGGAAGGGGTCAGCAGCAAGCAGGGGGAGTGGGTGGTGGGGCGTCACGTGGAACAGCAGGACGAGTGCAGGGAAGGTCTTGATGGGCAGGGGAGGCAAGGACGGGGATGGGAGAGGCAGGGAGGGCGAGGGACGGCAGTGGAAGTACTTCCTCTCAGCCATGGCCTTCAACCGCGCTGCTGCTGCTGCTGCTGCTGCCTCTGCTGGCAGCGGTTCAGAGCGGTGTCAGGCTGCAGTTTTCGCCATCTTCCAGGTGTGCGCCCTCCCACCTGTGCCTTTCACCTCCCAAGGGAACTTCACCTTCTGAAGCTGTGCTGTTGGTGTGCTGGCACTGCTGCTGCTGGTGCTGTGTGGTAGAGAGGGCATTACATCCTAACAACTCTCACCGCTCAAGCCACTGGAGCCCACTTTTGCCCACCCGCGCCCACCCTTCCCACCCTCCCCTCGCTCCCCTCTCATGCAGTGGATGGATCAAGCACATGCGGTATGCGGGCACGGAGCACATCATCTGGTACGACCGTGCCTTTTGCTCCATGTGGCCCGATATGCTTGCTCCCCTCTCCCGTCCCTGCTCCCCCTCTTGCTCCTCTCTCCCCTCCCACCAGTGGATAGAGTACATGCGCTACGCAGGCACAGAGCACATCTATTGGTACGACTGTGCTGCCAGGGAGGCGGAGAGCCAGGAGGCCGTCCTCTCGGTGTACACCCACGCAGGGCTGCTGACGTACCACCGCCTGCACCAGATAACGCCTCCCCCTGCTGGCGCTGATTACCACTTTGACCAGGACTCCTCGCTCTCCCACTTCCTGCAGGTGAGATGATTTCTCCTGCAGGTGAGGAGGGCGGGGGAAGGGGGAAGGTGGGGAGGGGAGTGACTAAATAGGGGGGTAGGGAGACGGTGGAAGGAAGCAAGATTTTTCGCTCTCTAACGTGCTCCACGTGAGGTGCTCTTGCTTTCCGTAGCCACTCAGCCAACTACGCTGTCTTGTCCTCTCACTCACCGGCCTGCCCTCCACTGCTACCCTCCCCCACTCCCAGCACCACGGCCATGAGTCCAAGTGGGTGGCCTTTGCTGACGTGGACGAGTACATCTTCATGCCGCCCGACACCCGCCCGGGCTTCCTCACACGCCTCCTGCTGCGCCGCCCATGCGCCGCCCAACACTCCGCTCCTGGTGCTGCTGGCAGGGCAGGAAGAGGGAGGAGAGAGGAGGGCGAGGCACAACAGGATGACCAGCAGGAGGCAACGCAGGTGAGACGGTGCTGTTGCGCACTTATTGCACCGCTCGAGTCTGCGTGCTGGCAGACTATGTCTGCGTGCTGGCAGACTATGTCTGCGTGCTGGCAGACTATGCTGCGTGCTGGCAGACTATGTCTGCTTGCTCAACCCATTGTCTGTCTGTCTGCTGCCTTGACACTCTTCCGACTCTTCTGCAGCTGAGCTGAGTTGAGATCTCTCAAAACCCGTTACCATCTGCCTCCCCCTCCTCCTGCGTTCCCCAACGCATCCCCCATTCCCCCCTCTTCCTTCCTTGCCCTCCAGCTCCTGCTATACAACCAGTTCTTCATAGGCTACCCACGCCCTCCCCCTGCGCGCCTCACTATAGAGCGATTCATCCACCGCCCGCACCGCCTGCCCGACCACCATGACCGCCTGCGAGGCAAGATGCTGCTGCAGCCCGCGGCTGCCCTCGGGTTCCTCTCCCACGCGCCCCACCGCGCTCTCATGCACTCTGGAGAGACCATAGTGGCTGATCCTGGGCTCATTCGTGTGAATCACTACTGGGGTGATAGGGGGTTATCGGCGAATGCGAGTGAGAGGGAGAGGGAGGAGCTGGAGGATGGGTCGGTGGATGATAGGAGCATGCAGGTTATAGCGGATGTGATTAAAAGGAGGTTGAGATGGGTGGTGCCGGTGCTGCCCGTGCTGTGTGAGAGGGAGGCTGTGATTGGTGCTATGATGGAAGCCCAGAGGTTGGCAGATGTGCTGCTGCAATCTGTGCAGATGGAAAATGGATGATGTAATTCAGAAATATGAAGCCACATTGCAATTCAGATGTATTGTTCCAAACACTGCTTTCCCTTCCCAAGCGAATACACTTTTGTGTGTCTGCAAAATCATGGCTAGTGTTGCGCAGGCTGTAATAGAGTTCAGTATTAATGCGCTGCATTTGCTGTCTGAACGCGATTCCAGGCTGAACAAAATCCCCGATGGTGTCCCTCCCGTGTTCTCCAAGAACTTTACGATTCTTCTTGCCTGATGAGGCGGTTCTGGGGAGACTCGATATTTTTTGTTAAGGACTAGCTGCAAGTCCTCTTGAGCTGTGAACTGTATTTAGGGAGCTTGTGTGGCGTGGCTGTCTCAAATACGGCGGAGCTTCACACATTTTGATACCAGTTTCGGTTCAGTCGATCCTTTATTTTCAGGGTGTACATGCAGCAATAGTTCTCTGGTTTCCCTGCTCCATTATGACTCAACAGTCGATAAACGCTGGCCATTGGTGCAAGCCAGATATATGTCCGTCAAGCCTTCTTGGCCATAACTTTGCACGGGCATTGATTTTCTGCCCAGAGCAAGCATCTGACTTGCAGGAACAGGGTTGGTGAAACTACATTCAATTCAGGTGGTTTCCTTGCATACTCAACCCAAAAGGGGATGATGGTACATAATATTGATTGCAGTTTCACCAACTGGAACCACATTGCGTCCTATTGAATCTTATAGAAACATGCAGAACCCATTTGATCGTCCGAGCTTCATGATCGTGAACAACTTGTTACATGCCTTAGTGCCCAGGATTTTAAGCATGAATAGAAGGGACAATTGATGGCTGACACCCCACCCCATCCCCATTTTCAGGCGGATACACACACACAGAATCTCACAGCCAATGGGTGGTAGGAAAGCTGCCCGAACAGCAACTTCTGACCCTACGTCTTGTCATCCTTGTCGTTGTCAGTCTTACACGTCAGCCCACGCCTGGTGTGACTGACCGAAGGGACCTTTTGGGCAGCAATTCTCGAGTCGCGTGGATGGACAGAGCTCGTAAGTTGGCGAAACGACAAGCCGAATGAATCTCCTGGTGGCAGCACGTTACCCGTCATCATGTGGGGCACTGGGGAAAGGTGTGAGGGAGAGGGAAGCGAGGCTGCGAGAACGGCGAGCAAGCAAGGAGTCGAGACGAGTGAAGGCGAGGAAAGGAGCACCAAGGAATGGGATCGCACGTTCAGTGCGTTGAGTTGAGGGGCTGTTTGTTGGTGGAGTGAAAGAGCATAGCGCGACAGAAGCGAAGAAAAGCGTACCCCTTCAGGGAGTTGGGCTTCTCAGACTCAAGACGGATAGATCTCAATCTCAACTGAACGCTAGCACAGTTCTGTGTGCTTCATCCGTCACTCGTGTTTCTGACCGAACACGTCGCTGACGTTTAGAAGAAAAGGGTTTGTGTCGAGCCTGGCTCTACGCGCATTATCCAGGAGTCCCGCGCGTTACCTGAATATGCTCGTGCCGTCCTAACGCGCATTATCCAGGAGTCTATACCCCGCCGCCGGCACAGCCACGATATTTAGGGCTACCAATCCCGTCCCCATCGCATGATATAGCGCACACATGGCGCCGACGCTAGCGAAGCGATGGCAGCGCATGTTCTCGACGTCGCACGCCGGCCAGCGGTCGCCCGGCGACCAGCGCCACGACGACCAACCGTGCGCGCCGCCATGGGCCAACCACCCGCCCCCACTCGGCCGCCGCTCGAGCTTACCAGATCGCGGGTACACGTCGCCGCACCAAGCGCCGCAGCAGCACCACCAGGCGTCGCCTCACCACCAAGCGTCGCCGCACCACCAAGCGTCGCCGCACCACCAGAAGTCGCCGCACCACGCTATGCACAGCGCGTCGCCGCAACACATGCAGCAGCAGCGCGGTCTGAAGCACAGCACGTCCCGCACGTCGCTCGACAGCGCGGACGACGACCGGCCGCCCGGCGCGAACGGCGTGGGCGGCGCGGAAATGGTGACGGTGAAGCTGGCCAAGTCCGACTGGCTAGAGATAGTTAACGCGCTCGAGTCGGCTTCCAGCAGGTGAGGGCGACAAAAAGCCGCGAAACTTAGTGCCCGCTCCCAGAGTCATTCGCGATTCATAATGCCTGCGGTGTGGCAGCAGCAAGCGCGAACCTGGAAGCCCAAGTTCACCCATCCCTTGCGCGGTTCGTCATGAGGCAGATAACTAGACAGAGCGTCCCATCTGACTTTTGAGTCGACTCAAAAGTCACGTCTTAACTAGACAAAGCCCCTCCGTCCCTCTCCACCCCGTCATTTCGTTCCGTTCCGCCATACACGCCCCCATCCGCTCCCCCATCCGCGCCCATGCGCGCGCGTCCCTCCAGGTGCGAGAACTGCGGGGAGACTTCACCGTCCGCGCCCTCCGCCGTCTCGCTGCCCGCCACGCAGCGCCTCTTCGCGCAGCTCAAGGCGCGCAGCAACGGCCCGCCCGGCGGCGGCGCGAACGAAGACGTGCTCGGGCCGCTCTCGGCGCTGCGCTCGCAGTCGTCGCGCGAGGGTATCGGCATCGGCGGCGGCGTGGGCGGCGCGGCCGCCAGCTCGACCGGCTCGCCGTACGGACTGACGTCCAGCGACAGCGCGTCGACGTCGTCCCGGCGGCGCTCGCTGAACCTTCCGCGCGCGCGCGAGCTCGACGCGGATCTGCCGTCCAGCGGCCCGCTCGGCCACATCCAGCCGCGCGACGTGTTCGGCGCCGCCGGAAATCACGGCGCGGGTTGCGGGCTGAACTGCCACGCGGACGCGCACGGCATGCACGGAGCGCACTCGGAGCTCGGACCCATGGCGTGCCCGCACCTCGCGGCGATGGGCAGCAACGCGGGGGCCTTCGGGGGGTCGTCGTTCGGGGCGCGAAGCATCCAGCAAGCTTCCGCCATGGCTCCCACCGCTTACAGCTGCGTCGAGTCGATGATCGGCGGCGGCGGCGGGGGCGGCGGCATGGGCGGCGGGTTCGGCGGAGGCGTAGGGATGGATAGATTCGGCGGAGTTTCCGCTTCCGCCATGGTGGCGGCGGCGGGAGTGAGCGCGGGCGGAAGCAGCGGGTTTTCAAACGCGGGGTTCTCGATGGGGGGATTCTCGAACGCGGGGTTTTCGAATGCGGGGATGTCGGGCGTGGGGCGCATGGGCGTGAGCCCGTCGGAGATCCTCAACCGCAAACTGCTGACCATCATCACCAAGGCGCACGACCTCTTCTCCAAAGACCAGGTGAGCGCCTATGGGGGCAGGGAGGGCGCGCGGAAAGGGGGATCCGGCGTGGAAATAGGGGGTTGTAGGGCAAGCTGCCCACAATCATCACCAAGGCGCACGACCTCCTCTCCAAAGACCAGGTGAGCGCCGCGAGGGAAGGGCGCGTGGAGGGACGGGGACACGCGCACAGGGGGAGGGGGCGTGGAGGGACGGGGACACGCGCACAGGGGGAGGGGGCGTGGAGGGAGGGGTGGGGGGGCAAGCTGCTGACCATCATCACCACGGCGCACGACCTCTGGGGTGTGTGGGCAGGCGGGGAAGGGGGAGAAAACGTGGAGGGGGGTTCGATTCAAGGCATGCTCTCACGGTCATGACCTCTTCCCCATGGACCGAGAGAGCGGCTCGCGGAGGGAGGGGGTTGGAGGGGGTGGGGGGGACTTGGAGTGGTGAGTGGTATGGAATGCGGGATTAGGTTTGTCTTGTGAGTTGAACAGAAAAATCAAACACGCCTAGAGCAAACAGGCATGGGCGTAATGCACCTCATGATCGAAGAACAGGAAAAGCACACGAGGCACCGAAGGGGAAGGGTGGGAACGGGGGAGGCGAAGGGGAGGCAGGCTCGGGAGTTGGGGTTGGGTGAAAGGACATGGAGGCGGAGGGAGTGGGGAAGGCGTTGGGGAAAAGGCAGGTTGTTGCGGGGGGCAGCCTGAGGGCAGGGAAAGAGGGATGACAGGCAGGGCAGTTGCTGAACGGCAGCAAGCTGGGCGGCCACCTGCCGTCGCAGCTCCTACCCCACCCCACTCTCTTTCCTCACACCCCCTTTCCCGTCCCCTCCCCTTCCCTCCTCTCATTGCAGTCGCCTAACGGCAGCAAGGTGGGCGACTACCTGCTGGCGCAGCTGCTGGATCTCACCAAGTCCAAGTTCGGATTCGTCGCCAGCGCGCTCAAGAAACCCGAGGGGACCTACTACCTCAAGGTGCGGGGGGAGGGAGGATGAAGGGTATCAGCGAGGAGTGGGGAACGGGGGAAGGGCACCTTTTCTCTCGAGGAGGGCAAGTCCAGCGCACCCAGGGAGCGCACCCAGGGAGCGCACCCAGGGAGCGCGAACGGACGTGATGTCAAGGTGACGCGAAGCAGGCACGTGCCGCTTGTTTTGAGACGTCTTGAGACGTCTTGAGACGTCTCAAAACACTCCTTCTTTCAAGGTGACGCGAGGCAGGCACGTGCCGCTTGTCAGTTAACGGGATAGTCAAGCGAGAGCCGGAGGATGGCTGCTGTGTTGTGGCGAGGAGGAAGGGACAGAAGAGTGGCGGCACTATCGAGTAGCAATCACCTGTAATGCTGCTGCTACTGGAAGCCCGAGGGTACTGGGGCCGGCACTGTAGCCGGCTTGCAGAAGCAAGGCAGTCCCTCCCCACGCCGACGTGCTCTCTCACTAGGGATCAACTCTTAAGACATACCCAAAGTAGCTAGTTTCCATGCAGGCGTGCTTGGATCAGCGACTCGCCATGTTCTGAGGATGCGAGGCATGGCAGAGATATACGAGGCACGGCAGAGATATACGAGGCACGGCAGAGATATACGAGGCACGGCAGAGATATACGAGGCACGGCAGAGATATACGAGGCACGCATATACGAGGCACGGCAGAGATATACGAGGCACGGCAGAGATATACGAGGCACGGCAGAGATATACGAGGCTGTCTAGGGTTAGTGAGTGTGAGTGCGAGTGTTAGTGTTATTGTGGTCAGGAGCAGCACGGTAGCACATCTCGGTTTCTGGTTTAGGGTTAGTGAGTGCGGACAGGCACAGCGCAGCACGTTGGCACATCTTGAATCGTGGACTTGCAGAAATTCGTAGCGCTGCTGCCCTTTTAACCGTGAAGCAGGGCGTGGTGTGGATGCGCGCCGCACAGCAGCTAACAATGAGGTTACAATGGGGAATGGTGACTGAGAATTAGGTGGAGGCGGGGGGTTGAAGCAAGGAGCTGCCACCTTTGAACGCGGAATTTGCTGGCGGTGATGAGACGACTTCTGAAACGCCTAACAAATCGTTTCTACCCCACCTCACCCCACCCCCTCCCGGATAAAGCCCCCTCATCCTCTCCCCACACCCCCTCCCCCTCCCCGCCTCCACCATTCCACCCCTTGTCTACCCACCCCCAAGACGCACAGCATCACCAACTTCGCGTGGACGAGGGAGCTGCAGCTGTGGTACGCGGAGAGTGCCCCGTCTGGTCTGGTGTTCTTCGGCCGTGTCGTCACCTTGCCTCCTGCCCTTACACGTGTTCCCTTTCATTCTAACCCGTTCTCCCCTTTCCTCCTCATCCCACTTCCACCCCCTTCCAGACGCACGGCATAACCAATTTTGCATGGACGCGCGAGCTGCGGCTGTGGTACGCGGAGAACGCCCCGTCCGGGCTGGTGTTCTCCAACATGGACACGCTGTTCGGCCGCGTCGTCACCACAGCCGACGTCGTCATTTCCAACGACGTCCCCAACGATCCAAGGGCAGTGGGCGTGCCGCCCGGCCACCAGCGTGTGTCCACCTTTCTGGGGGTGCCTCTCTTCGCGGGTGCGGAGCTGGTGGGCATGTTTGCGGTGGCGAATCGCAAGGAGGGGTACGAGGAGACGCTGCTCATGGAGATCCAGCCCATGACCAAAACTGTCGCGCAGATCGTCGGTGCGCTGCAGGAGAGACGGCGCGAGCGCGAGGAGCAGGAGCGGCTGAGAGCGATGCTGAAGGGCACGGGGGATGCGATCCTGGGCGTGGATGACATGGGCGGGATCAGCGCGCTGAACCGCGCCGCCAGGCTGCTGTTTGGCTTCACCGACACCGAGGGGCTGGGCGACAGCAGTGGCCGGGCGTTTGGGCAGGCCGAGGTGCTGCCGGAGAATCTGCACGTCGCGGATCTGTTCATTAGTGTGGACGGCCGAGATGACTTCGCCGACCAGGGTGAGATGCCCTCCCACACACTGATGTGTTTCATTTTACTCGACCTTGTCCCTGTTCCTTCCACCTCCTCCGCCCTGCTCCCCTCCCAAGCTCCTGCATAGCCCAAGCGCCCCAGGCTCTTCATTCATCAATCTATACCCTGGGAACCGCTGTGTGTGGTTCCGGATTCTAAATCAATGCCCTGTGAACCGCCTTCAACCCCCGTGTGTGCCACCTCAGGTCTGGAGGTGTTTGTGTGTGACGGCCTCAGGATGCCCGCCATTGGTAGGCGCATTCTGGGCGGCACACTGCTGCTGGAGATGATGTTGTCACGCGGCAGCAACCCCGACGTGGCGTATGTCATCACGGCACGGGAGCTCAAGAACAGTGGTCTGGGCGGCACGCCTACGATTGGCTCGGGCAGCAACAGCCTTGCGAGAACGGGCAGCAAGGGAGGGCCCACGTTCTTTGAGCCTGCGAATATGCCCGGAGGAGATGAGTGACTGCATGGGTGAGTGCGTGTTCTGTTCTCACAGGTTGGAGGCTTCATGATATATAATATGAACAGAGAAGAGGTTTACTTTGCCGAAAGGGTTTCTCCTACGAGCTGCTCTCAGTGGGTTGTGTAACTTATGAATGACTTTTAGAAAAGCCCATGTTCCATATGTATGCATACCATATGCGTGATTGCCTATTGTGAAGCTGACTAGAGATGTACTGAAATACTTGCATTATTGCAGATGTAGCCAAACAATGAGCTCAGAGAATTTGTATTTGTTATCTCCAGTGCTAATGTGCCTTTGGAAGGTGTACCAACGTAACAGTTTCCGCCACTCGTCAATTTCAATTTTCGAATGTTCAATGACTGAAACAACCTTGAGCCGGAGGACAGGGCAAGTGTTCAATTCTTTACTAGTCACAAAAGCGTCTCCAGTTTATTCACGCTGTTCAGCCTGAAAATTGTTTGCAAGGCGCTAAACTTTGGATTTTACTTGACAAATGCTTTTAGATCACAGCACTCGAATGCGCCGTCAACTTTCGGGCCTCAATTCTTGATTTATTCCCTTAGCCAACCCAGCCCCTCAAACATTTCGCGCCACTAACCCGACTCGAGGCCGCATAGTTGCTGTTGGCGTGGTTCCTGGCTTCTATTTCCACCAACAGCCAGCGAAGTCAGAATGTTAGGCTAGGGTTTCGCGTCCCACTGACGCTCTTGGGGGCATAGGCCACTACACGGTAGCTAGCGTGGCTGAAGGGCGAAGTTGTACATTTTCTTAAACTCTTTGAGCGGTTGCAATAGGTACACTAACTCGGGCTTCATTACGCAGAACCTTCAGCAGGCTAAAGGTATCCGAAGTGCGTCAGGAATATCAACGCTTCGAGCGCAATACTGGCCAGAGCTGATCGGTTCCACTGTCTAACTTGTTTTAGCGCACGTCCTACTTAGAAGGGTGCTTGCGTCTCTCTTCAATATCAGCCTCGCGAGTCCCTATCGCTTATCGTCATCTATAAAAAGCGTGGACAGTTTTTTTTTTTTTTTTTGCAACGTTCACTCTTTCGCAGCCTACCCTCTGCCAGCAACCGTCGAAACTTTTTAACGGGTAGAAAAAAAAATTGTAATGGATGACCCAAGCCAGCATTTCCCGCCTGGCTCGCTGCCCGAAGGAGAGCCGGCGCCAGCGCAGGCTGCGGCGGAGGGCATGGAAGACGCGGAGAACCTTCTCGACGACATGCTCGAGGCGGCCGAGGCCGCGCGCCACGAGACCGAGCTGACTCTAGCGCCGCAGGCGCCCGACGAGAATGAGCCGTTTGTGACTATGGCGGGTGTGACTGCAGGCGATGTGACGGAAGGAGTGGTGGAAGAAACTGTGACTTATCACGGTGTGACTGAAGGAGAGGTGCCTGAAGCGGAAGCAGGTGAAGGCGAGGGGTTTGATCTAAATATGGATGCTGGTGGGGGTGGGGGTGGTGCGGCGGCGGTTATGATCACCGAGGGTGCAGCAGCTGAGACCGAACCAGGGACCGGACCAGGAACCGATCCTGGTTCGGGTTTGGGTGTTGCCGAGCCTGAGAGTCTGCCGGTCGGGACTGAGGAGCAGGCTCGGGAGACTATTGGCGAATACCAAGAGGTGGGCGGAGAGGGCGGGGATGGCCATATCATGCAACAGGCAATGGCGGGTGCTTATGAAGAGGGAGGCATGGCGGAGGGCGAGCAGCCGAGAGCTGACGCGGAAATGGGTGAAGCAGCGGAAGGAACTCATCCGGAGGGTGCTTATATCGAGCAACCAGTGCAGTACGAAGGTGTGCAGCAGCAGGAGCACGTGGGCGCAGAGCAGGCAGAGACAGCAGAGCAAATGCAGATGGCACCTACCCCAGATGAGTCTGCTGTAGCGCACCAGCAACCAGCTGTAGCTGAGCAGGAGGCAGGTGAGGCCTGGCAGGGCGAGGCTGTAGCACAGGCCGAAGCGGCTGTAGCAGGGTACGAACATGGTGAAGGGCCTGCTGTAGCTGGGTATGATGCGGCTTTCCCTGGCCAGGAGGCGGCTGTTGCTGAAACTGGCGGAGGTGAGACGGCAGAGGGGCAGGTTGTAGCACCGGCTGAAGTGGGCGAAATGGTTACCGCTGCTGCTGTTGGCGAAGGAGAGGTGGGCACAGGAGCGAACGAGGGTGGCATGGGTGCAGAGAGCTTCGTGCAAGGCGACGGGGGAATGGCGACAACAGCAGAAGCGCAAGGGACGGTGGCAGAGGGAGAGGGGGCGGCGGGGTATTCTCAACGCATGGAGGCAGTTTCTGAGGGACAGTATGGGGAGGAGGCAGCAGTGCCTGGGGCGCTCGGGGAAGGCGGAGGGGGAGGGGGCGGGGGAGAGGGCGAGTATGCTGATGCGCACATGGAAGCGGGAGGGGAAGGGGGAGAAGGTGGCGCGCTAGTGCCTGTTGCAGGGCAGGCGGAAGCAGGAGCAGCAGCAGGCGGGGAAGGGGGAGTAGCACCTGGGGGCGAGGGGGCAGCGGCAGCAGCAGCGGAAGCAGCAGCAGCAGAGGCAGCGGCGGAGGTGGCGGCGCACATAGAGGCGGCAGAGAGGGTGGTGGTGCAGTCGCAGCTGCCGCAGCCCCCACCGTGCCCGCTGTGGGCAACGTGGCGGTGCTGCCCATGCTGCTGGACCAGATCGAAGCTCACATCCTCTTCTACGGCCGCATCTTGTGAGTGCCGTGACTGTATAAGGTGTGACTGTACAAGGTACACGGTGCTGCTAGTGAGAGGGTTGGGTGGCTGTGAGCGGTGGGGAACGTGGCGGTGCTGCCGATGCGGCTGGACCAGATCGAGGCGCACATCCTCTTCTACGGCCGTATCTTGTGAGTGCCGCGCCTGGGTGCTGGAACTGGGTGCTTTGGTGTGCCGTGACCGGGTGCTGGGACTGGGACTGTGCTGTGCCCCCATCCCCTGCCCCCATTCCCCATCCCCCTCATCCACCCACAGCCTCTATCCCCCGTGCATCACAGGCTGGTGTTCGCCACAGTGCCCTCTTAACTCGGCTCGCCCACTTCCTTTCCCTCATCCCCTGCCCCCATTCCTCCGCACCACCATTCCGCACCATTCCACACCACCATTCCTCACCCACTGCTGCATGTCCCTCCCCCCATCCCCCTCTGCAGTCGCAAGGAGCCGCTAGAGGAGGAGCTGCGAGCGCTGGTGTTCGCCACCGTGCCGTCTCAACTGGCCTCGCCCGACCACCACCGCTGGCTCGAGATCGCCGATGCCTGGCGCCGCCGCAGAGAGGCCGCCCCTGCCGCCCTCCTCCTGGACGGCGGTGGGGCGGCAGCGGGCGGCGGCGGGTATGTGTCCCCGGATGGTGTGAGGGGCCGCGGGCGGGGCAGGGGGAGGGGCAGGGGGCGCAGGGGGAGGAGGGGTAGCATGCATGCGTATGGGTATGGCGGAGGCAGGGGGGAGGGGGGGTACGGGGGTTACGGGGGATATGGGGGGAGCGGGGGCTTTGAGGGGTATGGGATGGGGGAGATGGGAGGAGGGATGGGTGGGGAGGGCGGAGTGATGGTGCCGAGCGGGTATGGCGAGTATCCCATGCACATGGGCGCGGATGGTATGCCCATGCCCATGGACCCCCATGCCATGGCCATGGGCATGGGGGGCATGGGGGGCATGGGGCAGTTAGCGCTGGGGAACGGGGAGCCATGGGTGTGGGACGATGAGGGGTGGGACGCCCCCGGGATTGCCATCCGCGGGCGCGGCAGGGGCAGGGGGCGTGGCAGGGGGCGGGGGCGGGGGGAGGGGGAGGGGGCGCGGGCGCAGCTGGCACCTGGTGGGGGTGGAGATCGTCCCCTCGTACGGGTCTGATGGGGAGGAGATGGGCGCAGAGGGGGAGGAGCGGGCGGGGGGCGCAGGGGGAGGCGCAGGGGGAGGGGGAGCATCTATGGGCACGCGGCCAGTGGTGGCATGGGCGGAGGTGTGGCCGGGGAAGCTGGAGGAGCTGGTGGATAGGAAGGACCATGCGGGGGTGGCTGCCGCCCAGGTCATGACGGCCGCTGTGGTGGCCCGGGCGGCGTCGGCAGCGGTGCGGGCGGCAGCAGAGGCGGTGGCGGTGTTCAAAGAGAGGGCGGTGGCTGCTGCCTGGGCGGAGAAGAAGGGGGGTTGCGGGGGCGAACGGGGCGCTTGGGGGATATGGGGGGCATGGGGGGTATGGCGTGCATGGCGGAAATGGGGGGTATGGAGGGTATGGTGCAGGTGCGACGTGGCAGGAGGCCACTGGCGCAGGGTCCCCGTTTGCGGAGTCCCCCTGGGCGCCTGAGCCTCCTCTCCCCCTGACGTCCGTGGCTAGTGTGGGCGCGGGGCAGGGGGAGGGGCAGGGGGAGGGGACGGGGGAGGGGGAGGGGCCGGGGGAGGGGCAGCAGGGGCGGGGGGCGTGGCAGGAGCTACTACTACGGCGCGTATGATATGGAGGAAGAGGAGGAGGAGCCGGAGGAGGACGACGAGGGGGACGAGTTTGTGGCGTATGGAGGGGTGGAGGAAGTGGGCGGGTATGGGAGATGGGGGGGAGTGTGCTGGGCAAGAGGGGGAGGGGGAGGGCGAGTGAGGGGCAGGAGTTAGAACACACAATGCGGCGCGCTGTGGGGTTCCTAGAGGGTAGGGGGGGGAGAGGAGGAGGAAGAGGAGGAGGTAGTGGTGGTGGAGGATGAAGAGGAGGGGGAGGAAGAGGAGGAGGAGGAGAAGAGGGTGTGGGGGTTGAAGCTGCCACACAGGTTCCATGTGGGCACTCCTGTGGAGGTAAGCAGCAGTCATTGGGAGGGAGGGGCCTTGTATGGCGATTTCAGGGCAATGCACGCTGGGGTGAGTGGCGGTTCCTGCAAGAGATTCCGTAGCGGACTGAAGCATTGCACGCCCGTGCCACATGGTGCTGTGTGCACCGCCTTCCCACTCCCCCGCGACTCTGGTTCGCTGTTCTCTCCCCCGCGACTCTGGTTCGCTGTTCTCTCCCCTGCGACTCTGGTTCGCTGTTCTCTCATCCGCCTGCCTGCACACGCATCCATGACCTTCTCTCCTTCTCTCTTTGCCTCCTTGTCTCTGTGCCTCCTTGTCTCCCCGCCGCCGCTCTGTGTCTGCTGCTGCCCATGGTGAGCACAGGTGGCGTCGAACGAGGAGGGGTTGAGGGGCAGTTGGTTCACGCACGGGCACGGTGCTGCACAGATAGCGTCTGTGCGCATATGTGTCCGTGCACCACCTTGCTTCTTCTCTAACCCCCCTGCCTCCTTGCCTCTGCCTCCTTGCCTCTGCCTCCTGGCCATGGTGAGCACAGGTGGCTTCGAACGAGGAGGGGTTGAGGGGCAGCTGGTTCACGGGCACGGTGCTGCAGCTCGATGCACGGCGGGCGCTCGTCCGATACGACCAGCTGCTGGACGACGCGGGTGAGCAATGATGGCGCTGCTAGTAAGCTGGCCTTGATTCTTCTGCCAGGATGACTATGCCCTCTGCTCACCCTGTTCCTCTGTCCGCCCCCATTTCTCCCGTCAGGGTATCTGCTCCTCTCGCACTTCCCCATCTACCTCACATTTTTCTTTCACTCGCCCAGCATCCCTTTTTCTCGCTTCCCTTACTGCCTACCCTCGCTCATGCCTCGCTCATGCCTCGCTCATCCGCCCCTCATCCCCTACTCCCCAACTTGACAGGCACCTATCACCTCGAGGAGTGGGTTTCTACTGCCCCCCCTCCCCCCGCCCCCTCCTCCTCCGCCTCCCCCCATCCTCCCCACCTCGTCTCTGGCGTTCCCCCTCCCCCTCCCCCGCACCTCCCCCCGGGAGGAGAGCCACAGCGCTGCCTGCGCCCTGCCAGGCCCCCCTATGCGGGGGCGGGGGCGGTGGGGCGCAGGGGGGGGGGGGCAGGGGGGGCGGGGGGAAGAGGCGCAGGGGAGGGGGAGGGGTGGGGTGGAGCGTGGGCGACCACGTGGATGCTTGGGTGGATGACGGGTGAGTGGGGGGCGAGTGGGGTTTGAGTGAGGGAGTGAGTGGGAGCTGCAAGCTCAATGCATGCCAGGGTGAGTTGTGGTTTGAGTCGATAAAGAACACGATTCTGGCCTGGAATGTGTCCCCGCTGCTGCCCTGCCCCTCCCTCTTGCTGTCACGTGCCGTTCCTCCCGCCTCCCCTCCCTGCCGCTACTTGTCGCACTGACAGAGTTGTAAAGGTCACCTTCCTCTGCACACTCTCTTCCTCTCACCCCCACGCTTTGCTGTCCCTCGTGGCCTCTCTGTATTCCCCACCTCCCTCCTCCTCCCTCTAACCTCCACCTCCCTGCTATCATCCCCACACTCATCCCCTGTCCATCCTGTTATCCAATGCTGCATGCTGTGTCCTGCTCTCCCCCCCCCAACGGCAGGTGGTGGGAGGGGGTGATAACAGCGCTGCCAGACGATCCAGCAGCCAGCATGGCCACTGTCGAGTTCCCAGGTCAGTGCCGCCGCTCTCCCTTCCGCTCTCTCGCCCACCCAGGACCCATTTCAATTGTCGTTGTGGGCCGTCCGCCACTTGCTGGTGTCCTGATCCCTCATTTTCCTTGCTCGCCTCCGTTCCGCCGTTCCCCCTGTTCCTCTCGTTCGCCCCATCTCCCCATTTCCCCCTCAGGCTATGGGGAGATGGCACAGAAGCAGCTGACGTGGCAGCAGCTGCGGCCATCGATGGTGTTTGATGTGCGCGGAAGGGGGTGGGTGATGGTGCGCGCCCAGGCCGTGGGGGAGGGGGCGCAGGAGGTGGAGGAGGAGGAGGAGGATGATGAGGTGGAGGAGGTGGTTCCGGCTCCCATGGGGCATGTCAGGGTGAGTGGGTGATGGGTGATGTGCGATGGGTGTGTGCGATGGGTGTGTGCGATGGGTGTGTGCGATGGGTGTGTGCGATGGGTGTGTGCGATGGGTGTGTGCGATGGGTGTGTGTGATGGGCTATGGGTCATGGGCTATGGGTGATGGGTGATGGGTGGTGGGGGATGGGTGATAGTCAACTAGTTGCTGGTGCTATCCCTGTTGGCACCCACTGCTGCACCCTAGTTGCTCGTTCGCTCCTCGTTTCCCCCACTCGCCCTCTGTGTGCCTCGTGCATCGCTGCCCACACACCTCTCTCTCTCTGCACGCATACTCACTGTCCATCTCATCCTTGCACCCACCACCGGATCACCAATGACACACAGAATAGATCATTGCATGAATCCTTGTCATATTTCTATTCTCCCGTACCCGCCTCCCCCACTCCAACCCCCCAACCCTGCGTTTCTCCCCACCTTTCCCCCCCCCTGTTCCCTGCACTCTTTTCCTCCCCTTATCTCTCCCCCCCACATTCTTCCTCTTTCCCCCCCGCGTTTCTCCCCCCTCCCCCCTGCCTGCAGGACCCGGCACTGCCGAGGCCGAGGGGGCGGCCCCCCTTGCATGGCAGGGGAAGGGGCCAGGCGAGGGGCAGGGGCAGAGGCAGGGGCAGGGGGCGAGGGAGAGCGCGAGGCAGGGGGAGGGTCCCTTGGTACTGAAGGTACGTGGCCTTTTTCTTCAATAATTATACTATTTTTGCAGAGATTAGAACGTCCATCGTCATATGCAGCATTGCTTCACTTCGTACAAATATATTTTCCGCCCTATCTCCTCTACTCTGTCATCCCTCTTTCAGCTAACGCCCAGTATCGGCTGGGCCTAAGAGAGCCATGGCTTACTAACATCAAGCAAGGTAGCTGATTGGTTTCTCCTATGGGTTTGACTAATTGGTTTCTCCTATGGGTTTGAACAAGCATAGTGACCATATGGGTTTGTCTAATTGGTTTCTAATTTACGTAGTCTCTAAGATATACTCGACTTGGTTGTTTTCCTCTTTTGGGGCTCGTTGTAGATAGGGTTTCATTGTGTGTGCTTTTGTACGTACCACCACTCTAGTCTTAAAAATGTAAACCTAGTATTGAATCCACGAACCAGTCTACAATGTGTATCCTGTGTGTGTCTTGGGCTTGAACACTTGAATTCAAGTCTGTGAGACCTGCACCCAGCGCCTGCGCCAGAAGCCCTCAGGGCGGGAAACATTTTGAACTTGAGTTTGAAAAAGAGCGCGGTCAGCTCTCTGCGACACTTTTTTAAATTGAAACCCAAGGGTCCAAGACCGCACCGCTATTCGCAATGCTCCAGGCGACGGCCAGCTGCGACGATGGAGCGCGGCCACCCCGAGACGCGGATGATTGTACCGCGCCAACGCTTTCTCCACCGTTCACCCTCTCGTTCGCCCCTTTCTTTAATTGTGAGTCGTCCGATCTACCGTGTTCCTAGGCTCCATCTCGCCGTGCGATTTGAACATCCAGCAATTTGCCTTCTTGAGTCGCGACCGAATGCTTGCGCCAAAACAACATACCGTTCTGTCACTTATTCGACCAGAAAGAGCCGATAGTACGAGTACCGAGGGCCGGTTCGAGCCCTTCCGTCTACGAAGCACATCTTATGAAAACCAAGGAATTGACTCAATTCTGCTAGTTCATCCCATTCACTCACAGCACCACCTCGGTGCATCCTCTAGCACAGCGCTTCCTCGTTCCAGGTTTTCTCTTAGCTTCAAGAAACCCTGCAATCTTCAAGTCAGAGTAGATTCGTTCAGAGACTCTTCGTCGTTCCTTTTCGTCAACCGTCATGCGACGGAGATTGAGCAGCATGGCTCGGAGGTCCACGATCCGAGCGTTCGTCGGTCTTGCCCTCGCGCTTACCGCGTCGGCACTCGTGATCGATCCCACAGACCCCTCGTCCCTAGGTATGGACGTCACCCATCCACGCTCTCCAGTGACCTCTATTCTCTAGTCCCTCGAGCACGTGATTTGCAGCAGTCAAGCCAGAAAAGCCAGTTGTTGCACATAGAAATCCCCCACCTTTTGCACCACCGAAACCCCTCTTTTTCCTCCATATTACTTTTCCTCGCCCTCTCTTTCACCCGGCCCGCCTTTCTCCGCGTGATTCGCACTTTCAATCTGACTCGCCTTTAAAAATTCCTGTTGCGTGGCTGGCGCGCGAATGGCAGGGCAACTGGAGGCGATGCAGGAGCTGAAGCTCGGCTTCGAGGGGAGCAAGCCCTCTGCGCTCGCCACGTGGACCACCAGCGACCCTGTGACGGCACGTGGGTCGGCGTCACGTGCGCGCGGCCCGGCGTCATCACTAGACTGTAAGTACGAAGGAACGAACAGCGACGATGCTTCAAACTTCATTCGCACGCTTCGTTTTCGTTTCAGGCTTCTCCTTTTGCGTGCATCCTCAGTGTACGTCGTCGCACTCCCATCATCACGCACTTATGTTCCTCCCCACCCGATCCTCATCCTGCGACGCGCAGCGATTTGTGCGACATGGGCATCGCAGGCGCGTTGTCGCCGTTCATCGGCAACCTCACGGGGCTGCTGCAGCTGCGGCTGTGCAACAACCAGATCGCCGGACAGATCCCTCCCGAGCTCGGCAAGCTGTACTCGGTACAAGAAGTCGAGCTACAGAACAATAAATTCACGGGCGAGCTGCCTACCGAGTTGGGCGGCATGGCGACGTGCACGCACCTTTACCTCTTCGGAAACAATCTCTCCGGCGCCATCCCTGCCGCTCTTAAAGCCGTCACTTACCTCAAGCTGGGTCCTGGAAATCGTTTTTGCAGCACGGTTCCCGGCTCGCTGTGCGCTGGCGCGTCGGCGGAGCCGCTCCCCGCAACTCCCGCTCCGGTGGAGGACCCCGCGGATGAGGCGGGAAGCCTCCCTCCGCTGATCACCGCGCCGCTCCCCAACTGTCCGCCGTGTGCGGGGGACGATCTGCCCGGGCTCGAGGACGGGTGCACGTGCGCCAAGCCGTCGCTGCTCAAGATTCGTTTCAAGGACCTGGACTTCGCGGCTTATAACGCGAATCAGGAGGACGTGCTGCTCGGCGAGCTGTCCCGCGCGCTGCAGCTGGAGCCACGTCAGCTGATGGTGATCGGGCGCGAGCCGGGCAGCGTGATCCTGTACCTGGCGGTGCTGCCCGTGAACGGGTCGGCGCTGGACGCGCGGCAGGAGGCGAAGATAGTGGACGCCGTCACGGGCCACCGCGTGATTCTATCCAAGGCCTTCAAAGACTACGAAGTGCTCGGTACGGTCACGCGCTCTCCCTTTCCCTTGTGCCATTCAATTTATGGGAGTTACGGCTTGATATGTTCCCGTATTCCATGCAGTGCCGTCTCCTCCTGATTCCGTGGCCGTGCGTCTAAGCGCCATCTCTTCTTGTTCTTGTTCCTCATTCCACCTTTTCTTCCGTTTCAGGAGCGCCCGGCCTCGCGTTCAAGCCGTCGCAAGAGTCGCAGAACGCCGACGCCGAGTCGTCTTCCGCGTCTTCCGGCGCATCTTCCGGCCTCAGCACCGGAGCCATCATCGGCATCGTTGTCGCGTCGCTCGCGGCCGCGCTGGTTATCGCGGCGCTCTTCTGCCAGCTGCTGACGTGGCGCCGCGACAGGAACGCCGCGCGCCGAGCTGACGTGGAGAACTCGCGGATGGCCAAGGTGCTGACGGGTAGCATCGAGGCGCCGTACAGGCCGCACGGGAAGAACTGTGAGTGTAACGATTTGTGTGGCGCTTCGTGAGTAATCCAACCAGTAGGTCACGCCACCTGTGCTGCTGTTGTCGCCACGTCATCTTTCCCGCTCCTGCGTCTACCTCTCGCTCACTTTCTCATTGCAACGTCTCCCCCCCTTCCCTACCCCCGCCCCCGCCATCCTCCTTTCCGCTTCCGCCAGCCATCTGGGGAAGGTGGGATTTGCCACGTGGCAGCCCCTTTCCGCCCGTCAAGCCGTCGATCTCAGGAGGGAACTCGTTTAACGAGCCCGCGCTCTCCTTCCGCAGCGGCATCCCCGGCACCCCCGCCGGGGCGCACGCGAATGGCTGCGGCGACAGCGTCGCGGGAAACGCCGCGCGACACGCCCGGAGTGTCGGAGCGAAGCTTCGCGTTCCAAGGCGGCGAGCTCGCCCACCTCCCCCTCGAACACCGCCGGATTGTGCGGCGGCGACAACGGCGACGACCCGCGGACTCCGGAAATCGGGACGACGCGGACGGTGGGCGACGCGGAGGCGGAGGTCACCCCTCAGGAGGTGATGGAGATTAAAAAATCGGTCTCAAGGATATCCACGCGGCGACGCAGGGGTATTCGAAGGCGAACTTGATCGGCGACCGCGGGCACGGGCGCATGTACAAGGCGGACTTCTCGAGCAAGGCGCGCGTGCAGATGGCGGTGCTGCTCGAGCTCTCCGGGGAGAAGCTCGACGAGGCGGAATTCGCGGCGGCGGTCAAGGCGCTGGGGGACCTGTGCGTGCAGTCGAACCGCCTCGTGGCGATCATGGCGTATTGCGCGGATAAGGGCCAGCGGTGGGTGGCCTATGAGTATCTGCCAGGTGGCAGCCTCAAGGACCACCTGCACGGGGACCTGCGCTTCGAGCGCGCGCTGACGTGGCAGAAGCGCGTGCAGATCGCGGTCGACGTGGCCGCGGCACTGGAGTTTTTACATGAACAGTGCGAGCCGCTCGTGATTCACCGCGACGTGTCGGCCGACAACGTGGTGCTGGACGGCGAGCTGCGCGCGAAGATTAAAGACGTCGGCATCCACACGCTCGTGCGCGATTGGTCGGAGGGCCGCGCCGTGTCGCCGTCCGTGCTGGGGTCCATGGGGTACCAGGCGCCCGAGTTCCGCGTGAGCGGCGAGCAGACGGCGCGGTCCGACGTGTTCAGCTTCGGCGTGGTGCTGCTGGAGCTGCTGACCGGCCGGAAGCCCGTTGACTCGTCGCGACCCAAGGGGCAGCAGTCGCTGCTGACGTGGGTGCTGCCGCACCTGGAGAACAGGCTCGCCGTGACGAGCCTGGTGGACCCGTACCTGCGGCTCAACTCGACGCTCGACCCCAAGTCGCTGCACCTGTTCGCGCTGGTGGCTGCGCACTGCCTGCAGCACGAGCCCGAGGACCGCCCGCGCATGGCGGAGGTGCACAGCCAGCTGCAGCACCTGCTGCTCTCGCTCTCCCCCGACGGCCTCCCCTCCCCCATCTCCCCCAACGCGGCCTCCGCCTCCCCCCTCTCTCCCGCCTCCCCCGCCTCCCCCATGTCCCCCATCCCCAACCTCACCGCCGCGTCCCCCTGCACCCACGCTCCGGTGAGTTGTGCCTTGGATTTTTCATGTGACTTTTGAGTCGACTCAAAAGTCGCTCCGGTGAGTTGTGCCTTGGATTTTTCATGTGACTTTTGAGTCGACTCAAAAGTCGCTCCGGTGAGTTGTGCCTTGGATTTTTCATGTTGGCGCCTGCTTCTGCTTTCTCGTGCTTTCTTGTGCTTGCATGTTTGCGCTTCTCATGCACACACTGGTGCCTGCTCAACTTGGTCTGCTTCTCCCAGTCTCATTCCCGCTCCCACGCCCTCTTACACCGGTCCTCATCCCTCTCCGCCCCTTTCTCCCCCTGTGCAGAGCCCTGATGCGGAGAACGAGAGCTGCTCGGTGGCGGATTCAGGCACCACGAGTGGCACGCACGTGTCACACTCAGCACGGCGCTACGACCAGAAACGCTGGGTGCAGGTTACCCCCGGCCCAAACACTGCCGTGAAGACCCACGCTAGTGCCGTGACTCCCGCTGCTGATGCCGCTGCTGGTGTGGCGAATGTGCGCTCACCACTTGCGCCGGTGATCAACCTGTGAGGACACGTGGGGTTTGCGACTACTACGGTATCCACGTGTGACTGACTACTGCACGGCATGGCATGCGATGCCGGTCCCTGCAGCACTAGACCCTCTGACACCCCCGTTCTCTACAGCTCTCTAGCCAACTCCTAGGATCATTCTCCCCGTGATCCCCTCTCCCTCCTGCTTCATGCCTCAAGTTAATTAGCTACGTTACCTTATGTTCTAGAAGGTTAGATGAATGGAAGTGTCAAGGGCCAACCCAGCCCTGCAGTTAGGAGTAGAAGTACTGTGAAACACGTGTTCTGATTGGCATCTGACATCTAGGTTTCCGTGATCCATGATCCATGCTAACAGATGTGTACTGCACCCTCCTTGGAAGTCAGTTTTTTGTTCTTCTGAACACTGGATACTGCGACCAGGTACACATGCAACTCACTGTACAATGATGACAACAACAGAAGCAGACAAAACAGAAGTTGGTAGGCAGTGTCATGTTTGCGCATGGGTAACCAGAGGGTCAACTCTACATCCCCTGTGTCATCTGCCTTGCTCTCTGCTGCAGGAGACAGGGCAGATGCTGCCGTCATAACCCCATGCTCTCCCTTACCCCCCTACTCTGCCTTAGGCTCACGGGATAGCAGCACCATTAGGACATACCCGACAGTGACTATGGCAGACCAGAGTATAAAGCGGATGAAGGCGGAGGTGTCGAGGGAGGCGAGGAGCACCGTGTTGATGAGGATGGAGGCGGAGGGCAGCCACGGCATAGTGGCACTGAGAACACCCGCGTGGCCTCCGCTTCCCTGCAG